CAGGCTTCAGACCGATTTCTTTCCAGCAATATCGATGGATCATCATAGTTTTGAGAAGTTTCAAGGAATTAAAAGGGATCACTTTAGTGTTTTGTTTCCTCTCGTCTTTTTAAAGCCGGAAAGTGGTCCTTTAAGGGTCAGGAGTTTCTGACAAAGGTCATTCTGCTATTTTTCTTATACCTGTGATTTTAGAAGTTTCATAGACTTTTGGGAAACTTTAAGGTGTCGTATATTTTTTTTTCAAAATTCAAAAGTCTCGAAATATTTTCAGAGATCATATTCATTAATTAAAAAAATTATTTCCGAGAAAATTTGAATCGATTAGAAGTGGCTCATTTTTTTGAGAGAGACACGATCTAATTAAAACAGTTTTTTTTTGAATCTATTCTTGAACATTTTCTCTTACAATTTTTCATTTCAAGTGTTTCTTGGTGGGTTTTATTACAGCTTGAAGCTTTTCAAAGCCCCCAAAACGTTATGAAAAGTAAATAAACTTGATGCTCAAAATTTCTGAAAATTTGAGCTTTTTCTCCAGGAATTTCTAGAGACCTTTTTTTGCTCTCCAATGTGTCAATGATGAAATTATCAATTTATCACCTTGGTCCCCCCTTATCAGCATTATTTTTCCTCACTTTTAATGCCCTTTTTTGGCACTTGAATATTTCTTGTTTCAACACGTTTCCGTGTTTTTCGTTTTCTTTCATAATTATATACCCGTTCATTTTTGATGATTGGTGTTTTCGAAGTATGATTGTGTGTTGAGGAAATTGAACGGCGACCTTTTATTTTGCCGCTTTTTTTTCGCGCAATTATGCAAAATTAGGATCATTATCTATGTTTTCTAGTTGACGTTTTGTCGTTCATAAGTTGAAATTGTCTATTTTTTCGAATATTTTCTCGAAAACCTCTTTAATCTTTCAAAAAAACTCATTTTTCCAGGCTGAAACTGGTTTTTCAATATGATTTTTTTCTTACCTGATTTTTTTGAAAATATTGGCTTCATTAGTTTTTTTAAAGCATTATTTCTAATTTCCAGTCGGAGTTTTGTGGTACTTTGATGTATTAACGATTTTTAGAATTTTTTTCTATTATTTCAAATAGTCAATTTCCATTTTTTTGAATAATCTTATTTCTTTTTTTGGAAACCTTTATGAACGACTGAAATCTCATTTTTCCAAGCCAAAAAAAGCCTTTTTTTCGTGTTTTAAAATACATTTTTTTCACTTTTTTTATCTATATTTTTGAAGTTATGGGGGGATTTTTCTTTTCTAAAATCATTCCCAACTTTACCAGATGCTCAAAAACTCCCAACTTCTGAACTCAAAAAAAAATCGCTTTGAATCAATTCGAAGTCTTTATCTATCAATGGAGACCTATTATCACTTCTATTGCTAAATGTTTCGAAATTCAAAAGCTTCCACTTTTTTTTTACACTTTTTCCCTCTCCGGAAATAATAAATCAACGGCCAGCAGCCTGGGGGTGGCCGAAATTTTCTCGAATTGAATTGATCCGATTTTTTGGCGAGCAGCCAAACAACCGAAATCCCGACGGCAAACATACCACTTTTATTGGCTCGTCTGCCCGATTTTTTATTCTGTTTTTATTGCTCATGTCAGCCTCACTTTACAGTGGAACTGAAGCTGACGAGTGCAACATTTTCCGATTTTGAATCTTTTTTTTTTCTTTCAGTTGTTCTCAAAAACTGGGTTTCGAGGCAATTATTCGATAGTTTTGAGATGTTTCCTCAAATTAAAAAAGAATATTTTTTTTTTAAATTTTGACGAAGATTTTTCATTGAACACCGGCCGAAAAACCTTCTCTTTATTGCTCATGTTAGAGGAAATTCTCTGTAATTTTTTTCGAGTAAGTTTTTCTTCTATTTGAAATGTGTAAGGCACATTTCTGAATAAAAAGAATATGTTTCTTTTGTATTGCTCATGTTAGAAGAATTTGAAATGGACCTTCTCCATCTTCTCGCATTGCTCATGTTAAAGAAATCTGGAATTTTTTTAATTTAATAAAAAGGTCAATTTTTGGCTCCTACTTAGCTCTTATTGTACTCCGAATCTATGAAAAAAAAATTTTCTTGATTTGTAAGGAAGAAATACAATAAAAGGCCTAAAATTCACAACACTTTTGTTCGAAAAATTGTCAAAAAAGGGTTGAAAAACGTGTTTCTCACTGTCAGATAACATCCTTCGAGACTCCTAGGAAGACGGAGAAACTCGTCTTTTTTTTTCAACTCAGGTGGCCTCAAAGTTTGTTTTTCGTCCTCCCCCTTCCGTCCAAAGTTTCTCGCGCACGCCTCAACTTTTTTTTTTCCTTTTTTCTTTTTTCTTTTTTGAATGGATGGATGGAAACGCGTGTGTTTACTGTTCAATCGATGTCGGTGTCTGTGGGAAAATAGTGGCGGTGGTCGTTTTCCTTTCGGTTTCCAATTCGACCATTTTCTGCTTCGAAATCGAATTTGAATCGTGTTTTGGGTCATGTGACCCGGGTCTTCTGTAGGCATTACCTCTTGGCTGTTTTGATTGATGAAAGGGCGCTCTATCGATAATTTTCATTCTTATCTGTAAAATATGAATAATTGATTCTCAGCTATTTTTCAGTCAAAAGCGGTTCATCGAGAATTTTTTTTAACTGCTGTTCTTGGCTGTATTCACTGATGAAAAATTTGTTGTATTGATAAATTTTGGTCATGTCTGTATTTTATCATTCTTAAGAAAGTGTTCTCGGCGGTTTTTTCTCGCCAAAACGCGCCCTACCGATAATTTGTCCTTTTTCCTGTTTCTCGCTATTTTTTATGAATAATTTGCTCCACCGATAATTTTGAGTCATAGCACTTTTTTGTACATTGAAATGAATTGAAAATATTTTATTGGCGATTTTTTCTTGTCAAAACGCGCCCCACCGATAATTTGTCCTTCTCCAGTTTTTGGCTATTTTCTGATGAATAATTCGCTCAACTGATAAATTTAGAGTAATAGGGTTTCTTTATGCAACCAGAACACTTAAAATAACAATGAAAAAAATATTCTTGGCGATTTTTTTCTTATCAAAACGCGCCCCATCGATCAATCGTCTTTTTTTGTTTTTTTGGCTATTTTTCTAATAAATAATTCGCTCCACTGATAAATTTAGAGTAATAGGATTTCTTCATGCAACGAGAACATTTTTGATGAAAGTGCGCTCCATGGAGAAATTTAGATTTTTGTGTATTTTTTTTATAAGTTTTTCGATTTCATAGTTTCCGCTTGGAAAAATGAGCTTAATTTCGGCTTTTCTTGTTTGAGAAATGCGCTTTATTCATATTTTTTGAAAATTCGAAACTCTGACAATTTTTTAAAAGCTCCTATCTCCTTCTTTATCACTTACTACAACTTTTATTTATCCCTCAAAGATCAGCACTTGTTCGGCAAACTATCCGTCTTCGAGTGTTCCCGAGAACTGGCGCACCTCCACCTTCATTTCTTCTTTTTTTTTTTGCCAAAAGGTGGGACAAACGAAACACTTGTACCCATGGAAATACATAATTTTCTCTCTCGCCCTCCATTTTGCTCCTCTTTGAACGTGTTCCTCTTCAAATTTCACCTGTTGCATGATGTTTTAGAGGGAAATGACCCGTTCTGTTTACGATTTAAAAATGTTTGTAATCGGTTTCTTTGTCGTGTTTTTAAAAATAGATAACTATATGGTACTGTATTTTTTATTTTTCTCTTGCTTCGAATAAAATTTTGAGCATGAGCTTTCTTGGTAGAAGTTCAGCCGTGATTGCGGCTACTTTTTTTCCTAAACAAATTCGCTCCATTGACAAAAAAATAGCTCCAAGGCTTGGTTGATTTTTTTAAATCTTTAAATAAAAATTTCACTTATTTATCAAAGAACAATGGTGCTCTATTCATAAAAAAATTGGACTTTTATTGAAAAAAAATTTTTCCGAACATTTTTTTCTTCTAATGAAACTGAATGCTTTTTCGAAATCAATTATAATTTTTTTGAGGATTCAAAAAGCAAAAAAATTCACCCAATCGGACTATGAAAACCAATAAAAAGTACGGAAAAAAATTAATGAGAAACGAGAAATGGGCGAATCCCCGTGGCCATTATGACCAAAATGGTCTTTTTCTTTCCAATTTGATTTTTCGTGTTTTCTTCAGATTCTTTTCGTGGTTTTGATAGCTTTGATTTTTCTATTTAATCATGTGAATCATTTATTATCAACAGAGCAACTTTTCCGCAATAATAAATAGAAGAACGATGATTTGAAAAAAATCAATGACCAGAAAAATTTCCGATTTTCATCATAGGAAGTCATTTGTTAACCTTTTGCACAATCTTGAGATCTTCAAGGCTTTGAAACTGAGAAAAACGTCACAATGACTTTTAAACAATATTTTGATCGGTTTTATCAATGGAGCACTTTTGTCGCCCAATGCTGTCCATTAGTGATTTTTGACGGCTTTTATTTCACTCAAGAGTTAGGAAAAAACGCCTTAATGGCCCTCTGGTCAGCTGTTGCCGATCCTTATCAATGGAGCACTTTTGCGATTTTGATTTTTAAAAAATTCGAACTGATTTCTTGGAAAGGGAGCACCCTTGTTTAGAAATTTAGTAAACTTATTCAAATCTCAAAATGAAGGTTGCAATTTTTTATCAATAGAGCTCATTTGCTCCAATAAATTTGCATACGATAATCTCTCAGATTTCGTGTAAATTTAAGCCGCGGAGCAATTCTCCCAGCATTTTTATCAATAGAGCAAGATTGTGTGAGAATAAATAGCCGCCCATCGTGTCACGAGGAAGGCTGAGGATCCAATGTTTACCTTTTTTCTTCCGGTACTCGATCCAGCCTGCCTATTGGTCTTGTATTTACCTTTTGTTTTTGCGCACCCTCTCTAATTTCCAGCTCCTGCCAATATTTTTTTCGGAATAATCAGAATTTCGAATCGCTATTTCTGTGATGAGTATATGTTTTATCAAAAAAGAGCTTCATTTTTTTTCAATTCGGAAATTCGCAAAGGCCTGTCTCCCGGTTCAGAAACTTCTTGCATAGAGATCCCGTTGGGCCTTCCTCGTAGATGACATTACGGGGTCGGGATTTCCAAATCGTGTTGCCTCTGGAGTTTTTCGGAGTTTTAGGCCTCTATATTTGGCTAGAAAAAGATTTTTTTCTTTAGAATTGATTTATTGGTTTAAAAAAATTTCTGAAAAAAATTGAGATTTTCTAGTTTTTCAATCGTATTATTCACTATCTTCTATTGTAATAAAACTTTAAATTTCCACAAATTTTTCTCAAAAAAATGAAGGAATTAGATCCGAGGCCTGGTTTTTCCAAATGGTTTTTCTGAATAGCAACTTTAATTTTTTTGTTTTTTTCTCGAAAGTTTGGATTTCTAGGCCTCCAGATTTATCATTGATAGAAGAAATAATTTTTCCAATTATCTTGAAAATCTGGAAGTTGTGTCTTCTGCCTAAATTTCTATATAAAGACATGTTGTCTTTGAAAAGCCGTTTTTGAAAACACCTAAAACAAAATATCACATTTTTCAAGATTCCAATGACCTCTTGATCCTTACAAAATTTGTTTTCCTGGAATTTTTGATCCGATTTGAACCTTTCTAGGCTTTTAAGCGGCCCGATCAATGTCCAAACGTAACAAGTTGTTTGTTTGTTCGGCAAAATTGAAGTAGAGAGCAAAAAATTGTTTCATCCCCACTTACGGCGGATCGAAGCGACACACGTTTATGTACCACTTTTCGCCGTTTTTCTCGTCCGTTTTTTGGCATTCTGACAGGGCGCAGCCTACCCGACGAACCGCGTCCGAGAGCATCTGGATTTCATTTTTTTTTAAAGTTTTCCCAAAATTTTTTATTTTTTAGATGGGAGTCAGGCTTGGGCGAGGGCCGGCCTGTTAGCCTATCGGTCCAAAGGTCCTTTTAAAGCCCGATCTGGGCCGGCTTCAGAAAGGCTTGATTCAAAATGAGTTGGGACGAAAATTTTTCCGACTGAATTGGAAAATTTAGTCCCAAGTCTACCCTGCCTCTAGCCCGCGCTGGCTTCTTCTCAAAAAATGCAAAACCAAAGCCCGGGTCTGCCTGACCGCCCAGCTTGAAGCATCCCGCCTAACGTTGAATTTTTCTCGATAGAGCGCACTTTGAAAAATAGTTTTCCTCAGAAAAAAAGTTAGCCATGGAGCATAGTTGCCTTCTCATTTTCACAATTTTCCATTTTTATTAGTCAAAGAGAAAATTTTAAGATTTACGAAGCCCAATTTTTTTCTTGTCTTCAGATTACTGCTCTCTTATTATTCGTATGTTATTTTCACAAAATTTCTTGAACCTCTTTTCTTTTCGAATTTTTTTTGATCCTCTACAAGTCTTTGGGTGAATCTTATTTACCTGATGACTTAAAAATTTTTTTCCAACGATTATTCATTGACCGAACTCACCAAAGTAGCATGACCAATGTTCGGATCTCTTGAACTGATATCATTTTCCTTGATACCGTACTTCAGTATCTCCAGTCCCATTTGCTCTACGGATCTCTAAAAAAAATTTTAAATCCTTTCAAAGTTTTTCATGATTTTTCAAACCAAAGCTGCTTGGAAAGGCGACGATGAGGTTTTGAATGAGGCGATATTTTCGCCAGTTTCAGAAATCGTCGGCATTTCACAGCTGTTGGCGCGATTTTCGGCCGCTTTTTCGAGATTGTAGTCCCAGTACTGCAAAATTTTAAGTTTTTCGTTTCAACAGTATAGCGTGTCTGCGCTCTCTTCTCTCTAGTTTCGATGAGAGATCGGAGGGCGCAGAGAAGCTGAAATGGTTCGAATATGAGAAGTTTATTCACCGTTTTCAAGATTTTCACTGGTAGAACCAAAAATGAACTATTCCTGGTCGCATAGGGAATGACTCTTAGGAAAATTTGCTATCTCAAAGTGCGCCCGACCTTGAAGTGACTTACGCCATCCGGTATCAAAAGCAAACCTTCAATATCGAAATGAGCCATTCCAAGTGTGACCAGTAGAATTTTTTTCAAGTTTAGCTATGACTTTTCGAAAAGCCCACCAATCTGGGCATTTTTGAAGCCGTAGGCAAGAATTTCATCGGAAATCCTTCCTTATTTCGGTACTTTCCCACGGCGGCCAATGAACGAATCTCATTGTGCTTCTGAATTTTTTTAATTTCAATTTCATAAAAAAAATTCGCTCACGGTCAAATAAGCGATCCGATCTGAATCTTTCAATATTCCATCCCATTTTTCGATTTTTTCCTCTTTTTTCATGGATGTTGTTGCTGAAAACCTTGTAATTAAACAAGAAAAATAGAAGAATGAACCCAAAATCACAGCCAGGTAGATTGAGACAACGAGAAGCACGTAGGTCAGAACGACTTTTGCGTTCCCTCTGCTGATATCTTCGTCTTTTTGCAAATTTTCTGAAAAATGTCAAGGAATTTGAATGGGTTTGAAGAACATGAAAAACCAGTCATGAATAGACTTTTGTTTCGAAATGAGTTTTGAGGCGTTTTTTTCACGTTTGGAAGCTTTTTTGTATGGTGGAAGGTGAGAAATTTAATGAGAGTTCGAAATTTTTTTTTGAACTTTTTCGATGGATTCTAGTGATTTTAAAGCTCTTCTTTCATTAAACTTCATGATTCCAAAGTTTCACGGTTTTAAAATCAATGAAAAATCAATAAGTGGACAGTTTTATAAGAACTTCTACTGTTCTAAAAAAAATTGATCTGAACGTTAAACTTACTTAAATTTTTTTCTTTTTGAAGCTAAAGTCCATTCATAGCTGACTTCTCTTAGTCTTTAAGGTCCTACATTTTTTCGTGAATTTTTAAGATTTTTGTAAATTTGTAGAGCTTGTAGTGTTAGAAAAATCCATGAGATCCGAATTTCCTGTTTTTGAACTTTTTTTTTGGCCTCAAAGTGGACTTTTTGAAACCTTCCGGATCTTCAAAATTCGTCGAAATGAAACCTGGCTCAATTTTTGTCAAAAAGGCCTTCCAAATAAGGAGATCTCATGAATTTCCAACATTTTGAACATATTTGAAGGGAGAAAAGATTTTTCGTTTGTTAGCCAAAGAAAAGAAACTACAAAAAAAGTACAGAAAAAGGGATAGAAATGTAGTTTCGCGTCACACGAATCGAGCCGAAAACTGGAAAGATGTAGATATACTTGTTTCGGCCCTGATAAGCCAAAACAATCAGTTTTTCCCATTCGTTTTTATTTTTTCTGTACTATAGGCAACTTCAATCAAGGAAATTGAGCCTAATTTTGAGGAGCGCTTTTTTGTTCAATTTGAAACAATTTTCAAAGAATTCACTACCCAAAATCGTTTCAAATTTGATTTTTCTACCACTCTTTCCGATTGGCTTTTTTCATGGCTCTGGTAGTACGGAGATTCTTTTAAAATTTTCATTTTGAGTCATTCCAAATGCGGTCATTCTACTAGAAGATAGAAACTAGTAGAATATCCGCATTTGGAATGGCTCGAAGAGGAAAAAAAAATTTTTTTGTAAGTGTTGAAGCGAGATTTTGTGATTCTTCTAGCATTCATGAGGAATAATTTTTGTAAAATCCTGATTCAATTTATTTTTTTCAGTTTCAGTGGATGAAAAAAATGAACATTTTTTTGTAAAATTCAGTGAAAACTGCGTTTTTTTGAGCGTTATTTTGAAAATTTATGAAGTTTCATTTGAAAAAAATTGCTTGACTATTTTTCTGATATTTTTTTCAAATTTCTGTAGATTTATTTTTTTCCGGCAACCGCGACGCGACCGCATCGCTAGACTTTTTTCAAATATCTTTCCAATAACTTAGATATCCCACAATTTTCCAACCAATATCCCAACTCCGATTAAATTTGGTCTGAAAACCGCGACGCGACCGCACCGCATCGCCCATTCTCACCTATTTACTTAATCGAACACTCGTCTTATTTTCCCTCTTGTTAATGGATTGAATATACACTGTGAAGCTTCCTCCTCGCTTGTTTTTGTTCACGGAAATTCGCGATTGCCTCGAAAATTGCCCTCGATTTGCCTCAAACTGAATTATTCACGACTAATTTTCCACGGTTATTTTTTTGTCTTCCCGGCTTCGTAATTCTCTTCTTTCCATCACGGCTACTGTATTCATTCTTTGTTTTGAGAAAAAATGGTTGGTTTGAATTTTAATTGATGTTAAGAGCATTTGGGGATAGATAATATTTAGATAAGAAAGTTTTCTGAGAAAAAAAGAAGTTGTGAAGAAATAGCCGCGGCTACTTGGAGCTTGAGTGCTCCACGGCAAACTTTTGAACTTGCTTTTTGTTGCCCAAAGCTGATGATTAGCTACAGGGCGCACTTGTTGCAAAGCGGCTTTTTTTCCGAGCGGAGAAAAATTCTTGAAATGTAGAATTTGAGCACAAAATCTTTAAAAATTTCACGAAATTTCCTCTTTCCGATAGGCTTGGAATAAAAAGCAAGACGAAACTAGATTGTTTCTCTTTTCCGGTAATTAAATAACCACCCACGGTTCCACCTTGAGAAAAGTTGACCACTTCCGGTTCATTTTATCTGTTTCTTCCCTTCTTGTCTTCTTCCGCTTTTTCAAATTCTGGTTCATTTTTTTGTGATTTTAAGGGAAAAAAAGCCTATAAAATCTGAGCGAATTTGTAGTTTTAGTAGTTTCAAAAATTACGATTATCAATGCGATCCTGATTATTTTTCATTTTTTTATTGACATTTTCAATCAAAAAAATTTATTTTTTTCTGTTTTTTTGAAGGATTTTTTTCCATACTAAGAGTCTGGTAGTTGTAAAACATGTAAAAAATGTTTTCTTTTTTCTGATGTCGCAAAATTCTTACCTGGCCTGTAACACCATGAATTAACTACGTTTGTGATAGCAAGGATTTTTCCGACCGAGTTCAAATTTTAAAATGTTGTTGTTGCAAAATGCAAAAAAATGTTTTTAATGCAAATGCAATTAAAATGCAAAAATGTTCAAAGACTTGAGAATGCCAAGCGTTTTTTTCGAATAAGAATAGAAATTTGAATATTGGAAGGACCTGCAGACTATTGAAACGTGACAAGTCTGAGGGAATTCTATGTGAATCTGGTCTCGAGCTGGTCTTTCTTTCGTGGGAAGAAGTTTTTGTAAATGAATTTTTATACAAAAAACGTTCATTTTGTCACTAGCTTTCGTTTAAAGAAGTTTCATTCGATTTGGACCACGGAGAAAATAGTTGGAATTTTTTTTGTATTTTGGCTACAGTAATCCTCAAAAGGGGCGGAGCTTGACAAAATTCAGTTTGAAAGTTTTGTATACATTTTTAGTTGGTGTGATGAAAATATGAGCTCAAAAAAAGCAACATGAATTTTTTGTGCCCACTGTTTTTGCAGATCATCGATTCTCTCGGAGAACGTGTATAAATCAATTTAAAGTTCCAGTTTTTTGGTTTGAGATTTATTGGTCCTAAAAAATACATACTCAACCAATCTTTTCCAAAATCCTCTATGATTTGGATCTCGGACTGGCCTCCAAATATGGTTAGAAAATTTATTTTTAAAGAGTAATATTGCCCTAAACCTCAAGAATTTTCCAACTGAGAATCAAGATTTGAATATTAAAAAAGACCTACAAACTAGACCATTCAAACTGTGTGAATTTGATCTCGGACTGGTTTCTTTTGCGTGGGAAGAAGGCGCGCGGGAGTATCAGACGTTCGCGATCTCGCCTTTAGGTCTGACCTTCGCCATTTTGTTTCCCCGATTCCGTCCGAAACTCTCCCGCGTAAACTATTTCGTCTGCTTCTTCATTTCCACTACGGGCCGTTTCAAGCAGGTTTCCTCTTCTTATAGTTTCTCAGTGACTTTTTGTGGTCTTTTCGAACATTTTGAACTCTTTGGACTTGATTTTGAAGATGATCTTCATTTTTTGGTTGAGTGTTCTCATGGTATCTTTTCTGAATTTTGTTGTTCAAAAAGAAATTAAAAGGTTTTTGAGAAGTTATGAAATGATTTTTAGATACGGTAATTATTTAGGCCGTCCCAAGCATCTTCATATATTTTTTGAAGGGCTTTTTGATATTTGCGAGCTCGTTGGACTTGATTTTGAACACATTTTCAGCTTGGAAAAAAATTTTTAGATAGATTTTTCATCGCTTTTCTGAAGTTTTTTTTTCTCAAAAAGGAATTTGAATTTTATTTGGCTGTGAACAGATTTTCAATAATTTTCAAATCTTACCGTAGAGCCATTCTAAACCTTTTTTTTTTTATAGTTTGTGATGCTTTTTTTGAACTCTTTGAACTTTTCGGACTTGATTTTGAACATGTTTACAGCTTTCGATAGAATTAAAGATAACAGTTTTCATAGATTTTTCATAGTTCCATCTTCTTTCTCTTCTTTTTTTTGTGGCTAAAAGAATTTTTTGAGTTACAATAATAATTAGAGCCATTCCAAATGCGACCAGTGAAACTTTCTTTGAATTTCACTGAAGATTTTCAAAATTTTCTCCCGGCCGCTTGAAATACGTTTCTAGTTCGTCATTTAATTTCTAGGGTTTTTTGAGTTTGTTCTCTTCGAATGTGAAAACAATAAACACTACAAAACATAACTTTAGGAAAAGTTTTCTACTGTTCCTTTTTTTTCCTCAAAAAGGGTTTTGAATCTATCTTGGCTGGAAATTGATTTTTGAGAAGGTGCGCCCGACTAGAAACGACTTTGTTACTTCTTGTCAAGGCTTCCTCATTATAGTCTTGAAGTTTTCCTCGTTTCAATCAGCTTTATCTCACATTTTGAGATTTTTCCGAACTCTGTGGACCCGAATTCGAAGATATAATGACTGTTTGACAAATTCAAACCCACAAAATGACCTCTCTTCTCAGATTTTCAAACTCGTTTGACGAATTGGCGATAAAATCTAGTCGATGCCCTCAAAAAAGTCCCCAAGTTGTCAATTTCGTGATGAAATTTTAGCTCATTTCCTTTTTTTGCTTTGAAGATTGTTCTGTGGATTTTCGAGCTTACTACTCGGAATTTAATTTCTTTTTAGTCTTTTCTCTGTTTACTTCACTGTCAAAAAGCCACACTGTTTGATCTAACCCAACTTTTTTCCTGTCTTTTTTTCTGATAAATCTTTCAGCATGCGACAAATCTTCATTCTTTGAAAAATTAGGATGTCATCTTACTAGCACAGGCAAAAAAGGTTGCTGGAAGGCTCTATAGAAATTTTCCTTTTAGAGTAATGAAGGCTCCCTTTTTGCTGCCTTTTTGCTCCAGTTTCTCAGCCCTTGTGCACCATTTTTGCTGCCTCTCCCTTTCTCCACCATTTCTCGAGGCTTTAAAATCCCAGAAGAATGGAAGGCTTTATAAAGGGACTCTCTTTGCTGCCTTTTTTGAGCCTTTTAGCGGCCATTTTCCACCATTCCAACTTTGCCCGAGTAGGGAACGCTTTCATGTGACTTGACCAGTGCTTAATTTTGCAAACTAAATCAATCGATACGGGCCTTCTTTATTGTCAGTTTTTTCTCGAAGTTATGCAAAAACGTCGTATACATCTGGAGTTGGGCTTCGGACAGTCGGCAACAGAGTAGCACAGGTCGTAGCTCCGGGTTCTGCCTAACACTTGGCAACCACCGTTGATGCAGTGGAAGCTCGCCGCTGGACAATCCGATTGGACTTTGCAAAGGGCATAAGGAATAGTGTCAATCTTATTTTCTTGGGGGCTGATGGGAGATAGGAGACTGATGAAAATAAGGAAAAGGGGAATAAAGGCCTTCAGAGGCATTTCGGAAGAGTTGAAGCGATTCTCGGACAGTTTCTCAGTTTTTATAGACCTCAGATTCCCAGAAACTGATTTGTCAGGAATAATTTGTTGCTGAGAATATTGGTTGTTTTTTTAAGTCCTTGAAATATCTCTGCTCGGATCCGGCTGAACAATTATAGGGACCTCTTAAGATGCTGATGCCCCTAAATTGGTCACTAGAAATGCTCAGGAACGTCCGAGGCGTGTCCGGTTTGCGTTACCGCGATGAAGAATGGATTTTTTTCAAAGTTTATTTTTTTATTTTTTTAATCGGAGCTTCATCGTTAAATGTGCTCTATGGAGAATAATATTTTATTTTTTTGAAAAGTTTTTTTCATCCAATTTTTTTCTCGTATCAGTCAGAAATTGGAAGTTCAGACTTTAATAAAAAAACCGTAACTTTTTCAAATCTTTATATCCTGTTAGCAGAAACATTTATTCTTAACCTGGCAACATCACAACACAACTTCGAGCTGTTCAATTTTCATATGGGGATTCGACCTGCTGGTTTATTTTCGTAGCTGATGCATTTATTGGCGACACAACGTTGGTAGGGCGGCGGACAGTCGTGCGTATAATCGCACTCAATGAAGTGCAGAATCTTCTTCCTTTTGATTTTCCTCGCGTCGGTTGGAGCTAGAAGGCTGAGGATGATCACTAGAAGTGGAATGAACGCCTTCAGGAGCATTTTGAAAGGGTTGGAATGACTTTCAGACCATTCTATCGGTTTTATAGGCCTCAAGATCCCAGAAACTGATTTTAAATGGAAATTGTTCGATGGGAACGTCTCAACGTTTTTCAGGACTTTTTCATTTCTAAAAATTCAGTGATTCAGAATCTTTGATTGGTGAGAACCTTACTAATGGGGAAAAATTTTACGTTTCAGTTTTCAGTTTGTTGCTTGAAAGGTATTCTTATAGAAAAACACAGTCTTAGCTTTTTTTTATCTCAAACTGTTAAAAACATTTATTCACGTTTTCGACAACACATTTCGAGTAGAAACGCATCAATTGCCTTAAAACTTGTACTGTTCACATCTTCCAAAAGAGCAGTAGGGCTTGGGAACGCGGCAATCCGTATTTGTTGAACATCTTTGAAAGAAAGCTGGTCCTATGGCGTCGGTTATTGATAGAAGACTAATGAGAATGACTAAAATAGGAATGAAGGTCTTCAGAAACATTTCGATAGTAGATTCAGGAGATTCCATCGTTCTTATAGGCCTCAGGATCCCAGAAACTGATTTAGAATGGAAAATTGTTCGATGGGAACGTTGGTTTAACGTCTCAACATTTTCCAGGACTTTACCAGTTTTTTTCTGATAATACATCCGGTGATTCAGGATCTCTGATTAGTGAAAGCCTTACAAATGGGAAAAAAAACCCAGCTTGTTGCTTGAAAGGTGTTCTTTTGAAGGAATATTCGTTTTTTGTCTGTGAGCCGATTCCCTTGAAGATACCAGAAAAATCCTTTTATCTCCACTGTAGGTCTAAATTTCAATTTCTCAGACGCTAAGAATTTTTTTTTAAAAAATTTAGAAAACTCCGTAGATCTCACTGAATTTTCATCACACATTTTTCGAGCTAGATCATTCTAACCTCCTCTGTGAGATCTACTTGAAGATGTGTTATTGCCTTGAGATAAGGGGGATTATCATTGTTTTTTCAAGAATCTTGCAATGGAAACAACATTTATTCACTTTTTTCTCTCAATCTTAACAAACTCCAAGCGAGAAGTACAGCTTTCCTCCAGGCGGTTCAGGGTTTACCGGCTCTGCATCTCTTCCCAGAACAGTACGGATGGGATCTGGGGCAATGAGAATCCTTGCGGCATTCTTTGCCGCTCTTCTTTTCTTCATCTTCTGCTGAAATGGGGGACAGAAGACTGAGAATGATCAGCAGAATGGGGATGAAGGCCTTCAGAAGCATTTCGAAAGAGTTGAAGTGATTTTCGGACTAGTTCTCAGTTATTTATAAGCGGTATGATCCCAAAAATCAATTAAGTAGGGAAAATTGTGTGATGGGATCTTAAATTTGGTTCCTTCAAGTCTTGAGGGTTTTTGGAGGCGTTTCTAGATCCAACTCTTTCGATTCACTCAAATTGAAGCATGGAGTTCCACTTTTTCAACTTATTTCAGGCTTGGAGTTATTGGATATGGTTCTAAAAACAAGGCAATTTTTCTTGAGGTGCAAAAATCTTTTGGATTATTTTCTGCAGAGCTCAACTAAAACTTCTAATTTATCAATTATTATTGCCAATTTTTTCCGACTTGAAAGGCGAGGGGGTTTTTTTTTCATTTTTTTGTGACCTCGTCGTGGAGGGACACAGAGACACTCGATATTTTTTTCTTGAATGGGACAAATATTGTGATAGGAACAATATTTATTCAAAGTTTCACAACAAAATTCGAGCGAAATGACAAAATGACTTTTTTCAAGGATCAAAATGTGTTGTGTTGAGATTCCTGCATATTCTCGCTCTGCAGTAGGGCCGGTTTCTCTTGCAGTGGGAATTATTTCGGCACCTTCTAGTCCACAATGTTTTCCTTTCTTCTTCTGCTTTGATTGGCGATAAAAGATTGATAATAATGACGAGGATTGGGAGAAATGCTTTCAAAAGCATCCTGGAAAAAAAAAGCGATTTTGGGACTATCGTTCAAGTTTTATGAGCCTCAAAATCACATGAACGTTACATGTAGAATTGTCTGATGAGATCACATATTGAGCCAATTTTTTGAATCTTCCCAATTAAATTGTAAGATGTGAACCTCATCCTCGACTCTAAAGTCTCATCAAACAATTTTCCGTTCTAAATCAGTTTCTGGGATCCTGAGACCTATAAGAACTATGGAATCTCCTGAATCTACTATCAAAATGTTTTTCAAGATCTTCATTCCAATTTTAGTCATCCTCATCAGTTTTCTATCACTAACCGACGCCACCTGTCCAACTTTCCCCTCAAGAAAAAAATTCGATCCGGATTGCGATTTTCCCAAGCCCCGCTGTTCCTTGGGAGTTTGTTCAAGTTACAAGATAAATCTAAATTGATGCGATCCCACTCGAAATCCTTTGTCGAATGAATGCTGTTAATTGTTTGAGAAAAAAAAGCTAAGACTGTGTTTTTCAACGAGAATACCTTTCAAGAAAAAAGTTTAAAACTGGTCAGAAAACTGAAAAAGTCGTGAAAAGATGTTGATTCTCCATTTTAAAACAGTCTCTGAGATCCTCAGGCCTATAAAACCGATAGAATAGTCTAGAATGGTGAAAATTGTTTAAAAAGGGATACGGGGGAATGAGAACCTCATCCTCGACTCGAAAGTCTCATCAAACAATTTTCCATTCTAAATCAGTTTCTGGGAGCCTGAGATCTATAAAACCGATGGAATCTCCTGAATTTACTATCAAAATGTTTTTCAAGATCTTCATTTCAATTTTAGTCGGCCTCATCAGTCTTTTATCACCAACCGACGCCCTGGGGCCAGTAAATTTCCACCAAGGATGTGTAACAAAATGGGATTGCCGTCCTCCCAAGCCCTACTGCACCTTGGGAAGTTGTGAAAAATACAAGTTATTATTAAGTTGAGGCGATTTTACTCGAAATGCCTTGTCGAAAACGTGAATAAATTTTTTTAATTGTTTGAGAAAAAATAATAATAGCTCTCAACAATCAAACGCCCTGAATCACTGAATTTTGATCAGGAAACTGAAAAAGCCCTGAAAATCGTTGAGACGTTCAACCAACGTTCCCATCGATCGATTTTCCATTTCTAATCAGTTTTTGGGAACCTGAGGTCTATAAAGCCGATAGAATGGTCCAAAAATCACTCCAGCTCTTTCAAAATGCTTCTGAAAGCATTCATCCCGCTTCTGGTCATCATCCTCAGTATTCTATCTTCAATCGAAGCCAAAGAAGAAACTAAAAGAATATTCCATGGTCGAGAGTGTCACAAAGATTCGGACTGCAGGCCATCCCACCCCTTTTGCGTCTTTAAAAAATGCAGAGTCCATCCAAGGCCTTAATTTTTGACAGGAAATTCTGTTTTTTACTCGGAATGTGTTGTGATTGGGTTAAATGGTGAATAAACGTTTTTTTCTACCAAACTATTATTTTTTTGAAAAAAATAATAGTTGAATTTTTCAAGCCATTTTTTTAAGAGGAGTTTTCCTCAAAAATGATTATTTTTTTATACAAAGTTCTCTAATAATGAAAACGAACCTAAAGAATAATAAGTTGAAAAAACCATAAATTAATTGAAAATAGGCAAAATTTCCCCCATTTTCGGTTTACAATTCAATTTGAAGCCCCACAATATCCAAAAGCAACTTCCTGAACAGATAACGTCAATTTTTCCTGCCTTGGAAGACGAAATGGGTAGATAGGCAAGGCACGGCGTTCCCAAACAGGGTGAAGAAACGTCAAAAAATTTTGGCGCGAAACTTGAAATCTCAAGTACGCAGCCAAATGTTTTCTTCATGCCGTCGAATACTCAGTTTAATTTGCAACGATAGGTAGCTGTGACGTCACAGTCCTTCTATCCGAAGCGCGCACTTACTTTTTTTGTAAATTCAGAAACTTTGACGCCTCGCTCACCTTCCCTCACCCCATTAGGAATGCCGTGCAAGGGTGAAGCGTTGCGTGTGCGACGCGGCTTTTTGGCGGGGAACTCGAGATCAAACGCATTTTTCAAAACCATGTAGAAAAATTCAGTTTTTCGAGCATTTTTTTACTTTTATTCGTTCATTCTTCAAAGACATGTAAAATTAAAGGTTATTGAAAGAACTATCAAAAAAAAGCAGAGCTGTTCTCGGGGCAACCGCGGTCGACCGAGGGCCCCCCGACTTGCGGCGTATTCGAGGGCGGCCGCGGTCGGCCTTTGGTAAGGGTCAACTCGGTCGACCCGTAGATACAAATTTTGTTTTGACTCCCGTTTTTTTTGCGAATTATGGAAAGCGCAAGTTTTACTGAAATGAAAGTGAAACAAAAACCATTTTTTATCGAGCACATAAAGAGCAAAACCGATGAAATGAGATATTAATCCAAAAATTCAATAGTTTCCTAAATGGCCAGAACAATTTACAGAACTAGAGAAAACAAATTAATAAATATAAAATAATTTGAAATTTTCACATCACCAGGAATTTCATTTTTTTGCAAAAAAATTCATTCAAACCACTATTTGAAATATTATTTTATTTATTTACAAAGAGAAAAAAACGAAAAAAAGATGCGAAAAAAAGTGAAATCAAAAAGCACGATTTCTGTCAAAAAAACAATAAAATTAAAAATTTTCATGGATCATAAATAACTTAAAAAGTTCATTTTTCAATATAAAAAAACTAAAATAAAAAAACAAAAAAATACGGAAAAATCCTCGCGCTCGCTTCGGGGGCCTGAATGAAAACCGCTTCGCGGGCCGGGGCGCTCAGGGGCGCGTCGCGGTCGGGTCGGGGCGGCCTCGGCCAGGGTCGCCCCGACTTGAGAACAGCTCTGAAAAAAAGAGATATTCAAAAATGATGGCACGTGTTTGACCTCAGATCCCCGCAAAAAAGTCGCGCCCATGTCCACGTCCAAAGTATCAAAAAAAAAATCTTCTCAAAAATGGGCAGTTAGGCTTGGAAAAAATTTGGAAAAAAGCTGAAATTTGATAATTTTCAGGTCTAAAATGTCCATTTTCAACAAGCTTTTTCTCGGTATCTTTTAAGTTTTAGCAGATTATGAATCCTGTTTTGAACTACCCTAATTTAAATCTTTAAGCCACCAAATTTTGAAGTTAGTACATTCACAGTTTCGGCCGATCTGTTCATCTCGCCTTTTGAATGAGGAAGGATTAACTTTACTATTTTATATCTTTTCATGTGAACAAAGTATAATGGATTTGTAGTAACGATCTTTATCAATTTTCATACTTCTACCGAAAATAATTCAAGGGAAGCTTTTCGATCTCTGACGTGGTACGCATTTATTATTGACGCAGCGTGGACGCCAGACCGGGCACTGGTAATCTTGGTCGCATTCCTGAAATTGGTTTTTGTGATCACTTAATAGAATTTATAGAAAGGGAAGTGAGGCTGATAACTTTAGGAAACTCAGCGGAGAAGGACCTTTTTAGGACATCCTGATCACACTTTAGTTTAAGTTGAATAAAATCGTCTTTTTTTAAAGATATCAACCCATTTTTCTTGATAAGAGAGGGAGGTGTTTTCGGCGCCAACTTGAAATTCCTGCTTTTAGGCACTGATCAAAAATGTTTCATCAAACTAGCAAGCATCCACTCTTTGCACCGCCCTTGGAAGTTGAAATACGTCCCGAAAAAAAAAACCTTGTCTGGTCTTGGCCGCATAGTGAATGGATGGGATGGACCGGGAGGAGGAAGGGGCTTCTTGTTCCAAGGGAAGTTCTGGTACCAAGGAACCTTGGGGGGAGCACCCCGAGGTGGTTCCGGCAGACGCCTCTCGCACCAGCCGCCTCTACAGTACGGGAAAGCTGCCGGACAATCGGCGTTCGTTCTGCATCGGAACTGAGCGACGGTTGGGGTCAGAAGGGCGATCAGGACGACCAGAAGGGGAATGACCACCTTTGGAAGCATTCTCGAAGAATGAAAGTGCTTTTTGGACTGTTTTTTGGCTATTTATAGGCCTCAGGAACCGACTTGAGCACGTTGGAATTGATCAGGTTTCTCAAGAACTTTAGTTTCCCAGAAGGCAATCTAAAATCGATTCCCAAATCCCAAGCAAGGCCTGATCGAATTCATATTGTATACAATTTTCATTCTCAAAATCCCACCAAACAATGAACGATTCCAGATTGCCTTCTGGGAAACTAAAGTTCTTGAGAAACCTAATCAATTCTAACGTGCTCGAGTCGGTTCCTGAGGCCTATAAATAGCCAGAAAACAGTCCAAGAAACACTTGCCATCTTCGAGAATGCTTCCAAAGGTGGTCATTCCCCTTCTGGTCGTCCTGATCGCCCTTCTGACTCCAACCGTCGCTCAGTTCCGATGCAGAGACAACACCAATTGTCCGCCAGCTTACCCGCACTGTATAAACGGCTGGTGCGAGCCTTTCCCTCCCCCTCCTAAGCCAAAGGTTCCTTGGTACCAGAAACTTCCCTGGGTCAAGCGTCCCCCTCCTCCGCCAATCAAGGTAATTTTTAGGCCAGACAAAGTATTTTTTTTCTGGACGTATTTCAACTTCCAAGGGCGGTGCAAAAAGTGGAGGCTTGATAATTTGATGGAACTTTTCCGATTAGTGCCCAAAAGCTGTAAATTTAAGTTGGCGCCAAAAACCCATCCTGAACTCTCATCAAGAATATAGGATTATATCATTAAAAATGACAATTTTATTTAACTTCAACTGAAATGTGACCAGGATTTTCTAAAAAGGTCCTTCTCAGCAGAGTTTCATCAAATTATCAACCTTCAACACTTTCTTATATATGATTTCTTGGAAGACAAAACTCGATTACAGCAATGCGAACAAGATTACCATTGTCCGGACTGGCGCCCACGCTGCATCAATAATCAATGCATGCCACGTGTGACATGGGAAACTTGGTCTTGAACTATTTTCGGTAAAAGAATGAAAATTGATAAAGTTTGTTACTAGATGTCCATTCTACTTTGTTCACAGGAAGAAAAAAGTAGTAAAGTCAATCCTTCCTTTCTTGAAAGGCGAGAGGAACGAGGTCAAACGCGTTCCATCTTTTTTTAATATCTCTCCTTTTGATAGTTTTTTTAAATAATTTTTCAATTCGACATGTCTTTGACACGATTAGATGAACGAATAAGTGTATAAAACTAATAATAAACTTAATCTTTCTACATGTCTTTCATGATTACGTTTGATCACAAGTTTCACGCCGAAAAGCCGCGTCGCACACGCAACGCTTCGCCCTTGCCAATCTAACCATCGCTTTTCAAGTCGGGAAAAAATTGATGGGAGTTGCGTTCGGATGTTTGAATATTGAATATTTATTTCACTCTGATACATAAATGTTGCGGAGACAAACACTATGGAATTCAACTGTAATTCGAAAATGGGAGAAATTTTCCTATTTTCATTTATTTTTTGGTTTTCTCGACTTATTAATCTTTTGGCTCGTTCTCAGTTCCAGGAAAATTTGTATAAAAAAAGAATCATTTTTTAGAGAAAAACTCCAGTTGAAGATTTAAAAAAACCTTCAAACCTAGTTATTATTTATCAAGAAGAATAGTTTGGTAGAAACAGGGCGCAACAGGTTGTGTGCCTGTCTGCGGTCCACAGGGTCATAAGTTCGATCCCAACCAAGGGCTTTAAGAAATGTTGGTAGTGGGAAACCACGGTTTTAAAATTCCAAGCCGTCACACACAAGGACGGCTAGGTCACTAGAGTCAGTCCAATGATTATCAGGATAGGTAGGGACCACAGACCTACTTTTTCGAACTCAAGCTAAATCCTCGTTTTTTTGTTATAAAAAAATAATTATTGTAGTATGCAAAAAAACAGAAAAAGAAAAAAACGAAAAAAATATTAGGAGTAGGAGGAGAAAACAGTATTTAAAAGTAATCGAAAAGCAAAATTTTGCGTACTGAAAATTTGATTTTGCGAATTCTCATGCAATCTGCGCGCACTCTTATTTGCAAGGGCGGCACGGTTCCATGAGCCAAAGAAAGAAGGTTTTACGAGCTTTTTTTAATCGTTTTCAAGGATTTAGCATTCTAATTTTGACTGTTTTCGAAGTGATCTATCAGCTTTACCGGTAACATGAATTTGGAATAATTGAAAATGGAAAAAGTTGAGTATATCTTTAAATTGAATTTATTTTTCGTGTTATTTCTTTTTATTCATTCCGTTATACTTTCAGAAATTTGTACCAAAGCTTGAAGCGCAGTATATCTGAAAACGATGAAGAACAACCCTGTGATAAAGTGAATGAACACTATAACTTGGTACATTTTTCAGATTTCCCTCTCATTTCTTTGGGATTCGGAGAAAAAATTATATTTTTACATTTATTTTATTTTACAAGCGACTTAAGGATTTTCACAACGGATGGAACGAGTTGCAGTAACTAACACTTATTAGGAGAAATAAAAGAATGAAGAATTCCTGTCATGCGGCCTCATTTCGCTTCAATTTCAGTCTTTTTTTTTCTTTTTTCAATAAAAATAAACATGACACCAATTGATGTGCGTTCTAAACGAACATCAAGCTAGTTTTGAGTCGTAAAATGCCGAGGCCCTATCCTTAGTGCTTCAAGTGCTTCTCGGACTGTTTTCTGACTTTTTATGGGCCTCAGGAACCAACTCGAGCTCGTTAGAATTGATCAGGTTTCTCAAGAACTTTAGTTTCCCAGAAGGCAATCTGGAATCGTTTATTGTTTGGTGGGAGTTTGAGAATGAAAGTTGTATTCAATATGAATTCGATCAGGCCTTGGGATTTGGGAATCGATTCCTAGGAGTTTTTCGAGAACTATATACTCCCAGAAGGCAATCTGGAAGCGTTTATTGTTTGATGTGGACCTTCTGATAACATCTCTTCAAAACCTGTAGTCTGAAGATGGAAATAGTATTGGATCTTCATTGGTTAAGGTCTTGGAAGCTCGAAAATTGATTCGAAATTGAAGAAATGTAGCATCTCATGAGATTACTTGAACTATTTTCTTTTTATCATGAAAGTTTAAAATAAAGTATTTTTTTCCCAAGATGGAAATGAGGTTGAATCTGAACGATAATGTTAAAAAAACTTGACCACACTTTTTTTCTCTTCGTTTCTTTTTTTCTCATGTTTGACCTATTGGATTTGTTAAAAAAATTTTTTTAGTCTGTCAAAGTTTCCGAAAGTAAGAAAAATTTCTATTCTACCTTTCAAAGGCGTAAATTAACTCTAAACGCTCTAGTGATCACTGAGGCGTCAAATAGAGCTAACTTGAGGGGTTCCTTTAAAGGCTACTTGAACTTTTTTTCGTACACATCTAGCTCTTTTTTTTTCATAGATACTTTTTTTTGAAGTTGAAAAAAGATATTATTGAAGTAGATTCTATAATAATCACTATAAAGAGCACTCTGAATGCTCTAGGGACCACTAACAGGTCACTTCTGAAAGATTCTTCAAGTGACCACTTGAGTCATTTTTCTGACTTTCTCGTAACCCACTTCCAAAACGATTGATCTCCCAAGAAGAAGAAGGAAAATTCTTCCTTTCTCAGTGAGGGAATATTTGTGTGGATCCGGAAGGCCTCCCCGACTGAACTAATGCAATCAGTGGGAAATGCTCTCTTCTACTAACCAACTTCCAAAAAAAAGGAAACTAGTGCAAAAATGGCCACAATTCAAGCCCGTTCTCTTGGTTTTTTGCTCTTCTCGTGCTGGAATTATGGCTTTTTAAGAAGTATTTGACTTGTAAATTCCTGAAAATGTTTACGAAATTGATGAAAAGGCTACTCTATACCATTTTCCTTGAAGATCTCATTTTCTCGATTTTTTTCAAAATCCATTTTTCCAATTTTCGCCCCCATAAATTTATTGTTGCAAAGACTAACGCATTAAGCTTTTTTTTTTGCGGATTATCTTTTTTATTAATTTTTTTTCTCATTTTTAAGCTATTTTCGATAATCCGTTATCACTGAATTTGAAGAATAAATGTCAAAAATGAGCAAAAAAGAGGTTTTTTCGCTGTAGTTTTTGAAAAAATTTAGCTTTTTCAGAAAAGTTTTCCGCTATCTTATTGTTTTTGAGTATTTTGAAAAAATGTATTAATTATTTTCCCGTTTCATATTCAGTTTTTGGTTTTTTTCCACGAAGCTGTACCTTATTTTTGAAGTTTTTTCGAGCTTCTCGATTTTTGGAAGTTTTTTCTTGTCTTGGAGTGAATTTTGAGCGTTGAAGAATATTGAGTACATATTTTTCAAAGCGAAATGTTTGAATTTTTGAATTTTTTTGATCTATAATTTTTTTGACAAGATCATTTTTTTGATCTATGAAAAGATTTGTACTTTTTGGGTCATTTTTTTCATTTTTCCTCAAATATTGCCTTTTTTTAAGGGCTTCTATGAGCTTTAAAAATTAAGATTTGTACAGGAGTTCGGATTTTTTTAATGATATAAGTATTAAAAATTTTTTTTTGTGATCGTGTTCGTGTTGTGTTACCCTCTTTCATTGGATTTTTTTGAGTTCTCTTTTTTTCTGTTTAAAAAGTATCGATTTTTCCAGGTGGTCGACATCTTTTCCTTGGATCCGGCACCACAATCAGAGACCGCCCTGGAGGACGACTTCAAAATGGCGCGCACCGAGAGTGCTTGCCGGTTCGCTTTCCTGTTTCAACTTTTATTCTTGAACAAAAGTCGTTTCAAAATGTCATTCAGATGGTTTATTCAAAATTTATGCGAAATCTTGTTAATTTTGCAATTTTTTTTTCATTATAGATTTTCTCCAGTGTTACGGTAAGAGGTTTTTGTGCATTCGAGACTATTTGAAGTTTTCGCATGTTTTGCCCTGTTCATTAAGCTGGTTCACGGCTGTCTTGAGCCATCCGAAAATGGGTCCTGACACGATAAGAAAAGAGATAGTGCCTGGTCGGTGGAGAGCGCAGACAGGCCACGCCCCCTTAGCGTCCCAAGTTAGCCGTGAATCGACTATAGTAATTTCCGCGAACTTCAGAAAAACCGTCAGAGAGGGGAAAAGATAACTAAAAGTTGGAGAATCAGAGATAATTTTGCTTTTCGCGAACACGACATTAGAGATCGTACAAAAACGAGAGGGCGTGGGGTTTTTCTTTCTCTGAACGCCCTCTTGTTTACCAGTGCTCTCTAACTTGTGGGCTCGTAGAAACGATTTTTGGCGGAAAAAATGAATTTTATGGTCTGCGAAATCTTTAGAAACTCGTCAATTTCACGTCTTTTTCCCTTTTTCAAATTTAAGAAAAGTAACTTTTTTTAGCTTTCCTAGTTTAAAAAGTACTAAAGGAAAGGTATGAAGAAAAAACGGAATTTTTTTTGTTTTTGTTTTTTATATTTTGCAAAATATACGTTTTTTTATAATTTTTGAAATGGCAAAAAGCGGAGACTTTTTCGAATTTTTTTGGAGCAAGATTCAAATGATAACTTTTTCTCTGCTGCATTTAATAATTCGATTTCCAACCAATTTTTGAAAAAAACAAAAAATACGTCACCCGACAAAAATCAACCTAATTTACTTAACACGACCGTGAAAAACAAATGACGGGGAAAGATCAACTTTTTTTTTTTGAAGACCGGTTATGAATTTTGCGAAGGTTGGAAATATCTAACGAAAGAATTTTTAGGTTTTTCGAAAGAAAATCTCAAAAATGTGAGAATATTGGGAGATTTCAGCCTGAAACTGCTCCGAGCCGAAGTTCCGCCGGATCATCTACCGGCTGGATGTTCACCGACGGATCTCCAACCAGCCGTCAACGTCAAGGAGAAGATCGAAGTCAATGGTGAATAATCATTTTGTCACTTTTCTACGGATGCCTATATTTTATCACTTCAAAAATGGGCAAAATATTGAAATTATACCTAAAATAAGCAAAATTTCTTCCTTTTCTGGGCCCTCCACGGGAATTTTTCCATTTTTTTTTTGTGTAGGCGCAAGGTTTTTGACTCAAAAAGGAGATTCTTAAGGAGCAATGGACTTGACTATTTCTTCTTTAAGTTCCAGGGAAGTTGATAATATTTATTTGGAAGTTTCAGGCGAATCTCGTCTGGTACAGAAGAAGAAGACTCTGTACCCGGAATGGGACAAGTGTTGGGACACGGCGGTCACAGACGGCCGAATCCTACAGATTGTCCTCATGCTCAACAACACGCCGGTCGTTGAGGCCACCATGCGGCTTGAGGTAGGCCTTTTTCTTCTTGACTTTCAGTAAGTTAGGTAAAAAAATCTTCGAATAAACTTGTCCGGTCAAATAGCTGAATTTCTCCCATTTTTGGGACTTCTAAACTTGAAAAAATAGTAGTTAAACTTGAAAAACTACGACGTTATCATCATTTTTAGCTTTTGAAATTCGAGGTCCTAGAAAAGCTGATTCTAATTCCATGAAGGATTTTTCAAATCCTTCGGAAACAGTTTTTTTTCTATATACTGGGAAATATTTTCAGTGGCCACCATAGGGTTTTGACGTTTTAGTGGCCAGTATAGTAGTAAAATTAGTGGCCACTCAAGGGGTTAAAAGTTAGTGGTCACTATAGAGTTCAAAGTGCTAATACTAGACCACTTAAAATTTTAGTGGCCACTTTAAGGGTCGATGGATCAACATAACTGGTCCAATCTGTCTGTTTTAAAATTATCAGAGTTACTGGAAGGAATACTGGATAAAAACTACTGAAGTGGCCACTAAATAGAGAAAACTATAGCGGCCACTAAAACGGAAAATAGTGGTCACTTTAGTGTCCTCTCAAAGTAGTCCTTGGTGAGCCTCTATAGTGGCCACTAAAAATTTTCCCAGTACTATTCGCCACGACTCGAAATTGTCTAACCTGTCTGCGCTCTCTTTTCTCTCGCCGATGATGTCAGAGAAATATTAAAATATCACGTAAACACGAGAGCATTGTTTAGATGAAGAGAGTGCAGAGAAACACGATTTTTTTTCAACTTTGTGACACTAAATTTCAGACAAAAACGTGTCTCAGAAAAGGATCGTTTCAATTTTATCGATTGGAAGGATTGGTGAGAGAAAAGAGAGTGCAGAGAAACAAGCTTTTATTTAAATTTTACGGATGAAAAGTACCCAGAAACTTGAAAAAATACGAATTATATAGTGTAGAGAAGGGTATCTTCCTCGATAAAATCATCCTTTTACTCGAAGAGAGAAAAAGAGAGCGCAAAGGTGTCAGATTTTTTTGAGATTTTCGGAATGAAATGTACCCCTAAATTTATTAGAAAAACCAATTATATACTGTAGAGAAGGGCATCTTCGTGTAGTAACCCAAGAAAATCATCATTTTCATCAGTTTTGATGACAATTTCCGTATATATTTCTTGTTGTGAAATCATCTTTTTTTGTTATCATTGATAACCTTTGTGTGGCCTGCCGTACAGTAGAAACATGTGGGTGAGGATGACATTTTTTATTATTACATTATTTTTTCTGAAGTAACTTAATTTGGAGCTTATTTTGAATTTTTGAACTTTCGATTTCGCTCTCCAACATGTGAAAAATCAAAAAAACAAAAAAAATTCAAACATCAATTTTTTTCGTTTTTTTAGGTGAATATCCATGTCGAAATCCAATTGTAGAAGTTTATTTCACTTGAAATACAGTCCATCATGCGTGTAAAACATCCCGGGGGCATTTGGAATGGCCAGAAACGTTTTGGTTCAAGCCGTTTTGAGTCGGGCGCATTTTTAGCCATTCCCCATGCGACCAACTTTTTTTTTCAATGAGCAACTTGAAACTCTAGAACACTTTAGTTTGGGAGGAACCTTTTTTCTCCATTTTTTGCCTCTTCTCCGATTTTTTCCGCTGTTTACCTTTGCACTACACGAAACTAGGAAAGAGGCAATTTTCCAAATTGTGAATATTTATTCGTTTTTTTTCCTTTTTCAATAATTCAAAAAGGTTGCAAGCTCTCTTTTTCACGGCTGAAAATGCGCTTTTTCAATCTTCATGACCAATTTTCAACTTTTTGAAAGAAAAAAAAAACGCTTGTGGAGGTCTTTTCAGCTTTTTTCTTTGACGTGGTTTTTGAAGAAAGGGATTTTTGAAGTGGCTGACTCTTGATTTTTCAGTTGAGAGATTTTGAAACTTTAAAGAAGAAAAAACTGCTTTGAAATAAAATTTTCGACATTGAAAAAATGAATTGAGAAAAAAAGACGAATTTCGCATTAGAGCGCATCAGATCATACAAAAAAAGGGCTTCTGATTGTTGTTAAATGTTAATTGCGGTTTCCGAGCTGTTTTCTGATTTTTAAGAGTGAAAAATTGATATAATTCGCATTAGAGCGCAGAAGGTTTACCGATATGAGCCTTTAATTAAATTTTTTTGCCTTTTTTTAAATGTTTTTCAACAATTTTCACTCTAAATCCAAGGTCACAAGCCCATGTTCCCATTTTTTTCACAATTCAAACACCATAAAAATTGTGAAACAACGAGTCGTCGCCGGAAAAAAACGACAAGATAAAAAATAGGCGCTACGGAAGTCGACAAATTCACTTGGGGATTCGCTCAGGAAGACCGAATATGTATATATCGCAACGGGAAACGCTTCCCAAAAGAAGAATAGGCCTTTTTTTTATCTTGTTGGAAAGTTTATTTGTTTGATTTCGTGTTTTTCGAGCTTTTAATGTTTCAAAAATGAACTTGAACAGAGATTTTGGAGCTGATATTGGTTAGAGGCTGTTTTTGGAGGACTTTTTGAGCTCTGATGCGAATTTGAATGTTTTTTGACTTTTTAAGGTCCTAAAGAAACATTTTTGATTTTTTTTTAAATCAATAGGCTTTTTTTGATAGACAAGGTGCGCTCTGATGAGAATTTACAATTTTTTTCAAATTTTAACGTCTTAGACCTTGGTAACGCAAATCGGACGTGTCGGGGCATTTCTAGTGACCACTTTAGTAGCCTCAGCACTCTTAAGTGATCCCTAGAATCGCCCAGAAACATCAGGAGCACGTCCGTTTCGCGTTACCAAAGTCTGAGGTCAATTATTCAAAAAAAAAAATCACAGTTTTCGGAAAAAGTCAACTTGAGGCGGATTTTGATGCGTTTTCTGCACTGAGATGATAATTATATATTCTTCTATTTTTCAACGCCAGATTTGTTCTAAAAAGCAATAATGTACTCTGATGAGAATTTCATATCTTTTTCAAGTTTTTAAAACCCGAAGTAGTATTATTTTTGCTAGTGAGGCTATGTTGGATATGTTTTGTGCGCTCTGATGCGAATTTGTTTTTCCAAGTTGGGATATATATTTTTTTCAGACTTTCGTCATTAATATGTTTCTATTTCAAGATGATTTGATTAGCTGAATGATGACGAGTAGAGATGTTCTCATTTTTATCTTCGAAGATAGTTTATCAAAAGACTTTCTGATTTCTTTTTTCCAGCTCTCGTTTCATAGAAATTGTATATTTTTAGAAGGATTTTTTCATAAAATTTGAATTTTTCTAACCCGTGGCTCATATTTGAATTAATAATTGATAGATTCGCAGCGAAAAAAGGTATGAGAATCTTTCCCGGAGATTGCTTCTAAAGTATTATAAATTCTGAGATGGAAGTATTTTTTGGGTCTTTAGCAAAGCTTCCAGAAGTTGTCTGAGAAAATATAGCATTCGATGACTTATTGATAAATTTCAAAAAAAGAGCGGAAATGCGTCGCGTGCCTAAATTTTGAGTGCGTCCGACGGAAAACTACTTTCGCTTCTTGGCATCTTGTAGCATAGGAGCAGGGGAAATCGGTCAAGATTAGGCGCAAAATCTTTATTTTTAACCATGTCTACCTCCCTAAAATCGAGTGAAAATTACTTCTCGAAGCAGTTTTAGAGGAATCGCTTCAGATTCCTAATCCAGTCATTCAAAATATCCTCAATTCCAATCCAAACCATCTCATTCCTTCAAAAACCAATTTCAAGCCAAATAAATCACGCTTAAACGCCTGCACAAGTTGAGTCCATTAAAACGTTTGCTGGGAGATTTTTGAATTTTCAACCGGAAGCCTCCACGCGATTTTCACCGCTCAAAGACGATTTTTCTACGGATATTTTTCTTCGCCTTTTTTGCAATGACGTACGTAGATCACAGGCGAATTTTCAAGTCTCCGCCCACTTTTTTTTGGACTTTCTTGGTGGCCAAAATTTTTTGTTTATGTGTTCAATTTTTGCCGAATCGGCTGGTCTTGAGAACGACGATGTTGGTGAGATTTTTTTTTTCCATTTTTGGAAAAATCGGTTGTACAGATGGTTCTGAAAAAAGTGACTATTTAAATTTGAGCGATTTGAGTATAAAATTTTGAAAAAGTTAAGTTCTATATGAATCTTGGTTCATGAGTTTGACGAAAAAAATAATAAATGTAGTTTTTTTAAAATTTTTTTCTTTTTAGAATTTAAGATCTTGATCCTTTTTCGATGTCTTTTATTAGGGAATTTCTAAACTCTCGGTTGATTGAACTTCGCTCAAATGTACTTCAGGACCTGATTTCAAAACTAGAAAAAAATTCTCGGAGTATACTTTTTTGATTTTTGGAGTTTTATAGTTTGCAAAATACGCAAATTATGACAAAAAAGCGCTATTTCAAGTTTTTTTTTCAAGCGTCTTTAGTAAGTGAGATTCATACAGCTTTGTTGTGCACGAAAAAAATAGTATGCGAAAAAAATAGAAATTTTTAATTAAAACTACTCTGATTTCGTCTGCTGTTCGAAGTTTCAAAGTTGTCAAAAATTTTTCAAAAGCGCTCCTTATTTGGAATTGGAGAGTATGATCTTTTGATCTCAAATCTTGACCCTATCCCAGAACTTTTCTCAATTCGACCATCTCAAGAACAGGAGTTTTAAACGTTTTTGGCGTGGAGAAAAATAAACGAAAGAAAAGAAGAGGAAAATTTTCGTCGTCGAATGCAATGTTCAATTTCGCCTCAGGGGTAATATGCGTCGGTTTTTCGAAGCGGGGGCGCGAAAAAAAAAACGAAAAAAAAGAACGTGAGGATTCTTCTTTTTGGCAAGCAAACTTCGTCCTCGACGCCGTCGTTTTCCACTACTTTTCTCGTTCTTCTTCTTCTTCTTCTTTTCTTCGCCGTGTGTGCTCCCGTTTATTTCCTTCAATCCTCCTCCTATTTGAAGGAAGAAGAAGAAGGAGAAAAAACGGCCCCGAGGATGTGAATTGATGTGAAGCCTCCGATGCTCTCCTTTCCCACTTCAATTTTCTTCTTGTCCAGTTTTGTCATGTTTGATCTTCTTCTTATCTTTATCAGTCATTCTAACTTTTGGCTTGATGGTAGCTAAATATGGCATTGAAGCGTTTGAAAAAATTGAAAATCCTCATGAGAGCGCAAAAAATTTGAAACTGTTGAGCTCAATTGATGAACTGGGCTCGAGACTTTTTCATCAAGAAAAATTGGAAAAAAAAGCCACAGAGAGATGATCTTGTGCGCTGTGTGGACAAGCCTGGACCTTGGCAATTTTTCATCATTTTTTGTTATTTTCCGACATAAAAATTATCTAGTTTTTTCATGTTTATTTTGATCTTCTTCTAATTTTTATCAGTAGTTCTGATCTCAAACTTGAGAATGATTGTTTCAAACTTTTGATTTTTCAAGCTTCAATGGATAAATTAGGCTAGCCTTTTTCTTCAAGAAAAATTGAAAAAAAAAGCCACAGAGAGATGATCTTGTGTTTTCTGTGGACAAGCCAGGACCTTAAAAATTTTTCATCATTTTTCGTTATTTTATGACATAACTTTCATCTAGTTTTTGTCATGTTTATCTTGATCTTCTTCTTATCTTTATCAGTCATTCCAACTGTGTTCTTGAAAATTCTTATCACAAACTACGGATTTTCAGGAGGCGTGGCTTGATATTTTCCCCTGATTTTTTTAAATAGACGAAAAAAACCGCTGAATTATAAAAAGACAGCAAGCTTCTGACATTTTTTGCTTTACAACAATTTTAAGAAGAAACCAGGACTTCAATTCAAAGTTTACGAGAGAAAAGGAAACAATTTACCCATCCCGACTGGCCGAAACCAATCTTTTTTGTGGGTGGGCGAAGGAGGGAGAAAAATGCGATTTGAGGTCAATCTTGCCTAGAAAATTTGTTTTTTTCTCCGTTCTTCTTCTTTTTTTTTGAGTAGGAAAGCTTTTTTTCTTTTTCTGTTGTTTTGTCGACTAAAATACCTAAATTCATTGAAAATAGCAATTTTTCATGATGACGCTGGTGCATGAAATAACTTAAGATATGATAAATAAGTACTCCAAAACTTATAAATAGGTTATTTGAAAGAGAATAAGCCAGTGATCCTTTTTTCAATGAAATAGAGAACACTTTGAACCAAATTACGGGAAAGAGTGTCTTTTTTCGCTTATTACGTTGATTTCATGATCATTTAGTTTTGAAGAAAGAATTCGTTCACCTCCTTTTTCACAGATAGTATAATCAATAAGCGTTTTTTGAACTGGAAACCTGTAATTTAACTTGAAATAAGAAGATCAAGTTTGGCGCCAAGGGTCGTCATTGACGTCTTATTCGTGAACTGACGTCAATTTTGTCGATTTTTTTGGAATACGAATTTTTTCTTTTTTTTTTTTGTTTCTGTGTTTTTTCGTCAAACTTCGACTTTGTATAATCTACTTAAAAAATTTTTTTTTTGATTTTACCAATTTTTTTCCGGGATTATTGATCAATTTCTGAGTAGCCTGCAAGTATTCATTTTTTTCTTTCATATCTGTATTTATGAATGAATCTTAAAGCGGAATCGCTCCCAATTTTAATAAAATAGGTCTCACAGAAGTTTTTTTGTGATTGAAAAAAAGGCCATTTGTTCGATGGACTTCAAAAAAATTTTAAAAAAAAGGAAAAATTATAAAAATTTTTTTAAAAAAATTCTGATTTTTTTCAGAAGCTTGCTGAGGTCTTCAAAAATTTTTGAATATCTGAAATAAATCCAGATTTATTGTACGCTTTGAGACTTTTTTCAAGTTTGGCCTTTGCTCCTTTGAAAACTCCAGCAAGCTGTTGTGAATCAAGTTTTAGCGAGCGAAAAAATATCCTAGAACAGTTGGTTCCGCCTTTCAGAAAAGTAAAAACAGGACATAATGAAGTGCACATGTTAGCCATAAATCAAAGGCGTTTCTCTGTTTTGCAGGACATCATTTCCAAGTGCAAGACGGATGCGATCACGCACATTTGGATCAACACCAAGCCCGGCGGCCGGATCCTCGCCCAGACTCGACACCTCCGTCATGCAGGTTCCTGTTAGCATTTTGTACTTTTCATTGATTTTCGTCGTTATTCCTAAGAAATGTAGAGGAGAGTTGAGAAGTATAATCAAAAGTTGAAAAAAAAGTGAAAAAAGCTAAAAAGCCTTCTGTCATGCAGGTACCTGTTTTCATATAGTTTTTCATCCATTTTCAGCTTTCTAAAAAAAATTAAAATTTTTAGACCTTTCAATGAAAAGCGGCGTGGATTTCATGAAAGTCGATATTTTTTTACAAATTTTTTTATCCGGTCTGATTGTTTCCATTCCTTCAAGAAAATTTCTACTTTGAGAATTTCTTCATCGATATTATTTTACCGACTCTTTTTTGAAGGCTTTTCGAAGTTTTTTTGGAGCCTTTTTGAGGTTTAGAACTTCTTGTCTTGATTCTTTATCTATGCTCTTTTTTTTAAAAATAATCTCTACAAGTGTTTTTGAATCGAAAATTTTTCATTGAAGGCCGGAATCGAATATTTTTCAGTTCTGAAGCTTCTGTACAAAATATTTCATTTCCTCTGACTCTAAAAGATTTCAAAGTTCGTATACCGAAAGTTTTGTAAGGCTATTATCTCTCTGTCAATTGCGCTCTATCGAAAACTTATCTTTTTTTGGTATATTTAGGATTTTTTTCTTCTTTGAATTAAGGCTTTTTTTGTGTTATTCACCACCCTAGAATCTTACAGGCCATATCAATTAGGATATAAGGTTTAAAAAAATTGTAAAATTCAGATCAAAAAAAGAGAAAAAAAGCTCATAAAGCCACATACACATTCAATAAACATGCGGAGAAGTTATTTGATCGTTAAATTTTTTTTTTACGCGATTCCCACTTTTGATATGTTAGCAGGACGTTTCTTTATCTATTCAATATCATTGAATCTCACAGAATCAACTAATTACATCATCAAAATTAATTTTCTTGGTTTCTTGATCTGTTCAACGCAATTTTAAGCTTTTTCAATTCCACACGACCTTTTTCCAGAACTTTCCTAGACTCTTACAGACTGGACCAATTGGCTTATTAAATTACAAAAATTGGAAAATTAAGAGTAAAAAAAAGGGAGAAAAAGCCCATAAACCCACAGATGCACACACATTCAGTAGACATTAGCGGAGCGAATGAACGAAGGAGAAAATTGGATGGGCCGCCGACGTTTTTCAGATGTTCATCAAGGGAGTTTGGAAAAAAAAACGGAATGGAAGGGAAGAAGAAGAAGAAGAAGAAGAAGAAGAAGGAAACTGGCGGTGGTTGCCGAAGATGGAAAATGTCGCAAGCGATTTGCATGCTCTTTGCCTGTGCCCAAATCTGCTGCCGTTTTTCTTCCACCCCTTCCAATCTTCCTTCCTTTTTAATCCGCCAAAAACTTCTTTTTCTTCTGGCTTGGCTTTTGTCGCGGTTCGATAGAATATCCTCTTACTTTGAGATGTCTTCTTGAGCCTTTTGTCGACTTTCAAGAATAATTAGAAAAACTACTCAGAGAATCTGTATTTTAGCAGGCCTTTTTTGACCCTTGTCATGATCTTGCAGTGAGATTTTTTAGCCATGGTTTTTGCTGGGCCGTCTGCCGTCCTTTTCCGAATGTTTCTTCCTTTGGCTTGGCTTTTGTCGTGATATTTATTCCGATGAGAGGACCCCAAGATGTTCTTAGATCTGGAACCGAAGTCATGGTCCGATTCGGATCGGAGTAGCTCTTTTTTTATCTTCCTATCTTCAGATATTCTGAAAAGTACAGTGTTTCGTCTACTTTGTCTTTCTTCACAGTCAAGAACGGATATCTAGTTTCTGTGAGGTTTTGAGATTTTGAGCCGTAGCAATGGTTCGATTCTGGTAGTCCCTTTTTTTTCTGTTCAAGAAGTAAGTACAACTCTTAGTCTTTTCTGAAAAATAGCTTCTCTGACGGTGAGCAACTCTATTTTTTCTTTTTATTCGGTTTCTAGAATAAATTTTCTTGCCCTTCGGTATTAGTTTTAGTCGAAACTCTGTTCTCGGAACCTTGAGCACGGCTAATGTTTTGGGTTCAATGAGAAGTTGTAGGTCTGAAGAACTGTGAAAGCATTATTCTATCTCACGGTTGGTTTTGACATTTGAGGATTTCAAAGGATCGCAGAGCTCAATGGAAAACTTTTTTGGAATATACAGAATTTTTGAAATTGTCGTTAGTTTCCAAATACTTCTACAGACTTCTGTTGGGCCAGGACGAGGTTACGATTCTTCTGAAAATTCTTAGATTTTTCTGACAGCCTTTTTTTCAATACTTTTTTTATGATTGAAAGATGGGAAAAGGATGTAGAAAAAAACTTTCTGGAGTTGTAACTTTCTTTTTCTGAAACTCTAAAAAAATGATACTCTCTAATAGGAAGAAAGACGGGAAGACATTTCTTTTTTTCTCAAAAAACCGGTTTTCCGAAATTGATAGGTCGATTCTTTTCAGTTCACCTGAAACGCCTGGAAACCCGGTACTTGTCTTGAAAATTTCCAAACTTGAAGATTTTTGATTTCCAGGCGATCGGAAATTTTCCAAGCACATTGGATTTGGCTTCAGATTAGAAAGTACACATAATTTTCAAGCTGTTTTGAAAAATTTTTCGAGAATCCTCACAAGAAGATCTACAACAAACTCAAAAATAAGCTAATCAGATGGATAATTATTAAAAAAAAAAGCAGCTCATGATTTGAAACGAGAAGCCTTTCTCGAACTTTGAATATTCTGTGAAATGACTTTGAAACCATTTTATCTCAGAAAAAAAAAAGCTTTTTGGACGATGGAATCATGTTGTTTTTTTTTTCGGGCGAATTACACCAAAATGGTCGAAGAGACCATGTTTGGCGAGGCCTTCTCCAGTGTAATTTGCTTTCGCCTACAGATATTGGGCGCGATTTCTTTCCTTGCCGTCCCCATGTCTTTCCATTCAGTTATTAGCTCTTGTTTTGGTCTGTAGAATGAAGAGCGGTCTTCTCATTGAGCTGAGATGATCTGCAAAAATATTCATATTTTCTTCCGTTTTGACCTTATTTCTGTTAGAACTTGAACAGTTTCCTGGTTTCAAAGTGGTCTTGCTTCTAAAAAAATAAACTTTTTTTGATTTGTAGAAAAAAATGAATCAAGACCTTCTCATTGAGCTGAGCCGACCTGAAAAAATAATCATTTTCTTCCTTTTTGGCCTTTTTTCTGTTAAAAATTAAACACTGTCCTGGTTTCAAGGTGGTCTTGCTTCAACAAAGGAACTTTTTTTCAAACTATAGAATGTAGAGTGGATCAAGATCTTCTCATTGAGCTGGGCTGAACTGAAATAATGATCATATTTTTTTCCGTTTTGGCCTTTTTTTCTGTTAAAAATTGAATAGTTTCCCGGTCCCCAGTTAGTTCTTGTTTTGAAAGTAAACCTGTTACCGCTTTTAGAATGGAGAACGGGTCATGTTCTCCTTGTTGAGCTGAGCTGACCTGGAAAAATGATTTTGTTTTATTCCGCTTTGACCTTTTACTATTGAAAATTGAATAGTTTCCTGGTTTTAAGGTGGCCTTGCTTCTAAAAATGAACTTTTTTTGGTCTGTAGAAAAAAAGAATAAATCAAGATCTTCTCATTGAGCTGAGCTGTTCTGGTAAAATCCGTTTGACCTTCTTTCTGTAGAAAATTTTACATATTCCCATCAAATTTCTTTGATTTTTACTCGAAAATTGGATAACACGACCTGATTTTCTCGTCAAAAGTCATTATTTATGTTAAAAACGGACCTGAAATTTTAAAATTCAGTAAAGTTCGTAGTTCAGTTACCGCTGACTCGAAGGTTTTTGACACTATTAGGATGGAAAGAGTCTGTTAAAAAGAGGAGATTTAAAATATCTGTCTTTTTTTCGGTTCAATCTAGCTATATTGATGAATAAAAAAAGTATTTATCCGGTTTTTTGAGCAGTAATATTTTATGGAGTTTAGTTTGAACCTCTCTTCTCAATAGTCATTCTTTTTGATTCTTCGTTGAGTTTCGAATGATATCTTAACTTAATGGATCATCAAACAGCGATGAAACAACCTTCTTCGCAAACAAATGATAACACAGAAGTATTTTATTTTTTTTGCGATTTCCTCCGAGATGAACTGATCAATTTAGTTTCTGATTTTTGAAGTCTCTCATGTAAACTATATAACCACTCCCATGATATCTTTGAGAAGAAATGTGGTTTTTGTCTTTCTTTGATCAAACAATGGTTTTCGATGTCACCGCGCGAAAGTCATTTTAGGTCGGGTGAGACTTAGAAAAGCGCAAAAAGCTGAGACATTCCATGTTAAACTATGATAATAACGTTTTATTTCATATGGAATGGTCTTTAACAATGTGCAGATGAAATTGTTATAAAACGATTGATTTGGTTTTTTCATCTCAAAAAAGGCTAGTTTTGATCTAAAGCTCTCATATAAGCCCTCGAAGTCACTATCAATCTTCAAGGATAGAATATTTGAGAAGATTTTAGCGACCAGGAAGTTTAATATGAGAAGTGAATTTTTCTTTTTCTTCTTTTAGTTTGATCAGAAGACCCCAAAATTAAATGCTCTTCTCGTTAGTTAAAAGAGCATAACAAAAATCAAAGGAACTCCCCGAAAAATTTCCGTAAAAAGTAGCGTAAAGATTGAACCTCCCTGCTTACCGCCCACGCTCAAGCTTTCTAGCCACTTGACCACGAAGATGATCATTTTTCTCTTCTTGTTCGTTGACTTGACATCACTCAAAGCGCGTCTTTATTTGCACGCCATTTTTTTTTTTGTTCCCCCGTGTTGTCCGCCCCGAGCAACCTCTACATCAAAAGGCGGCTATAAACAAAGAGTCTTTCCTTATCAGCCCAGATTTTCAATTCGCATGTTCATGAAGTGTGCAGAAAAAAAGTTTTTGGAGAAAATCTAATTTTTTTTTGCCTCTGCCATCAGATTATTCAAATTCTGTCAATTGAATTTTTTGGAAGGAAGATTGGGATTTGGTGAGCTTTAGAATTTAGTCTAGCTTCTGAGAGGCTTATGAGGTTTGGAAAAAAAGATTTTTTTAAATCATGAATGCTATATTTTTAATCTGGAATGTCTTAGAAAATTATTTAACACACTTTTTAATCATGATTTTGATCAAGAAACTGGAGAGTCTATTGAGATTTTATTCGAAAAAAACTTCGGTTTTTTTGAAAGATTCAAGCTTTTTCTTATTTTTTTCAAAATTTTTAAAAAAATAAAACCGAAAGACATTCCAATGCAAAAAAAGGGCTTCAAATTTCAAAAAAATTGATACTGAATTTTATCAGATCCCTTAGAAGATACTAAAAAGTTTACCTCATTTCCTAAAGTCACTGAAAAGAGATAAACAGCTTTTTAGGCCTTCAATTTATGATTTGATGACTTTCAAGCCTTCTAGCCTTTTTTTGGAGAAAGTTTTGAATCCTCCGAATTTCCGAGTACATTTTGACGTCTTCTCAAATCGCCTTCTTTTTTTGTGAATCTTGGTTAAGTCACTGTAATCTTGGATGAAGTTCTAAGCTTTCCTTTGTATTTGCATGAAAGTAAAGAAAAATTAGAAGACGTCGTATCAAAATCTGTCGAAGCCTTCTTATCTTGCTATAATCTTCTGAACGAAGCGTGGTGAATCAGAAGTTGATGTAAATCTTGCAAGATCTTCAGTGTCAGTCTTCTAATTTTCTCTTGGATTTTGTTTTGGCTTTAGAAGTTTTTCAATTTGTAAAAGGTCGTCGAGTTGAGGTTCTGAGCTTCTGAAGTCATCTAAAAATTTTTAAGTACTTCCAGAATTCGAAACAGTTTCGTTTAGAGGATTTGGCGAAGTTGAAAAGTTATAAAGTTTTCCAAAGCTTGTGAACTTTCTGAGACTTTCTGGAGCTTACACGGCGAAAGAATTTTCAGAATTAGGCTATTTTTGAGATCATCTTGGTCTTCAGAATACTTTTTTTTTCTTTTCCTAGCGTTCACGTCATTTTTTAACGTCTTCTGGAAGCCATCGGAACTTCTTTAAAGGCTTCGAAGCTTCTGAAGCCGTCAAAATTTAGCTGGAGGTCGTCCTAGAGCTTCTCCAGTTTTTTTTCTATGTTTCAGAAATTCGCAAGGTCATGTCTTTGTTCAAAATGCTTTAAACTATTTTTGATTCACCTTCAGAAGCCTCGAAGCTTCTGACTCACCCCAAGAAATGTTCTGATGAACGAAAAACCTCTCAAAATCACCTTCAGAAGCCTTGACGATCCCTCTCAGAATCACTTCTCGAAAAAACCAGCTGACGTGATTTTCACTGATATTTTTTTTTCCTGATTTGACATGGCCCAAAGACACATCATTTCGGACCGACGGCGCGGAAAATCGGTCTTCTTTTTTGCTGATTTCTCACGTCATCTGGCCGCCGATCCTATCGATCGGCACGTCTTCTTATTCTTGTTCTTCTTCTTGTTTTGCCCCGCAGAAAAGACACACAAACAGTCAGACAGACACATAAACGCTTATCACTCTTGTTTCAATCGTTTCTTTCGATTTCTCACTCGTTTTCGGCCAAAGTTCCTCTTGGAGTCGAGTTTTATTTCCTTGGATATCATTAGTTTTTGGTGAGGTTCTGGAGATTTGAGACATTTCGGTACGGAACAGATACGAAAAGTTTTATTCACACCTTTCTTTCTGAATTTTTGTGATGTCTTGGAAGCTTAAGATGATCCAATCTCTCACGGATGTTTGTTTTCACAATTGTGGAAAGTTTCAGAAAGATTGAGCTCGTGATGTGATTTTTTTAATTTTTTAAAAATTTTCGCGACATTCTGACACAACTGTAGTCCAAGCAGTTTGTAAAAAAAAAACTTTTTGAAGTTTATTGGTTTTTAATCTTTTTGGTTAGTAGCTGGGAGGTTTTGTAGACGAATTTTCAAGCTTCTTCCTGGATTTTTCATTTGATTAAGCCAATTTGCTTTTTCTTATGATTTTCTTCTTTACATCTTTCCATACAGTTCTTCAAAACTTTTTAAAAAGTTGAATAAGACCCAAATTACGTCTATTTTCACGTTGGAATTTTTTTTTCTTTGTTTTTTTTTCTTAGCCAAGACTTTTTCTTGATATTTTCCCAATTTTACACTCTAAAACTTTACAAAAATGATGAAAAAAACAATGAAAAATTTAGCTCAATCGGAATTTAGTTCTATTCATGTACTAGTCGGCTGGAAGAAGCTGGAACAAAGGAAATTCAAAATGTTTCATTACTAAGACTCCCATCACTTCTTAACATTGAATAATGTGTTTTCGATGTTTTTTTTTTCAGTAAGAAACTCGAAAACTTCAGTGGAATTCCAATTTCAATGAGTTGTTAGTTTTATGAATATTGTGAACCGTATTGTTTGTTGGATTTATTTTAAAAATGAATCTTGCAGAGGACGATGACCACCCAGTAGAGGACATCATGACGAGTCGAACCAACTCCGGGCCTGGCCTTCAACGGCGGCGAGGTAGAGTTTTGAACAAAAAATGGAAAAAAAAGACTCATGGGGTTTTTTTTATCTTTTTGGACTTGAGAGGGTGATTTTAACAAAACTGACTTTTTTTCAATTTCAATTTTTGAAGTCAAGAGAAATATGTTTCTTTAATAAAAAAATATTCCAATTTCTCACATTTTTACATTGAAAATCAAGTTTTTTTGAGAAAAACCTTTTTTTGGTACTTGAAATGGTAATTTTTTTGGAAAAAAACGAGGAAAAATACTTTGATTTTTTTCTAGTATTTGGAAGATTTAGTTTTTAAAAAAATAGTTTTTCTCCTTTTTTTGGTAGTTTCAGTCTCAAATTTATATGTAAAAAAACCCCTTTTTGAATTAAAAAAATCATATTTTTTTGAATAAGTGAATAGGAAATTTAGAAGATACTTGGAAGGTTCAAAATTTGTTCCCTTCTCGAAATTTCCTTCCCTACAAAGAAGGCCGTCTTTTTGGTCATTCCGAACTGCTGAAAATTGGGATCATAAAAATCTATCACACCCGTTTTTTGACGGTTTTTTCGAATGGCATGGGAAATTCCTGGAACTTTGGGTCTCACTTGAACTGTTTCAAGAGAAATTGAACCGGAAATGATTCAATTTTTTAAGTATTTCAAAATGACCTACAAAACGTTGAATTGAGTCTAAAAAGGCTACTGTAACCCTTAAAAAAAAACAGTTCATGAAGTAGAGCTTTGAAAAAATTGACAAGCGTAACTTTCACGTGAAATTACGTCCAAAACGACTACCGTAACCTCATAAATAACCTTTGTATGAAGTAAAGCTAGAAAAATACGAAATTTGTAACCGCCACGTTTATAGCTTTCATTAATTTAAAAAATTTTCAAAAAATTTGCAAAATTCGTCCGTCACGTCAAATTGCGTCTAAAACTACTACAGTATTCCATTAAATTACCCCTCTCAGAGAGTTGAGCTTTGGGATATTTAAAAATGTATCATCCTAAGCAAGGTAGAGACCTTATAAATCGAATAGAAGCTTTAAAACTTCAAGGTAATTTTCTTCAAACCTGATTAATCACGCCAAATTGACTGCCTACAGTAACCTAAAATTATGAAAAATATTTTTAAAAATTTTCATTTCCCGCCAAAATTCAGCCTCGGCTGCTACACTACGACGCCTCAAAAACAATTTCCCACCAACTTGACGCGAAATTGCGTCGCGGATCACTACCGTAACCTAATAAAATGACCATTTTACGAGCCCTGAAAAGATCATTTTCGGGTCCAAAATTGTTCAATTTTGGCGCATCTCCTCGTCGACACTTCCGGTCGTTTTGAACCGACTTGCGCGTCGCGTGAAGACGAGGAGACGGTTAAATTAATGGCCCCACGGATCCGCGGAAAAGTCAAAGTTTCTCATTGCGCGAGAAAGAAAAAGGAAGAAGAAGAAGAAGAAGATTGGTCAAAATGGGCGGGGCTCCGAGAAGAGGTTGTAGAATGAGAATCGACCGAAGGGAGTACACAGTGAGACTCGGTTCGGTCAAAATTCGGCGCCTTCCAAAATTTTGTGCCTCTTTTTCAATGCTTCGTTCGACGACGTGGAGGAGATCAACGACGACGTCAAGAAGGACATGGGTAGATCATTCTTTTTTTTGCTTCCAAAGGGTTACGGTAGGAGTCTTTGTGCATTTTGAGGCGTCGGTGAGGTTTTAAAAAAATTTTAATGTGGCTCGAAATTTTTTTTTGTATATTTTTGGAGTGCTCTCTAGTCAGCTGTGAATCTGGTTAATTTTATTGATTATAGGTTTTTTTTTCTAAGGTTACGGTAGGATTTTTTGTTCATTTTAGGGTGGTTACGATGGTCGAAAGGTCCTCATATTATTTAAATGTGTTCTGAAATCATTTTTTTTTTTTTTGAAATTCCCATAGTCGGCTGTGAGTCTGTTGGTTTTTTGTAAATTTTTTTTCTTTGACCATAAATTTTTTTTCTTTCTAGGGTTACGGTAGAAGGTTTTTGTGCATTTTGGAGGGGTTACGATGGTCGAAAGGTCTTAAAATTGCTTTGATTAAGTCTTGAAATTATTTTTTTTATTTTTGAAATGCCCCTAGTCAGCTGTGAATCTGGTGGTTATTTTTTATTTTTTCTTTCTTTGACCCTTGAATTTTTTTCAGGGTTATGGTAGGATGTTTTTGTGCATTTTGGAGGGGTTACGATGGTCGAAAGGTCCTAAAAAACAATTTAAATTGCCCTGAGATTATTTTAAACTTATTTTTCAAGTGCCCCGAATCAACTGTGGATCTGGTTATTTTTTTAATTTTTTGAAAACTTACTGGTTAGATATTCTCCAGGGTTACGGTAGAAGGTTTTTGTGCATTTGAGCCTCTTTGAAGTTTTCACAAGTCTATCAACTCTCCAGATTTTCAGCTTTTCTTAAAAAGTTACAATTTCAAAGGGTTACTTTAGGAGACTTTTGTGCAGTTCTTCAGAAATCTAGAGCGTTTTCAAGCTTCCTATGGGGGATCCATTTTTTCGAATATTCAAATATTATGGCGGCTAGGAGATATGCTGATATTTGGAAAATTCCTTATTTGATCTCCAGTTTATGAATTCTCGAACGGGTTTGTTGATATTTCCAACAAGATAAGGGCGCTGAATCACCACCATTTCTCGGTTTTAATTAATCATTTTTCATAATATTGGACATTTCTAGGTGCAATCAAGCATGCGCGAGTACACGAGATCCGCGGCCATCAGTTCGTCGCCACCTTCTTCCGCCAATTCCACTTTTGCTCCCTCTGCTCCGATTTCATGTGGTTGGTTTTTGAGGTTATTGTCTTTTTGTTAGATTTCAGGTCTTTTGAATACTTTATTTATGAAAAACAATAGATAAATCAATGAAGAGCTTTGAGAAGGAGATTAGAAAATTGAGCCTAAAATTATTCGGAATGTGTGCCCTATGGATAAATGATGATTTTCATATTTTTAAGCTCTTTTTGAGTTTTATTCGTAGCTCCAGAGTCTTGAAATGAACCTAAGCTCCAAAAACTGGTTTTCTAAAGGGAATTTTTCGAAAAGGAACTTAGAAAGTTGAGCCAAAAAGGTCCCCGAAAGAGCGCTCTACGGATAACTGAGTATTTTCATGTTGGATGAGTTAACTATCAAGGTTCGCAGTTCATTTTGTAGCTTAAGAGCCTAAATATCCATTTATCAGGAAAAATGAGCTGAATGATGGCTGTGAAACTTCTCGGAGCTCGGTAACGCGAACCCGACACGCCTCGAAATTTTCTAAGTACTCTAGGGGCCCCTTTAGCGGCGTTAACACTCTTAAATGACCACTTGAAATGCTCAGAAACTTTCGGAGCGCGTCCGGTTTACATAAGAGAAAATAGAGCCAAAAAAAACCATAATTCTGAATATGCGCTCTATCGATGATTTTGGTTGAATGGCTTGATTTTCGCATCTCTTTTGTTAGGAAACTTGTGAAAATTGCTTTCTTAGGGGCCTCAACAAGCAAGGCTACCAATGCCAGCTCTGCTCGGCGGCCGTCCACAAGAAATGCCACGACAAGGTGATCATGCAGTGTCCCGGCTCGGCCAAAAACACCAAGGAGACCATTGTGAGTTTGGGGAGACGAAGAGGAACTTTTTCCTGTGAGAAACTATAATTTTACTGTCATTTAGCCAGATGGTGTTTTGTGGTATGATATAGGGGCTCTTGAGGGTTCCCTCTAGGGACAACTCAAGTACCATGGAAAACTTTAGAACAGCCAAAATTAAAATTAAAGGAATAAAATTTTGAGCCGAAGATAGGTCCCGCACGGAAAAGTGTGCGATAGAGCGCAGAAGCCTAAATTGTTTGTATATTTACATTTTTTATAAGAAGTATCCGACTGAAAATGAAGTTCTTATGATGAATATTTTGTGATTTCTCACACCCATAGTTATCTTTTTCATTAATGTAACATTAAGAAAGAACCAAAAATAAATCTGAAAGTTGAAAGAATCTTACCCTGACTTTTAATAGACTTTTTTCCTATTTTTACTGATTTTCAAGGCCACAGGCGAATCGGAAGGGTACCAAAATGTGTCCACAAAGATACCTCTCAAAATGGATCATGAAGACTTCTTAATGTCTATCGTGAGACCTCCGGCATACCTTTTAGTTATATCTGAGCCATCTCGGTGGTAATTCAGAGTCTCCCTCAAGTCTATATAATGTTGCTCAAAATCCTCAGAGGTATCCTCGTGGTACCATCGTGAGACTTTAGACCCTTCAATATACCTCAGTGGGTATCGCGGTACCCTTTTTCGATTCGCCTATGGCTTGACATCTCAATATCTTTCCGCGTCAGATTTTTTTAACTTGACTAAAAATCGATTTTCAGGCCCTGAAAGAACGGTTCAAAGTGGATATCCCACATCGGTTCAAAGTCTACAACTTCAAAAGCCCAACCTTCTGCGATCATTGCGGATCGATGCTCTATGGCCTTTTCAAGCAAGGGTTGAAGTGTGAAGGTTTATCGATTTTCCTTCTGTTTTCGCCAAGAGCCCTCCCATAATCAATTTTTGAACACTTGAACTATTATAAATATAAATAGGTATTTTTTCAGTTTGTGGGGTCGCCTGCCATCACAAATGCGAGAAGCTCATGTCGAATTTGTGTGGAGTCAACCAGAAGCAATTGTCGGAGATGTACCACGAGATCAAGCGGGGAACTCATGCCACGAGCAGGTAATCGAGCAAAAACCCTTTGGGGGATCGAACCTGTGACCTTGTGGACCGTAGACAGGCGCTCAACCTGTTGAGCTACGGCGCAGTTAATTTTGAAGGAAGATGAGGAAATTGGATGAATGGAAAATGAAACCCCGATTCTTCTGCTTTTAAATTTTAACCCCGGACTTTTAAATTTGAATAAGGTCCGTCTTTTTCGACTTAAGAAGCTGGAGATAATGTCGTTCAGAAAATTATAAGAATCAGAGTTAAAAATTGATTTATTTCAGTTGTCCACCCAACGTCGCCAACCTGCACATCAGCAACGGCGAGGCGAAAACGCCGACGAACGGAATTTTGCCGAACAAATTGAAAAACTTCTTCCGCACTCAACAGTACAGCGTCGAGAACCAATCCGAGCATGAAGAGTTGGTTTTTTCTATTATTTGGGAGAGTGGAGAGGGCAGAGAACCCTTAAGGGAGCTCTTAGGTGCTCAAAAATGAAAGGAAAGGTTTTTGATCAGTTCTTGAACAGAACGAACATTGGGTTTAGTTGGAAATTGTATATCAGAGGTAGAGAGCTCAGAAGATCCTTAAGGGAACTCTTGAGCGCTCCAATAAATGATCGGGCATATTTTTAATGAATTCAAGAATTATTAAAAAAATTGGTTTTTTAGGCAATAATATATCAGAAGCGGAGAGCGCAGAAATCCCTCAAGGGATCATTTAGGTGCCTCCATGAATAATCGCAAGTATTTTTAATCAATTCTTGAACAGAGCAAAGATTGGGTTTAGTTGGAAATAGTATATGAGAAATAGAAAGCTGAGAGGACCCTTAAGGGAACTCTTGAGCCCTCTAATAAGTAATCGAGAATATTTTTAACGAATTCTTGAAATTTTAAATACTCTGGTTTGAAGGACATAATATATCAGTAGCAAAGAGGGCAGAGATCCCTTGAGGGAACACTCAAGGGCATTTTAAAATAATAAAAAGTATTTTTAGTTGCTTTTTTTCATTGAAAATCACGGTAAAAATTGAATCCCATTAGGTATTGCTTATCAGAAAAAAAGATGCTTAAGTGAACCCTTACGAGATTCATTAATTAATATGGAACATCTTTAAAAAGCTCCCTATTGAAAAATTCATATCCAAGTTCAAATTTTATTGGAATCTCTTCTTGTTTTTCTCGAATTCCTAATCCCATAATTTCCACGAAAACGTTTTTTTTTCTTCAAGACAATAAAAAAAAAATAATATGGCTCTGATTGGCCGTTATATTGCGCTCTATTGAAATATGGCTTTTTTGTGGAATTTCCCGATAAATGGGATTTTTTTTTCTAGTAATAGTGGATTTTTTTGAGGTCTAGACTTTTGAGGATTTTTCATAGATCTATTTTTTTCAGTTGGGCTCTTTTTTTCCTTGTCAGTTGCGCTCTATCGAGAATACCTCTCAACAATATTCTAAGAGGAAGAAAGCTTTCTCACTGATTTTCATGTTCAGAGTGAAATTTATTTCGGAAAGATTTGAAAAAAAGGGCAAATGAATCATTTTGCCCTTGTCACGGTCCCCTGCTTTTTTCAATTTCCTTTCCAAAATGGGAATAAATTCTCCAAAAAAAGATCGAAAATCATGGGCTCTACTATTAAAGGACCTTTCTTATAGCTTTTCCTGTTTACTTTCCTCTTGAATTTGGCTGCGCATCAACTTGAACTTTCACAAATGAATAAATTTTTTCCTTGATTAGAGTGCTACTTGACTAGCTTTCGGCCCATTTCTCTCTATTTTTTTTTCAATTTCGACAAGATTAAATAAAATTGGCTGCGCATCAACTCGAAAATTTTTTATCAATTGTTTTTTCCAAGAAATCAAACCGATTTCGCTGCGCATCAACTTGAACTTTTCCCAAGCCAAAAAAATTATGTTTTTAGATATCGTATTTTTTTTTCGAATCTCTTAATTTCCGGCCTTATTTCCTGTGCATCAGGGTCATTTGGCTAGCATTCCTTAAAATTCAGAATAATTTAGCTGCGCATCAACTTGAATATTTTGTTTAACCAGAATATTTCTGTTTGCTTGAAGGATCATTGGCCAGGTTTCCTGATTTTTTTTTATTTTTCAAAAGCGAATATCTTCAAATTGACTGCGCATCAACTCGAAAAACAGGACAATTACCAGTAATAGGAGCTGTTGAACTTGTGCCAAACTTTATTTCTTGCCTAATTTGGCTGCGCATCAACTTGAAATCCTGCCGAGACATGACAATTTTCTAAATTGATCTGTTGAAAATGTTCCCCTTTTTATCCCAAATTTGGCTGCGCATCAACTAAAGCTTTTTGCAGATACATGAACAGCTTGTGGGCCGGCGGCGACAATGTCAAGAAATTCGGCCTTCATCATTTCAATTTGCTCAAAGTTCTCGGAAAGGGGTCCTTTGGAAAGGTATAATGAGAAATTTTATCAAAAATTAATGATTATAAAATTTTCCAGGTCATGTTGGTGGAGCTGAAGGCGAAAAGCGAGTTCTATGCGATGAAATGCCTGAAAAAGGACGTGATCCTGGAGGACGACGACACGGAGTGCACTTACATCGAAAGACGGGTCCTGATCCTCGCCAGCCAGTGTCCCTTCCTCTGCCAACTCTTCTGCTCCTTCCAGACTAATGTAATGATTTTTGAATAGTTTTAAGACAAAAAATCATAGAAAAGTTGGAATTTGTCATGAAAAAAGTGTGCAAAAATGTCTGTAAATGCCGACGAAAAGGCACCGAAATGGTAGCGCTAACTTGGTTCGCCCCAAATTTAAAGGTTCGAGTTGCTCTCCTGTTGGCCAGGGGCTCCAACGGGTGACCCCGTTTTTTAAGTTTGAGTCCCAGTCTGGATGAAACGGGGGAAAAACGGGTGCAAGAGTTAACTTTATTCGCTCCAAAAACAACGGTTCGAGTTGCTCTCCTGCTGGCAAGATGTTTCAACGGGCGTACCCGCAAACTGAGCTCAAGTCTCAGTTGGGCTAAAACGGGTGAAAAACGGGCGCGAAAAGAAACAGGTGACCCAGCTGTGTTTATTTCAAAAAACTGACCAACTGTGCTAAAACGGACCCTCATTTGTGATAGAAATGCCAAAAGTTCTACCAGCTGTTTTCATACGGGCTTGATTCGGGCACATCCTATGAGAACCCGTGCTAGCATTGCTGGACTACCCTCATAAGCATGAGAGAGCACTTTGATTTTGACTTGTTAGCAGCTTGCGCGTAAGTCGCTTCGGGTCGAGCGCGTGAATCCTTGAGTCTATGCGATTACTTTTGTTCCGATTTCACTAGTAGTTGCATAAAAATGAGTCACAAAACTCTGGCAAATTTAAAAAAAAAACGTTTGCCCTTGGACATTGGTAACGTGAACTGGACCCGACTCAATCGGGGCATTTCTAGTGACCACTTTAGTAGCGTCAGCCCTCTTAAGCGATCCCTAGAATCGCCCAGAAACGTCCAGACCGCGTCCGGCTTTCGTTACCAAGGTCCGAGTCGGTTAAGAAAATGAAAGACAATTAAATTTTAGTGATCCATGGATCGCACTTTCATGCCAAAAATCGCTTCTTTTTTTTTATTTAGCGCGAGTCCATGTTTTTTTTCTGGTTTTTCTAAACTTTTTGAGAAATCGTTTGATTCTGTACTTTTTAGGAAACTTGAAAAACCTTTCTAGGTCAAAAAGAACCTTCAAAAAAGCCAAAAGTCGTTGCCAATTCAAATGGCGTTCCGATTGGCCAACATGAAATAAAAACTGAACGTTTTTCTTTATCGGTTAGTTTTATTTGAGGACGAGAAAAACCGGTCTTTTCTCACCTCAATTGTAGTTTTCGGGACTGTTAAAACGTGCGTAAAAAGAAGTGATCTTTCGCTTTTTTTCATTTTTCGAGAACAAAAAAGTTTGTCGGACACGTGACTCTGTGATACATTGGATGATTTCATTAGGGTAGAATTTTTTCTGGGTGTTTGAATCGGAGTTGGACGAATTAGAGTGGAGGAATTCGGGCTACAAGGCAGAAGAAAAACGAAAAAGAGTTTTTTCTCAAAAAAAATTTTTGGAAAGAAAATTTTCCCTCATTTTTGATTTCCAAATCTGAACAAAAAGTTAACAAGCCCCTATAGGGACAACTTAAGCTTTAGGGACTTAGAAGTTAAGCCCTTAACCTCTATAGGGACCTCCTACATTTCCCTTTTTTATCTTCAAAATCGTAACAAAAGTTAAAGTACCACTATATGGACCACTTGAGGCTTATGGGACAGGGGTTAACTAATTTCTAGCCCTATAGGGAGCACTACTTTGTCGCCTATAGCGTTTTTTTTTCCGTAGCCCTCTAGGGACCACTCTGGCCTTATTAAGAGTTTTAAAAGGGGGGGGGGGGTTTGTCTCGAAAACTGGGACGACCTGTAACGGCCCAGATAGGCCGAGAAAAAAAGCAAAACAAGAAACTTGACGATAAAAATGATCATCTGATCTTTTGCAGGAATACCTATTCTTCGTGATGGAGTACCTCAACGGCGGAGACCTGATGCATCACATCCAGCAGGTCAAAAAGTTCGACGAGACTCGGACCCGATTCTACGCCTGCGAGATCGTCGTCGCCTTGCAGTTCCTCCACGCCAACAATATTATTTATCGGTTTTCCTAGAGCTCCTCTCCAAAGTTTCAACTTGTTCCATACAGAGATCTGAAGTTGGACAACGTTTTATTGGACTCGGAGGGCCACATAAAGTTGGCCGATTTCGGTATGGCCAAGACGGAGATGAACAGGGAGAACGGCATGGCCAGCACGTTCTGCGGAACGCCTGATTATATCAGTCCTGAGGTGATTTTTGATCGGAATAATTGATAATTTTATGATTTGTTCAGATTATCAAGGGACAATTGTACAATGAAGCTGTTGATTTCTGGTCTTTCGGAGTTTTGGTGAGTTTTTTAGATATTTAAAAAAATTAAAAAGCAAAACGGGATTTCTTTTTTTGAGGTTTTAAATATTCATTCTGTTCGAAAATTAGGAACTTTTAAAAGTTTGAACCTCGACTTTGGAATTCATGAAAATGAAAAATGGAAGCGGTGCGGTGCGGTCGCGTTGCGGTTGGGAGAATTGGAAAAAAAAAGCTTGTGAGCTTGAGAAAATCATTTTTTTAAGTACTTATTGACTTGAATAATTGTTTAAAAAAATCAATTTTCAAGTTTTTTTGAGAAATTTTTTTTCTTCTGAATCTTGCAACTGTAAAATCTGCTTCTCAAATTCATGAAAAAAAGAAAATTTTGAGGATTTTTTTGGAGGGGTCCATACAGGGGTTTGTGATTTTAGGAGACCCTAAACAGGGCGATTTGATGGTCCCTATAGAGGCACCTTAAGGGTTCCTGATTGGGACTCTTTATAACTATTAACAGAGGCTTTTTATCAAATCCCCTATAGCGACCACTCCAATGTTTCTCAGCATGATTGAAATTTTTCTCGTTCTTCGGTTGAAATTTATAAAAAGCCAGTTTTTTTTCCTCAATTTTTCAAAATTCTTTGATTTTAGATGTACGAGATGCTCGTCGGACAGTCGCCATTCCACGGCGAAGGCGAAGACGAACTCTTCGACTCGATTCTCAACGAACGGCCATACTTCCCCAAGACCATCTCCAAAGAGGCGGCCAAGTGCCTCAGCGCGGTAATTCAATACAAAATCGGTCTGAAATAAATGAAGGAAAATTCCAGTTATTCGACCGGAACCCGAACACCCGACTGGGCATGCCCGAGTGTCCCGATGGGCCGATTCGGCAGCACTGCTTCTTCCGCGGCGTCGACTGGAAACGATTCGAGGCCCGCCAAGTCCCGGCGCCGTTCAAACCTAACATTGTGAGTTTTCGGGAAATATGCTTTGAGAAATTAGAATTTTTTGTCATTGATTAGAGACGTATTGACGAAAAATGGTGGTGAGAAACATGGAAAAATGGGAAGAGCCTAAAAAAGCAACTGGCACGTGGTTTACATCTTACTTACTTACTTAGATACTTAGATGGTCCATCTTCGCTTTCGACCTTTTATTGCCTTTTAGTGCCTTTTATTGATCGAAGCGTGAACCACACGTTTTCCAGGAGATCTTATGCAATCGGTCATCCAGTGTTGTCGTCCTGGTTGACTGGTATTCTTGCGAAAAAAATCCATCCGTGGTGTTGAACGTGTTATAGCATAATTGTGGTCTTATTATCCTTTTTGCCTTGCCAGGGCTAAAAAAGACCGCCCATTCTGTTAGCAGAAGCAAGCCGAATTGCGTGACCGGTGTACCGTTAGCCGCCATAAATGGCGTTGCCTCCCCATCACCGCGTAGAGGTGGTACTTGAAGGAGGTTTACATCTAGTACTACAAACAGCGAATGTATCCCTGAAAGACCGGATTTTTCTAAAAACCCATTTAAAGTGAGAAAAAAAATGGGCGGAGCTACGGTTTCGGATAGAATTTTCAGTGGAAAAAGTCTAAATTTTTTTCTCTTCAATAAATTTTTCAGCTTCAGACTCAATCAGAAATGTGTATTTTTCTTTGAAAAGCCTTAAGCTAGCGCAGAAGTAACCAGAAAAGCGCTTTTTTGGCCTTTCAAGATGATTTTTCAGATTTTTTATCTTTTAGTAGCCCTTCCTGAACCTCGAAACAACAATTGAAACATAAAAGAAGCCTAAACAATCGAATTTTCTTGCAGAAATCCTCCTCCGACGCGTCGAACTTCGACGAAGACTTCACCAACGAGAAAGCGGCCCTGACGCCGGTCCACGACAAGAATCTGTTGGCCTCGATCGACCCGGAGGCCTTCCTCAACTTTTCCTACACCAATCCTCATTATCTACGTTGAATTTCCGTCTCATTTTACTTACAGTACTGGCCATAAAGGTATTTCAAAGTGGTTATTCGAGCATAACTTCTTTAAAAGTGGCTCAAATGGCTTGAAACTTTGCAAAAATTTTAAATAGCTACGCAGTAACTTTTTCCCAAAAAACAAAACTTGTTTGCTCAAGTCAGACCGGATTTGAGAACAAAAAAACCAAAAAAATCGTGAAAATCAAGATTTTTTTCTCTTGAGATTCGAAAAAAATCATATTTTCAAAAGAAACTTCGTTTTCGAACCAGAAACTTTTTTTCCCCAGTAAAACAAGTCTTCGGCTTTCCAAAAAAACCTAATCAGCCCCTCACCAACCCGATAGTAAGAGCGTAGTGACTTTTTCTTCGAAAGGCCCTTGCGTTTTGAAGCCTCCTCATTCAAATGGACTATACGAGGTCATTTTTGTTTGAGAACACCCTGTATCATGTTGAAAAATTTTGAAACACCCTCAAAAATAGTTTTACACTGATTTCTTCAGCTTTCTCACTTTATCTGCTCTCCAGAACTCACTAACTTCACTAGGACCGATTTTGAAACCTCTGATTTGAAGCGGTTATGCTCCTTTTTCAAAATCAGAACATTCTCGATTTCTCATTTCAGATTTCAGAGCTTCTTTAGAACCTTGATGAATAAAAATAAAAGAAGACCCACTGTGTTTTGCTTACTTATTCGAAAGATATAGTGAGTTATAATGAGTTTCTTAAAGTTCTCAAAACTTCGTTTCAGCAAGTGTTGCTTAGAGGGCTCCAAATCTTGTGGAAGATGATAAAAAAACCCCTTTTTTTCATATTTTTTTAAATGTTTTTAGATCATGAGATAAATTTGTAACTCCTTTTTTTCTAGCTCTCAGATCAAAGATAGGCACTGTAAAAAGTTTCTTTAAACTTTATGGGAAAATAAGTTTTTGATCTTGTGAAACTAATGCTTCAGCAAAAAATTTAGCAGTCTTCAGGATGTAGGAGCCTGAAATTTAGCCATTAATTATTTTCAAATTCACGATTTGAAAGCGATTGACCAGATAAAAACTACTTTGAACGCCCGAAAGTCCAGAAAAACTGTTCAAATCAGAGGTTTCAAAATCGGTCCTAGTGAAGTTAGTGAGTTCTGGAGAGCAGATAAAGTGAGAAAGCTGAAGAAATCAGTGTAAAACTATTTTTGAGGGTGTTTCAAAATTTTTCAACATGATACAGGGTGTTCTCAAACAAAAATGACCTCGTATAGTCCATTTGAATGAGGAGGCTTCAAAACGCAAGGGCCTTTCGAAGAAAAAGTCACTACGCTCTTACTATCGGGTTGGTGAGGGGCTGATTAGGTTTTTTGGAAAGCCGAAGACTTGTTTTACTGGGGAAAAAAGTTTCTGGTTCGAAAACGAAGTTTCTTTGAAAATATGATTTTTCGAATCTCAAGAGAAAAATCTTGATTTTCACGATTTTTGGTTTTTTGTTCTCAAATCCGGTCTGACTTGAGCAAACAAGTTTTGTTTTTTGGGAAAAAGTTACTGCGTAGCTATTTAAAATTTTTGCAAAGTTTCAAGCCATTTGAGCCACTTTTAAAGAAGTTATGCTCGAATAACCACTTTGAAATACCTTTATGGCCAGTACTGTATTTACAAACATAATGTTGTATAGTTTCTTTTTTGCACGACTACTTTCAGAATATATATATATATGATTAGCTGCATTTGTGATGTTGAGAACTCACTGTGATTTAATGTCATCATTCTTTGTACTTTAATATTTTCATTCTTACCTGAAATACCGCGAAAATGGCTCAAAATGGTCGTTGTTTGGTCATAAAAAGGCTCAGAAATGAGAAAAAATGAGAGATCAGTTACGCCATGAGAGACGCCACCAGAGAAAGACAGATTTTTTGCGTCTCTGGTGTCTCTCAAAGCTGACTGTTCTCTCGACATTTTGACCTTCAATAAGGCTGAAAAGCGAAAGATCAGTTACCCCTTGAGAGACGCCAGAGAAAGACGGATTTTCTGCATCACTGCTGTCTCTCAGATCTAATTGTTCTCTCATCTCAGAAAGGCTTAGAATGAGTAACAGTGAGAGATCAGTTACGCCTTGAGAGACGCCAGAGAAAACAATTTTCCTCTATTTTTCTGCCGTCTTTCTTTACTTGTCGCTGCTCTCTCGTATTCTCTCATCCTGAGCTGAAAAAGCACCTGAATTGAGCGATAGTGAGAGATCATTGACGGTTTGAAGAGACGCCAGAGAAGAAAGAAATCTCTCTTTCTCAGGCCTCCTCAGCCTTCGCTGTTCCCTCGCTTATCATCGTTCTTGAGCCTTTTTTCTATTGAAATTGATGTTCTTTTGCATTCACACTATTGCGGGATATCTTCCATGTTTCAAAATTCACCCAATTCTTGTTCAGATTCGTACATTTTCATTGTTCACGCGGTACTTGTTCTCAATTTTTGTTTTTCGCATTTTTTAAAGATTTCAATTCAACTGTTCTTTTTCTCGGCATAATCGTCGACGTTACAATGTCATATTTATTATACTTATGAGAAAATGTATACTTAGGAAAGTTCCAGGTTTTAGTTTGATCATGAATTCTTTACAAAAAAAAGGTCGTTGGCGTGTTTTTCAACGTGTATTCTTTGAATTCGGAACACGCGGAAACTACATTTTTTTTCAAAAAAAATTTAATTTTCCCTTCAATTAAGCATAATTTGAGTCCATATCACACTCCCTCAATACCTTCTTCGGCAATTTTTTTGTACAATTGTTTTTCTTTGTATTTTTATTTTATTATCAGCACCCACAGAGACAGATAGTTTGAAGACAACGAATAAATGTCGATATTAATCGTTTTTATCTGGCAGAAAAAAAAAGAAAGGTGAAAGCTACCTGTTAACCTGAAAAACTTGTTATGGTCATTTTCAGAGATTTTAGTTTCAAAAGAATATGATAAAAAGACATTACGTGACTGAAATCTTCATTTCTATTCCATAAATTGTTCGATGCCTGTGAAGAACTTCAGAGCAAAGGATGCGTTCGAATTTCCCGACGACAAGTTGGTTTTTGATTTTAATAAAAAAAATTGAATGGAGAACTTTCTATTAAAGAGAAATTAACAAATATTCCCCAAAATGCCCTTTTTTGCATCTTTTTTGAAATTCCGAGACTCATCTTTTTTCCGATTAATTTTTCTTACGATCATAGTGTGTTCAGCCTTGAAATTAGACAATAATAATTCGTCCATCGATTCTCGTCGCAGTTTTTAAAGGCGCATTTTTTAAATCACAGGTGTTTCTCGACAAAGAAACCAATTTCACGCTGCTCAAAAAGTGGTTTTCGTCATAGGAAAAGCTGACGATTAATTGAATATCACACTTATTAGATATTCTCCGGACTTCATAGTTGAAACGCAAGATTTCTCTTTGGCACCTCAAAAAAAGGCTGGAAAAGTTCCTCTAAAACTGCTCAAATGATTGAAACAAGTTTTTGAGCTTCTTTCTTGAAGTCTCAGGGTCCTTTTTGGATCTCCTGGAATCTTTTTTTGTTGCTTTTTCAGTATCTTTTTTATTAAAGGACGTGGGAAATATGCAAAAAAATTAAATAAAAAAAGATCTTATGGTTCCTCTTGAAGGATCTTCATTTTTTTGAAAAAGAAACTTTTCGTTTAGCCTTCAAAAAAATAGTTCTAAAAAAATATGGAATGAAGAAAACATTAAGAATTTCTCGTCAGTAGTGTCACGAGAAAACTAATAGTTAAAAAAAGTTCTCTGATTTATAAAATAGAAATCCACAGAAAAAAAAAAACTTATATTCTAGCATAAACTAAATAAATAAAAGGAAGAAGAAAAGTATTTTTTTTGAGAATTTTCAAATTGAATACACTGCGACCCATAATTATAGACCCACCCTAATTTCTCCGATTTTAAGAAAGATTGAAAAACTTTGAGCCACCAAACTTTTTTTGTGATAAACCTTGTTGATAAGGAACATAATCATATCATAATTATCAATCACCCAGTTGAAAAGTTTTTCAAGATACGAGAAAATCTGATTTTTGACCGACCCAGAATTATAGACCCACCCCAGAGTTTTCCGAGTTTTCGTTTCAGGTAACACGTTTTTCCTGTTTTTTTCAGTGGTATATAAGAGAAAAAGTCCTCGTGTATCACTATAAGCCATAATGCCTAAATCTACTCAACTTGATAATACCGAAAAAGCGGTAATCGATGCTCTACTCAACAACGGCTTGTCCCATCGGGAAATCGCTCGTCAGACGGGTCGCTCAAGACGAACTATTGACCGTTATGCAAGGAATCCGCAAGAATACGGCACAGCAATACATTCTGGACGGCACAGGCTGCTATCGGTTCAAGCTGAACGAGACGTCTGTCGAAAAGCATCAAACTCTACGAAGTCCGCCAACCAAATCAGATCCGAAATTCCTGAAAACGTCTCGAAGAACACCATCTTACGAACAATTCATCGGTCCGGTCGACTTGTGAATACTCCAATGAAGGCAGCACCTCGTCTACAGCAACGCCATAAGAATGAACGGCTCCAGTTTGCACGCTCTAACATGGCCACGGATTGGAATAAGGTATCAATTTTTTCTATCACCTTATGATTCCCAATTTCTCTGTTCAGATCATCTTCAGCGACGAGAAGAAATACAACCTTGATGGGCCATATGGGTACGCTCACTACTGGAGAGATTTGAGGAAAGATCCGATGTACTTCTCCAAGAGAAACTTCGGCGGCGGCAGCCTCATGGTCTGGGCGGCTTTCTGCGGCAACAGGGACGGTAGCTCTTTCTTTTATTGGGACCAGAACGAATTCGCAAGACTACCAGCAACTGCTTGCCCAGCATCTCCTGCCCTATCTCCGTCGCCGACGACGTGCTAATATGATTTTACCAACAAGACAATGCATCTGTTCACGCGAGCAACTCCACATTGGCTTGGTTTGCGGCCAAGAACGTGGTTCTTCTGGACTGGCCCGCGTGCAGTCCTGACCTCAACCCTGTAGAGAATTTATGGTCAGTCCTTGTACGAAGGGTCTACGCGAATGCCAAGCAGTATACAACGGTCAACGATCTGAAAAGAGCGATTCGTGCCGAGTGGGATGGTTTGGACAAGTCACTGCTGCAATCACTCGTTGGCAGCATGCCGAACAGGATTTTTCGAAGTCGCTCAGAAACAAGGAGGCATCACACATTATTAATTAATCTTTTTTTGTTATACTTTGTTGACTTTGTGAAATGAATTTTTGTTGATTACTTATAGTGGGTCTATAATTCTGGGTCGGTCAAAAAAATCAGATTTTTCTCGTATCTTGAAAAAAAACTTTTTCAACTGGGTGATTGATAATTATGATATGATTATGTTCCTTATCAACAAGGTTTATCACAAAAAAAGTTTGGTGGCTGAAAGTTTTTCAATCTTTCTTAAAATCGGAGAAATTAGGGTGGGTCTATAATTATGGGTCGCAGTGTATTATTCATAGACTCTAAGAGAAGATGTTTGTGAAAAAATTGAAAAACTTTTTTTTCCACAGATCCTTCGTGTCTATGAGCATGACGTCTGAAGATTACGCCCTTTTGAACGGGTTTCGAAATGATTCATAGATTTATCATGATAATTATAACTCAGATCGGCTGTCAGTACGGTTGCCAGTGAAACGAGCGTTCTGCGAACACCGGCTCGCTACCTTCCCAGCCTTTGTGTCGTCGTTTCGGCGGCTTTTTGCACGTTTCCTAACCTTTTTCCGAAAAAATTCTTCAAATTATGATTTTGAGGGTTCTGTGTTACTCAATCGCCCGGTTTGTGCCCTTTCTCGGCGCCGTTTTCACCTTTTTCGGTGCTCTTTGGCTGAGGTGAGGGTTACGATGCTCCAGATGACGGAGAAGATTGATTTTTTGTATCTTTCAGAATCTTTGAACGGTATATTTTGACAGAAAAAAAATTTTTGGGAATGAGAAAAATTACATGAAACCACTGGAAAAGGCTTCTCGCCTCAAGACCCTGAAAAGTCGATTTTCCGCGTCAGGAGGATCTTTGAATCTCTGTACATGCGCCTTTAATTTTCAGGATTTTTCCCTTAATTTTTTGTTTTCATTTTTGGACATACTTATAAGGATAGTTGAAATTTTAGAAAGTATTATTATGAAAAAATACATAGAAGTCGAATTTTAGTTTAAAAAAGGTCTTTAGTTTATCATCTAAAAGGGGAATATTCTATTTATTCGGAAATATATTCTCTATTTGATGCTAACTTGACCGTTTTTCCACATTTTGAGACCTAAAAATGCCTCGGGTATATTTTAAAAATTAGTTTTTTTTTTCCTCTGATCGAAAATTATTCAGCGCTTTTTCCAATTTTTGTTATTATTTTTTGTTCAAAATCCATTTTCGGGGAGTTTAAAAAAACATGGCAAGACGAAAAAGACTTCTCAATCTTTTTCAAGGATTCTGCCTCCAGGACTTTCTTAAAAATAGGTTAAAAAATATCCGTCTTCAGTTTTGTTGAAACATTTTAAACTTTTCCCCTCCTAGGGAATGGTTCCGGCTTCATGGAAGTTCTCTGACAAGATCGCCACGTGCCGCGATCAACGTTACCTGTGTCCTTCGCGATAATCCGTTATACCGTTTTCAAAGAAAGTGATGAAAAATGTTGGGATTTCCAGTGACTACATTCCATATTACACTCTCGGTTGGCTATTCGGAGAAAAATACAAGCCCTACATTTTCGGATGCTGTGACCCGTTGCAAGGCAATAATAGAACGGCTGACGAGTATCTCGAATCAGTCTATCTTTCAAAAAAAGACAATTTTCCAGGGAAACGTCAAGCTCGCCGAGAAACTCGAAAGAAGCACGAGAAGTGATGAAAAAATAGTCTTCTTGGGAGTCGGCATGTGAATTGGAAGCTCTTAGACTTTTTCATTTGGAAATAAACGATTAAGAAATGATTTTCAACAATAATCGAACTAAAAAGCGTTCGCCTTTCGAAAATGTGATGGAACGCTGGAAATGCTGCTCCAACGCACATTTTTCTCGAATTCCCGCCATTTTTTCTCCACTCACGCCATTCCGTTTTTTTTCTTTTTTTCTTTTGGTTTTTATTTTTGAGATTGATTTTTCAATGCATTAAGAAATCGCATTAGATGTTTCGCGAATCGATTCTCACGCCAAAGGTTCCTCCTTTAATTTTTTTTTCTGCCAAATTTTTGGTATAATTCCGTCTAGTTTTTTTTTAACGAAAAAGTGAGCCCAAATTTCAGTTTTGAAATATATGTCGTTTTACTATCAAACGTATCATCAATTTGTTTATTTTCAAGTTGTACGTTATGAAAAAATGGGAACAGCAGCATTTTTAAATTCCTTTGGTGTTCCGAATATTCTTTTTCTCATTTTTAAATTTTACTTTTATGATCCTAAAAAAACAGGCGAAAAAGATATTTTTTTAACTGGCAGTGTGCATTTAGGATTTGAAAATGCTCGAAGTATTTTTTTGGGTTTTTCACCATTCTAGTGAACAAACTAAATAAATAGTTCAACTTTAATTATAGTCCGTTTTAAAAAAAGCTTTTTATTAGTTTTTCGAAGGAACAACAACTTGAAATAAAAAGTGAAACCTGCGTTAGGTATCAAAAAAAAATCGTTAAAAAACTATAGCAGGGATCTTTGAACGAATATACTTTTTCTATAATTCGCATCATTTTCCTCGTTCTAATTTGATTTCGAAGAACGTTTTCCATTTTTTTTTTCGTGGAATTCTCGCTAATTTCGTTTGTATTGTGTTGCCGTGGGATTCTAAGAATTTTTTTTTGCAGTCAATCGATGTCTGGAATCGCGAGTGCCCGCCTGTCGGAAGAGCGAAAAGCTTGGCGAAAAGAGCATCCATTTGGGTTCATCGCCAAGCCCGGCAAAAACCCTGACGGCACTTTGAACCTTTTCAATTGGGAATGTGCGATTCCAGGAAAGAAAGACACGATTTGGGAAGGCGGATTATACAAGGTGAACAGGGGAAAACACGTGCATTTTCAGTTTCAATGGTTTTTTTTTCTTTGATGATATGATCTGTTTGTGAATGCTTGATGGTACGACAAAATCTCAAGTCCGCAAATCTCTAGGACCGTAATCTTGTGTATGCAGATCTAAAGTCCCATAATCTTGGAGACCAAAATCTTGGAAACCACAATCTTGGAAAGCAAAAATCTTCCTTTTTAGTCGTCTTTATTGCACTTTATCTATTTATATTCTCTTGTTTGGATCACCGAATACAAGTTCTGATAAAATCTATTCGCAAAAAGCGTTGATTTTTACTCTCCAAGATCTTGATTTCCAAGATTTTGGTCTCCAAGATTATGGGACTTTAGATCTGCGTACACAAGATTACGGTCCTCGAGATTTGCGGACTTGAGATTTTGTCGTACCATCGAATGCTTGACTGTTTGTTCAATAGAGCATATTTTCCCTGAGTCACAAAAGTTCACAAGGCGAAAAGCTTTACAGTTCTTTTCATCTTTAGAATAGTTCCAGTGACTCGCGGGTTGTTATTAAGTTATCCATGGAAAATTTTGAACAGTAGTCGCATTTCGGATAACCGACGCGTTGCGGATGCGCTGCGGCTTTTTATGTTGACTTTTTTTTTTAAAATTCTATTTGACTTTTAAGGTGACGGCTTGGCAGCAGTTTTGAACCAATGTCACCACTTTTTTTTGGGAAAATTATTATTTTCCGAGAAAACCATAACCATTATAAATTTGATGATTCTCAAGGTCCGAATGCTGTTCAAAGACGATTTCCCGTCGACGCCGCCCAAGTGCAAATTCGAGCCGCCTCTTTTCCACCCAAATGTTTATCCTTCAGGTTTTTCATTTCTAACAAGGTTCTCAGAAAAGTCCAGTTGGGGGAATTTGCTGAGATTCAACTAATTAGAGATTATAATCTTATATTATCTTACATTTTAGATTATAAAAAAAAATTTTTTTCGAACGTTTCCACCTTTTTATGTTGAGTTAAACATCATAAAAAGGTCTAAAAACTTATTTTTCACCCAAAATAACAAAAAAAATTTTTAAAACAAAGAACTCAACGGGCGGTCCCGGGACGACACGAAATTCGAAGCACTTGCCCCGGGTAGACCGGCAAAATTGAAATGAGTGAAAATGTAGGAAGTGAAAAATGGCTCGTCTGACTTTTTGCTCCTCATATGGGCCCGCCCGGGTCGACCCGCTTCATAATCAGCTCTGGGAGTCAGAAAATTTTCCGAAAACTTGTTCTTTTCTGAGCCGCCCTGCAAAATTTTCAAGAAGACTCCAAAGTTATATATTTTAGGGACCGTTTGTCTGTCGCTTCTGGACGAGAACAAGGACTGGAAGCCGTCAATCTCGATCAAGCAACTTTTGATAGGAATCCAAGATCTGCTCAACAATCCTAACGTTGAAGATCCGGCACAAGCCGAAGCTTACCAAATTTATTGTCAGAATCGGTAAATTTTTGGATTTCTCTTGCGTAAACGGACTACTCGCTTAACTTCAACTGAAAAGACGATTAAGAGCTCACTTGAGTGAAGCTTTTCGTAGTGATCACTCAAGGGGATGAATAATACGCCTAATTTCTGCAAGGTCTGGGCTATATTGGTGATATCAACTCCATTTAAAAAAAAACTTTTTTTGGACATTTTTCATCTTTCAGTCGAGTTATACACCATAAAGAGGCTGAAGATCTTCGATTTCTTCATGAATAAAACGTTTTCAAGGTTTAAAGTTAATAGTTGATGTTGGAGAGTTTTTTTCAAAAAGTCATGTATAATTTTAATGGAAGTTAGTATATCAAGGGTTTATCGTTAATTATCAACGTTCTGTAAAAAAAATAATTTAACTAAAAATTTCCAAAATATTTATAGTAAATCGTAAAATATCGTATGACTGTCCTCCAGTCGCTCGAAAATGATTCTGCAAATTCCGAGAATTTCTTACTTTGTTTCACCTAATAATGGAAATTTCAATAGCCAAAGTAAAAGAGAAAAACATAAATTTTTCAGCAATGTTTTTTGTTTCTGGCAAAAACGAAACATTTTTTATTTATGATGGTTATTATTAGAAAGCTTTCAATTTCTCGAAGATGGACACTTTGAAAGGCTCAGAAATCAAATATTGACGATAGAATGAGATTTTTGGGCACATTTTAGTTTAAAATCGCTCGAGTTTAAATTGGATTTGTTTATGGTTGGTCTGGACGGAAATCCTGAGAATTTTTGATGTAATTTAAGAAAAAACTTGACTTTTTGATTTAAAAAAAAACGAACTTCAAAGTTCAATTCGTACATAGTTTTAACAAAATTGTATTTTGAGATCAAATATTTTAAACTAATCAACAAAAAATTATTATTCCAATTGAGTTGATTATCACTTTTTCCAAAAATAATAGGAAACTCAATTTTTTTTAAACTCAAAGTCGCTTCGCAACCGCTAAATAGTTTTGATTCGGCATATTTTTCGATTTATGAGAAATTTTTTATTATTTTTCAGATCGGAGTACGAGAAGCGGGTTCGTAGGGAAGCGCAAAAGTTCAGCGCGGATCAGGTTCAAAAAACCATGCTTGGATGATTTTTTAAACCAAAAAATTCATCAGTTTTATTCGACTTCTTTTTTCCTTCATTTTGCCGTTTCCAAAGTCAATTTGAAGACTCCTTTTTCCCTGATCCCCGTGTCTCAAATTACTCGACGGCACTTACTAAAGCTTTGCTAACAAATTTGGTTCCTTTCCCGCTTTTTGTTTGATTCCTGAACCAAGAGGCCTTCTTCTTTTCAACGTTTCCGTCATTGTTCATTACCTAAATTGCTTCATCCTCTCCTTCTTCCGTGTTTACCTTCAATTCTCCACGCCCCATTCGCTCAGCGTTATTTGGAATGAAATTAGAGAGTTTTTTCGGCTCCGGGCTCGCACCTGCGTGAGAGAAACTTTCATTTCGGCCCCTGTTTTCTCATTATTCATCACGTTTTCGCTCCGCTTTTCATGCAACTCATTTTTGTCTCGATTTCCAGGCCTATGAGTGTTTCCTTTTCAATATTTATTCTATATGACTTTATTTAACTTGGTTGGCTGATGGGTTGTGATGATCAAGACTGTTACAAAACTTTAAAACGCTCAAAATGTCGAGTTTTTTAAAGCAAAATCAATCAAAAGGAACATTTTTCAAATAATTTATCCTCTTTAAAATGAGTTCCCAACAAAATCGTTCCAAAGTTCCATTTCTATCAGATTGACTAAAAGTAAATTCGTTGTTCAAATTGTCCGACAATCTCATTTTTCAATTAAAAATCGTTCAAAACTACTCGACCTTCCCAAAGAACAGAAATTTTGTGGAAAATTCTCGTTTCTGGGATGCAAAAATTGAAAAAGATGAAGTTCTGAAGATATTGCAAAATATGATTAGCGTAAAAGTACATTCGCAATCTTTCTGCCCGATTTAGCCAGCCAACCACACATTATTTATTGTTCGGTTGGTTCTTCTAAGAAAAAAGAAGTTATTAGGCTGAAAAGTCGATCTCAGTGATCCCGTTGATTTGAATAACATAGGCAAAGTTCAGAAAGTCTTGTTTATTTATTTTTAAAATGTACTTGAACTATCAAAATTGTCTTTTTTTGCACATTAAAAAAACCTTTTTTTGGATGTTCACTCTCTTAAAAAAGGACTTTGCCCATGATAAAATGAAAAAAAAATTTCCCCATCATTTATATTTTCTAAAGTTTTGTCCTCTCATTTCTGTTTTTTTGTGTAGATGAAGTCTTTTTTTCGAGAATTTGAGTTGAATTTAATGACTTTTCGGGGAATTATGTCGGATTTAATGAAAGGAGTCACTCTCATCAAGAGAGACTTGACTGAGGTCAAGGCCGAAGAAGCTCTCAAGGGAAAGGTGAGCTTCGAAAATGAGTTATACCTGGGTAAATGATAATTTTCAGGTAGTAGCTCTCTATTTTTCGGCCGGCTGGTGTCCGCCCTGCAGGCAGTTCACTCCGAAACTTGTGGTTTAATGAATAAATTCAGAAAATGGCTGATTTCCATGCTTTAGAAGTTTTATCAAGCCGTCAGAGCGGCTGGAAAACCGCTCGAAGTGGTTTTCATCTCGAGGGATCGCAGCAAGGCCGATTTGGAGGAGAATTTCCAGGTTCTGATTGAATTTTTTGAGGAGAAATGGCGTATTTTTGATTCGAAATATAGTTTTCTTCATGATTTCTTGTGGATAAGTTGTGTTTAATTCCAATTTTCAGCTGGATTTCTCTCAATTTTTTTCTATGTCAAAAAGTTTTTCTATTATAAGTTCTCATCATCTTGATCCTTTAGAAAAACAACGAATTTTTAACTGATTTTTAAATTTAAAGTACTCTTTTTTTCCTATAGGTTCAAAAATAATTTCGAATCTATGTTTTTTTCCTAGTGTTAATTAAAATAATTGCTTTCCCAAATAACGAAAAAAATTCATATGATTGTTTTTTTCCTGGGAAAAAAAGGAGAAAAACTTAAATTTTTTTGCCTAGACGAAATTTCCACGAAAACGGTTTTGGTTAACATTTGAATAAGATTATTTTTTTCGGGTTCAAAATTGTTAAAAAAAGTTGAAATTCTCACTGGTTTTCAAAGGGATAAGTTACAAATTCTGACGAAATTGCATTAAAAAAAAGTTTATTTGTCGAACTATCGATGATTTTTTTCAAAATTTGATGTGTTCCACTCTTTATTTCGTACAGTGCGATGCCGGAAAATATCCTTAATTTTTCAGGAAAAAAACACGGCGATTGGCTCTCTGTGAAGTTCGGGGACGAAATCGCCACGTTAGTTTTTTTCTTTCAACTTTTTTTAAAAGTTAAAATTTATTTTTTTAGAAGATATCAATCAAAATTCGAAGTGAAAACAATCCCAGTACTTCGAGTAATCAACGCGGCCGGAAAAATGGTGGTTCCGGAGGGAAAAAGCTGAAGTTCAGGTGAGATTTAGATTTTGAAAATTGATTCTATATTGGTGTGGGATAGGATAGAGCGAAAAATAACGGCGTTGCAAGCCTCAGGGAAAAAAAATTTAAAAAAAAATTGACTGGGAAAGTTAGCTCTGTTCAAAATAGCAACTGAAGAAAGAATTGAGCCTCGTTTGAATGGAAATCTTCCTTTTTTGGCTATTTTTTGAGTGGCTGATTTTTCTAAGTCTTGTATTTTGTGTACCTCTAAAACATTGTGAAAATTTGATAGCTACTTTTTCAGGACAAGGGAAAGGCCGATCCCATCGGCATTTTCAACAACTGGGAGAAGCTCTGCGCCTAACCGATTCCTCAGGATTTCAATCAAAATATACTTTTTTTCAAAAAAATGCTTGGGAAGAATTAAAAAGAACCTTTTTTTCATGTTATATTAGAAGTTTAAAGGATTTTTCGAATTTCATTCAAATGAAGTTGTGAATTTTTATCAATAAAGATTATTGTGGATCTACGTTTTTTTTTTTCTGATAAAGAAAAGGGAAGTTCCGCGTCGATACCTCGCATGTCATTTCTGTTTGAAAAATGTCGTTCGAAATGGTGATCTCGGCTTTTAAGGAGTTTTTTACCCAAGAGGTCTTTTAAGTGAATCTTTTTGGGTTTGAAGTTGATCAAATCGATTTCAAGGTCCCAGAGTTTCCCGATCCGATGCCGGCGAAAAATGATTATTCCAATCCGAGAACTTTCAAACGGGTTGACGCCGCCAAGAAGAAGGCCAGGGCTGGTAAGTGTCGAGAAATATGGGGATTTCAGAGGTTTTTAGTCCGGAAAATGAACTTTTCAGTGTTCAGAGAAGCGTTAAGTGTTTAGAAGTTTAATGATTCTGATCAATTTTTGAGTTGCAAATTTGGAAAATCCTCATTGAAAATGGGTATTTCGAGCGGGCGAAAATAAAATTAACTGTATAAGCTGGAAAATATTTTTTTTAAAGGTAATGAAGAGATTTTTTTCAGTATCGAAAAGTATTGAGAAAAGGAAAATTCCATTAATTTTTAGCGAAAAAAATGAGCGAGAAATGCATTTGTTTCGCAAAGCTTTTTTTTTCCAGCCGGAGTAAGCTCAAGAAACGATATAGGCCAGAATACATTTTTATTTTAAGTAAAAGATTCTTTTTCGATGTTTCAGATGAAGTTTCGAGCTGTAAAAAAAAGAATCAAATTCGACATTTAAAAAAAAGGTTTTTTCAGGGAATTTTTGTGCAGGAGAAGAAGCAAATATCAACTCCTAGACTTCAATTAAAGACGCCATTATAGATAGCACTCCCAAAAGTCTCCTCTTGGCGCATTCCGCGTGCGTGCGCGCCAATTCAAATTTCGTCTCTTGGACTAGATTTACAGGCTTCCAGTATATGGTTCTTTTTTTGTATAATTTTTTTCTTACTTATTCATTTCCAGTTTTTTTATTTTTATTTAATATTGACTCATTTAGGGAATCTAACTTTATTTAAGAAAGTTTTTTTCTTGTTTTAGCGCCAATTCAAATTTTTCGCCTTCACTCACTTGCACAGGCAAATGGGGAAGGTACCATAATGTGCCCACAAATATACCTCTTAAAAAAAGAATCTTGAATATTCCATAATATGTCCATCGTGAGACGTCGAGCATAAATTTTAGCTCTAGCTGACCAGGGAATGGTGTCTAGTCGCAGTTGGATTTCAGAATGAGACCCAGTCCACTAAATGAAGTTTTTTTCATGCTGTTTCCAAATCTGTTCTCAAAAAAATGCCGCGGAGGTCCGTGAAAAAAAGTTTTTTTGGAAAAGTTTTTTTGAGCGGAGATACGATTTTTTTCAAAAGCTCCTCGCATGATAAGGAAATTTGCTGCTGAAAATTCATTCTTCGTTTCTCATGAGCGAATAGAGAACAACGTGTACAGCTTATACAAATTTCAAAGGAAGTCTGAAAACAGAATGAATAAAAATTAGAAAACCGAAATGACTAAAAATAATAATAATAAAAACCTGGGAAGCATTTCCAGGCTACTCGGTAGCAATCAAAAATTTCAGGTACTCTGCCCGTATATCCAGTTATCATAGATATGATACCCGTGTAAAATTAATTGGAAGTTTTTTTATGCAAGAAAAATTATTCAAAAAAAACCATATACTGGAAGCCTGTAAATCTAGTTCAAGAGACGAAATTTGAATTGGCGCGCGCACGCACGCGGAATGCGCCAAGAGGAGACTTTTGGGAGTGCTATCTATAATGGCGTCTCTTCAATTAATTAAAATTATGTCGAATTTGAAATAGTAAAATTACTTTTTTTATTCGCAGAAAAAAACATTTTTTTAGAAAAAAACAAGAACTTTTTCTCAATTTTAAAATTCTTTACTCCACATAAATCTCAAGGAATATTTTAGAGAGAAATAATATGTTTTTATTTAAAGAAAATTTACTTCGTGATAAGCTTTTTCTGGGATTTTTATTCAAATTTTGAAGTTTTTCGATCTAGATTTTTTTATCAATTTTTCCAATTTTTTTAAATTTTTTTACAGGGTTTCCAACTTTTTGCGAAATTTTCATGTGTTTTTAAAGTTCGAAAAAAATATGATTTTCAGAACTAAACAAGTACGGGTGGGAAACTCTGGGCTATGCGGAATCTTTCAAGCTTCCGTCATTGAAAGACGAGAAAATTGACAGGTTTTCCTGAAATTTTTGGAGTAATTCATAACTGTTTCATTTTTTAGAGTTAACGGGAAGAAAATGACGGTGGAAGAGTTCCGGGAGAAATATGAAAGGCCCCGAATTCCAGTTATAATTGAAGGATGCACCGAGGGATGGCAGGCCAATGAAAAGTGGACCGTCTCGGTGAGTGAATAAATCATTTTTCAGTAACCACAAAATTAAAAAAAACATTATTTCTGCTATTCTTTCTGAAAAAAGATGATTAGCGAAGCCAGAGTGGTCCCTAAAGGGGCCTTTGAAGGTGCTCCTTTAGAAAAACAGAGTAAAAAAAATGCCATCTTACCTCCCCCTATAGAGGCCACTAAAGCTTTCGTAAATGACCATTTTAGGGTTTTTAATTGTATCTCATTCACGGCTGGCTTGAACCATCAAAAAATGGTCCTAACACGAAAAAGAGACAGTACTTGGTTTTTGGAGAGTGCAGACAGGCCACGCCCCAAGCTAGCCGTTAATCAGCTAAAGTGGCCACTTTACGAGAAAAAAGTCATATTTTCTAATTTTAGTGCTGAGAAAGCAGAGTAAAATTTGTTCCAAAGGCTATTTGGAATTCCGGAGTGGTCCCTCAAGGGGCAAATTAGGGGCTCTTGAAAGCTCCCCTCTAGGGGCCATTAAAGCTTGCGAAAGTGACCACTCTAGGGGACCATGCCCATAAATCTTTTCATCTTTGAAGTCATAACCAAATATTGAGATAGCACTAGAGGGACCGCTTAAGCCTGGGGCTCAGGGGTCAGACTCTAGGGATCATCTAAATTTTATTCCTCTAGGGAGCACTATTCTGTTCCTCATAGGGATTTTGTCCTTAATCACTTTAGAGTCCACTCTGGTTTCCCTAATTTGTTCCATTTTGAGCTTATCTAGCGAAAAAATGTGGAAATAAAGCTTCAAAATTTGTTTATGTTTCTTATTTTGTGAACCCACTCGGTTGTCATAGGAAAAAGTTGAAAAACCATTTTTTTTTTTTAAATCAAATTTTGTGTCTTTGCTCAATTTTTCTTTGAAAAGGCTTAATATTTTCCAAGTTTCATATGAGGCCAGTTCCGTGAACTTTGAAGACCTTATGAAATTGAGACACAAGTTATTCCGCTCCCCAGAGGAAAAAAATATAGTCTTTGCTTCTTTAAAAGTTCGATTTTTTTAAAATAGTTCTCTTATCAACTTCTTTTTTACAGAGAATAACCAAGAAATACCGAAATCAACGGTTCAAATGCGGCGAGGACGACGACGGCTACTCGGTCAAGTTGAAAATGAAATATTATCAGGATTATATGACAAGAAATCACGACGATAGTCCTTTGTACATCTTCGACAGCAGTTTTGCTGATGTAAGTGGGAAAAAAGTTGGAAAAAAAGCGATTTATTTGTGTTTTCGTGGAATTTAGCGAAAACTAAAGTCATTTTTGAGACGAGGGCTCTTTTTTGACACTGGGAAGCTTCAAAAATATGAACTTTCCACAAAAAAATTTTTTTCTGAATAAAGATATATTTTTTGGTCTTCTAGAAGAGCAAAATTACCCAAAATCAAGCTTTTCTCGACTTTTATAATGATACAAAAAACACTCAAATTAGCGAATTTTCAATTTTTAAGCGACTTTTGAGCATTTTTTGATGGCCCAATTGGTGTCATTTCTCCAATTTTTATACTTTTAGAGCTTTAAAAATATTATCTGACCCCATAAAAGAATGTTCTTTTCGGGAATGTCACGAAAAATCGTGTACTTAAGGTCAAAAAAGATGTTTCGAAGTAGGCAAAATTTATAAAAGTTGAATTTCTCTGAAGAAAAAACATTTATTTATGTGAAGCTGTGACGGAAAATGAAGCGTTTTGGCTTATTTTACTAAATATTTTCTGAAATCATGACTTTTGGGGCTCTAAAGGCTATTTTTTAGATTTTTTCACAACATTAGAAACAAAAAAAGCGCCTTTTTTCTTGATTTTCCACATTTTTGAAACCTATAGTTTTTCCAACATCTTTTTCTCTGAAGAAAAAATGTCTCCTTTTTCAAAAATCCCATCTTTGGGTCAATCTGAGAACCTTGAGCTTTTTAAAAACGAACGTTTCGAAAGCTTTGAACCAATTTTTCATCTCAAAATCAGTTTTTGAATTGAATAATCTTCAGAGACACAAAACGAAGCGACTTCGCGAGGATTACGAAGTTCCCAAGTTTTTTAGCGACGATTTATTCAATTATGCGGATTATAAGAAACGGCCACCCCATAGGTTTTTCAAGAGAATTTTTTTTTGCAATATTTTTTTTTTGATTTTAGATGGTTTGTGATGGGGCCAGCCAGGTCAGGGACAGGAATCCATATCGATCCGTTGGGCACCAGTGCTTGGAATACCTTGATTCGAGGACATAAGAGGTTTGAAAAATGATTGAAGAAAATAATGGTGAATCCTATTGAGGAATAAATACGGAAAAAATGCGCCTTTCTGAAATTTTCGATTCAAAAGTGGTAATAAATAATAATCTTGGCGAAACCAGCCCTAAAATTAAAAAAAAATATTTTTGTAAATTTTTAATTGTCATAAAAGTTAGCACTGGTTTCATTTCTATTTTTTTTCAGTTTGGATATAGCTTTAAGTAATTGAGGTTATGTGTTTAGCCGGTCAATAATGAGAGGTACTGTTTGAGTTCACTTCAGTATAAAAACTTGATAAAAATTGATAGACCCAAGAGAAACGTTCCAAGGGTAAGAAAATATATTAATTTTATTCCATTTCAATTGCAGATGGGTTTTGATTCCGCCGAATGCGCCGCGAGATTTAGTCAAGCCGTTGGCTCACGAAAAGGGCAAGCATCCTTCCGAGGCCGTCACTTGGTACTTGTGTTTTGATTTAAGAAAATTCTTCTGTGAAGGACGTTTCATATAGATGACTCACAGCTGGGTTGAGCTATCAAAAAAAAGTATTTTGACAAAAAAAAAAGAGACATGCGCCTTTATTTGGCCTAAAACTTCCTTAATATCAAAGGCGCTCATAGAAGGGCAGACCGTGTGCATTTTTTTAAATGTTTTTGAGAAGCGCAATATTTGAAGAAGAAGCCTAATTTATCACATAAAGAATGTCTCGAAACGATAAGCGAGACAGCGTGAAAAATTGAGAGGTTTATATAGCCGATACACTGCTAGCAGACGCTATGCTCTCTCCGCCAATCGCACACTATCTTTTTTCTCATCATGTCAGGATCTATTTTTTTTTTTCGACGGCTCGAGCCGGCTGTTAATCAACTATACACCGAGGATGATATTTTATGGTTTTTTATAAAGGAGAGAGAGTTCAATTTTATCTGTTCGCTATGAAACCGTTTTTGGGAGTTGACGCTTTTTTTTTGTTATCAGCTCAATTTTTTCCAATCGAGGTTCTCAACGGTCTACAACCGAGTGCGGAGCCCAATCTGGCCGAAAGAGTACCCGATCATCGAGTGCCGTCAAAACCCCGGCGAGACGATGTTCGTCCCTTCCGGCTGGTGGCACGTCGTCATCAACGAAGACGACACCATCGCCGTCACTCAGAACTACTGCTCCGTCGAGAATTTGCACCTCGTCTGGCCGAAAACCGTCAAGGGAAGGCCGAAACTCAGCAAGCATTGGCTCAAAAAGTGAGAAATTCTGTTCAGGAACAAAAAGAAATGGTTGAAACAGGCCCTAGAACATAATTTCCTCAAAAAAAGTTTTCACCAGGAAGACTCAACTTTAATGCTCTCAGTTAGCATTTTTTCGAGTTTATCCTTTTTTTTGTTGGTCAGAAGCTTTATAAAGAAATAGAATAGGAGCTTGTTTTTTCCAGGTTGACGGCCGAACGACCCGAAGTCCTAGACGTGATCCGGGAGTCGACAGAAATCTCAGCAGAAGGGGCCGACTCGAGCAGCGACAGCTCCAGCTCAAGCTCTTCTTCGGACGACAGCAGCAGCGATTCCGGATGCGAAGGCCAGGAAGGGATGCCTACTGCTTCCAGGAAGAGGTTTGGCTGGTTGAAGAGGAAAAATTCATATATAAGGGTTTTGGAGAAAAATGGATTTTTACGGTGAGAAGTTTAGAAATAAAAGGAAAAAAACGGACGAAAAGGTAATAGGAAAAGTTCTTACGAAATGTCAAACTTGGATCAGATTACTGTGGATTTTATTGAAAATTTTCTTTTTCAGAAAAATCTGGTTTTTTCAAATCTTTCGTGGCTAATAAATAGGGAATGACTTTTCGATCGGCTTTCTTAAGTTACCATTCAAATTCTATGTAAATGAATCATTTTTTTGAACTTACCAGGGAATGGTCTCAGCTCGCAGTGGGACTTCTGAATGAGACCATGTTTTCTAGATGTAGTTTTTCATTCTGATTCCAAATCCTGTCTCAAAAGCTGCGTTTTTTTCTTCCTTCCAAAAAAAAAAATTGAATTTTCAATGTTTCGAAAAACTTTCTATGTACAGGAAGGATGGGGTTCGAATAAAGTTTCATTGAAGAGAATGAAAATTTTTTTTATAGAACTAGAAAATTGTAGATAACTTGAAAAATAATCAGCCGGCTTTGAAAAGACCACATAATTAGAGAGAAGCTCTTCTGGAAAAAGTTTTGTCGGTAGCGTTTGAATGAGCTCTGTTTGAATATGAATATTGGAGCTTGAGTTTGGAAAGTCGGAAATATTGATAGAAGGTCAGGGGGAATTGTACATGGGCCTACTATTTTTTGAAGGGTTTTTTTTTGAGGTTCAAAATTTGATTTCCCTCAAAGCTATCTTCCTGATCTGATTTTTATAGGTTGCATTTTAAAAGTTTTGTTAGACACACTATCCTCTTGGACCAAGTGAGTTCTGTATTTGCCCAAGAGTGATGAATTTAGGCTTTCATGGAGGATAGACATAGGGGAGGGTGTTCAAAAAAGAAAGAGAAAATCGGCTAAGCGCCATATGGTGAGAAGTGAGAGCAACCTTCTTTATTTTTTACTAGGCTCCTCTTTGATTTTCATAGCTTCTTTCTGAAAACCGGAAGCTCGTTCAGAAGGAATCTGATGTGCGACGACGAGGACGACCCGACGGCCGTCGAAAGTCAGTGTCTGGAGAAGATGCGGAGAAGTCAGGACCGCGATTCCCATGCCTAGATCTTCTTGACTTCTTATTAATTCTCGATTTTTTGATAAATATCATTTCCCTCGTTGTTATCCGTTGATTTGATCCTGTTTTTGTCCTTTATTCAGTTAAAAATTGTCTCCGCACGGATTTTGCCACTGAAAATGATTTCCGATTTAAAATCCCGACAGGAAACTCTTCGATTCTTTTTTTTTTGTTGAAAAATCCCTTTAGGGGACTCTTCAGTTCATTTTTTGACCTTTCTCAGGCTCGCTTTTAACCGCCAAAAATTTTTGAGTTGAATTTGTACTTCAAATTTTTTTTGAGCCTCGATATTTCTTTGCACCTATATGTTCGGTTGCTCTTTTTCCGTAATTTTCGAAGTTTTCGGCTATTTTCACATCGGCAAGTTTGCTCCAATGATAATACGTTGTTCATCCAACTTTTTCATATCGCTAGGTCTTGAAATCGCCTTTTTTGATTATTTTTTTTTTGCAGTTTTTAATTTTTGAAGCATCTCACATTACATCTCCTTAAAAAAAGACTTGCTTTAATTATTTTTCTCATATTTTTTTCATTCTCAAATTATTTCCTCTCACTGTTTTTCATGCCACTGGTACTAATTGATTCCTTACTTAATTTGATTTTTTTCTGTTGTCATTGATTAGAACTTGGAAAATAATCCCAGCTTTACCTTTGGAAATTTTTTTCGGTTTTCTTGCTATCATTCGGTTTTTTTCACTTTTTCATTTGTTCCTATATTTATTGAGACTTAGAAAATTTGCAATATAATTTTTTTAAAAGTGATCCGTATCGAAAAATTTCGATTTTTCTGTTAAATTATCTGTTATCATTAGTGTTTTTTTCGGTTGTTGAATTTTTGGCCCGAAATGTGCCGAATTTTTTTGTAAATTTGGTCTGAAATTAACTTTTTCAGCAAATTTTTTTCCACTGTTTTTTGAAGGAAGTCAGAAAGAGCAAAACGTTTTTTTAAATTTTTTTGTATTCGTAAAAAAAGTTAAAACGTTGAAGTTATTAAATTTAGCTTCATCTCTCGAGAAGCTCCAAGCAAAAATTCAATCATTTCTACAGGAAAAAATCAAAACTTTTTTGGAAGCTTAACTTTTTTGATGAATTTGTAATTTTTGAACAATCTTCCGATCTCATTTCGAGATCGCAAGAAATGAATTGAGTGAAGGTTGGCTTTCGCCTTCTAGAGAAAGATGAAGATCGGCGGGTCGCCGAGAATTCTCGGCTGACCTGCTTTTCCTTCGCTTAACCTTCATCGGCCGGCGAGACGGTTCTTCCTTCGGAACGCGGAGATTTCCTTTCCCTCTCGTCACAACCAACAGCTGCATGCTCCACACGATTCTGCTCTTTTTGGCGGCGATCGGTGAGTTTTTTCAGAAGCTTTTTTTTTTACGTGTTGTAGACTTGAATTTGTTATAATTTTTTTTTGACCTCTGATTTTACCGATTTGTAGAAAAAAGAATGGTTACCCTAGTCTTGGAGATCAAGAATCTTTCAATTTTTTTTTTAAAACGGAAACTTTTTTCAATTTCAGTTTTAAGGTTAGGAGAATCATTTTAATCACAGATAGTATTTTCTATAAGAAATTTATGACCTGCTTGGAAAATTCCGACTTTTAGATAAAAACAACTGATCTTAGAGTTTAGGGATCTCCCTTGAATTCCTTTTTTATCAACGTTTTTCTCTGATTTTCAATTTGGAAAGTTTTGAGCTCTAAATGATCGTTTTTGACGTGATGATCTCGTGGAATTATTTTCGAAGATAAGCTAAGATCCTTTTTTAAAAACGAGACATTTCTAAATTGAGCAAAAGTTTATTTCAAAAAAGTTCGAAAATTGAACTGAACATTTGTATTTTGAGGATTTTTTTCATCTCTATTTGAAAGCTCGAGAGAAGAATTTCTTGGTCATGAATCATTTTTAAGAAATTTTTTTCAGAATTCGGATATTTTTTTATTAGGCTTGTTAACAATTTGAGAAGAAAAAAATGATGAATCTTGTGAGCAAACACATCTTTTTTTAACATCTTTTTTTTTACCTGTACACATCTTTTCGGAAATTAAATTTTTTCCAAAATATCGAAAAAGCTGTAAAATATTGTTTTTTTATAAAAGTAAGGAAAAACCGAGTGAAATCGTAGGCTTGAATCGCAATTATCTCTTCCAACTAATCATGAAAAATCATGTCTTGTTTTTAAAGAATTTTTTATCAAGGCATTTCGCGATAAATGAAATTAAAATTTTTTTCGAGGACATTTTTTTGTATGTATCCGATATAATTCTTGAATTTTTTTGTTATTTGTGTTCGAAAGTTGTATTCTAGTGGAACTATTCCAGCGCTAAGCGCCGTGGAAGCGATCCCATTCGAAGCGCCGATCGTGGTTCCGCCGTGTCCGGCCGGATCTCGGCCGCTTCTTCGCCCCTGACGGACAGCCCAGGAAATGTCTGCCGCACCAGAATTCTCTCTGTATCAACGCTCTTCCTGACAAGGTTTTTATATTTTTTTGTGCGGCTCATATTATATCATATTGACAATAGTTAGAACAATTATATAAAATGTTGAGAAAAATGTTAAGAAAAAAAGCTCGAGTTTAAAAATTTTATCTTTTTAGGAATTTTTTTATCCTTATTTTTTTATTAATCTTGGAATCTTGGAGGTCTTTTTCTAAAAAAATAGAAATTCTCTTTTTTTCATTGATATTTGCAAACTTTAGGTTTATTTCAATGTTTTATTGAAATTTTTTTCATAGATTCGAGGTAGTTGTTTAAGATTTTTGTTTGGCTTCTTTTTGAATTTTTTTGTGCTTTTTGGGATACATTTAGAGCTTCATCCTGAAAAAAACCAAGAAAAAAGCGCTCAAGTTTCAATGCGACATTTTTTAAATCGATTTTTCTTTTTTTTATTTATTCCATCAGCCCTTGAGTGTGAAATTTCAAATTCTGGCAACTTTTTTTCACCAAATTTTCTTGTCCCTTTTCGCGTCTCATGTTAGGTTGAAAATAGATTTCTGTGGCTTCCATGGCTTTCAGTGACCATGGAGACCTGTTTTTATGATCTTCTACAATTTATGCTTCTTTTAGAAACGTGTCTTTCGAATCTTGAATTTTCAAAAAAACCAAAGAGAAAAAAATGGAAGTGTTGTTTACCTATTCAACAAGTTCATTGGTTAGATCATTTGAGAGGATTAAATAATGTTTTGCAGCCAAACGCCGACACAGTTTGCTGTTACCATAATCAAGTGGATTATTACTGCTGCTTGGACACGACCGAGGAACAATGTCCCGATTATCACCAGGTTATTTTTTCTTTTTCTCAACTATTTCTTCCGAAAATTATGTCCGACTTCATTTGTGGGGATTTAAATTATGGTTAAAAAGTTGCAAAAAATCTTTTATATTAAATGGAACTTCTGAAAAGGCTAGATTCACCAGGTGCAGTTTTTTTACTCTGGGACTGTAAGAGACAGGAAGAGGGAAAATCATTTTTCTCATTTTTCTGAAAATGGAAAAATCGCTATGAAATTATATTATTCCAATTTTTCCGTTGTCATAGGCTGTAATCAAAAAATTCAGATGGTAAAAAAAATTCAAAGTGAAAAAAAAAAGCAATTTAGAGCCGTTTTTCACTTGTTTCCAAATAGCCTTTATCCATATAAGCGTGGTTCGGAATTTTTTGAGGTATTGAGATCTGAACGAATCAATGTGGTTCGTTGAGCTTATTTTTGAGCTTTAGATGTAGCTCCTGGCTTAGATGGTCACGAAAAGACGGTTCAGTTTTTTTAGAAACTAATTTCAAGTTGGGGTTTTCAAAGGGGCGCATTTGCTTGAGTCACTACAGCTGCACTGATTGAACAGGCTCCTTTTTTAACAATTTCAAAGTCTTGAAACTTCTTTCAAAGACACTCTCGGCATATTTTGAGCACGTATTTGGAATTAGCTCAAATAACAGAATCTAGTGATCTTAAAAGTCAAGATTTAGTCCTGTAGCTTTTTTCAAAGGCTGAAATTCGGAATCAGCTTGAAAAACTGTCTCTGGTGAACCTAATTATCAAGTCTTAACCTTCGGAGTTTCAGACATTCTGAGATCTTTTTATTGAAGGACCTTTCAACAATATTTTAAACAAAGACTCGGAATCAATTTTAAAATCTTCATCTAGTGGACCTAAAAAACAAGCTTCAATCCATTTTCAGTTTAATTTTTCCAGGTGACCGTGGTGATCCACAACTCGTTCCCCCAGAATCCGTTCGCCCTGAAGTCGTTCTTCTTCAAGGAAGGCATCGAGGATGACGTCATCGACGCGACGTTCAACGACGAAGACGCGATCCGCAACGAGAATGGCTTGCTTGTCAGACATGCTAATGACATTCAAAGAGCTTGATGTATTTTGGAAAATGTTGATGTTCAAAGGTCACCTGTACTTAGACGTCTGAACTTCTTTTTTCTGCATAGTATTTCGCTCATCGTGTCAAGACCTTTATTCAATAATGTCTCGAGAAGGTTTATTAATCGTAGGCTTTTGGAAAAGAGAGCGAGCGAGGGACAACGGCTGGCTGAAGAGACGTCAGAGAAGTAGAGAACTTTTCGCTCTCTGGTGTCTCTTCAGGGTTTTTAGTTCTTTTTTTCCATTTTTTTTGTTACCTCATGTTTTGTATATATAATAAGTAATGTATGAATAATAAAGAATTAAAAAGAAAAATTTTTTTGATTTGAAGATGGATGCAATGCTTTCCTTTGTATATTTTTTTGCTTTTTCAGACTTTTTTTGAGTCTGAATTTTATTAATCTGAACCTTTTTTTGGACTTTCTACTACATGAAAAAAATAAAAATCAAACTTCAAAGGTCTAATTTTTGAAAAACTATTCCTAGGAATCTTTGATTTTTTTAATGCTCATATTAAAAAAATTTCGATGAACCAAAAAAACGGAAATGTAAATGCCGTGAGAGGTGTAAACGGGATGAATCATGCAAATATCAACACTTTTCCTCGTTTTCATGTACCTCGTAGGTTTTTTATCACTTTTGATAGTGAACCGACCCAAAAATGGATCAATTCGATCAATTTATTGCCTTTGAAGTTAAGCCCGAAGTGGATGGACTATATTTCGAAGCCGGTTCAGGTCGGCACACATGGATGGCGGGATGGAATCATCTCGGTAAACTTAACTTTCCACGGCGCAACTTTTTTTTTCTCTTTCCTCCCCTTCGCTTCGCCACGCACTCGTCTACTCTTCTCTTCTCTTCACTTTGTTGGTTTTTTCGGTCTTTTCTGTGAGAATTTTGTCAGTTTCATCGTTTTTTTCCTTGGTTCTAGTCGCTTTCTGACCTTCCATGTAATCTAGGGCAAAAAGGGAGAAATTATCAATGGAGCACACTTTCGATTTTTCTTTCGCGGCTATTTTGATGTATTTTTATTGGTTCTAATGGTTCCAGTCGCTTTCTAAAATTTTCCAATCAAGACCAAGAAATCGTGTTTCTGGGGCAAATTATCACTAGAGCACACTTTCGAATTATTTCGCAGCCATTTTTCATTTTCTATTTTTGAAGTTTAGACTGCGAAATAGCATTGGGAAGAAAGTAATTTAAAGCTTCAAAGAATGGCCATTGGAAAAATAATGGATTAAAAAAAACGTTTCTTCATGACATTGTCAATAGAGCACACAAAAAAAGCCTTCCATGGCTATTTTTATCTTTTTTTTTCCAATTGAACGCAAGGAAATATACACAGAGGTGCTCGAAAAAAAGCCAATTTTTTTAAAATTTTCAGTTTATTCTTTTGCTTTTTTTCTTTGCTATTTTTTTGTTGAAAAATTTATAGATATGAATCGAAAACCTCTAAAAAGAACTTTTATATTACAGCTTCAGCCCCGCTTGAAGAAAAATTTTTTTTCTAAGTATTTTATTGATTTTTTTTAGTTCTTCTTCAAGTTTTTATGAATTTTAGAAAAACTGGGAAATTTTTTAGTGGCCGCTTAAGAGGTTTCTCAAGGACTACTTGGAGAGGACACTAAGGTGGCCACTTTAGTAGTTTTTTTCATCCAGTATTCCTTCCAGTAACTCTGATACTTTTGAAACAATCAGATTGGACTCGTTATGTTGATCCATTGACCCCTAAAGAGGCCACTAAAGGTTTTGGTCGTCTAGTATTAGCGCTTAGACCTCTATAGTGACCACTAAAACGTCAAAACCCTATAGTGGCCACTAAAAATTTCCCCAGAACACTTGAAATCGGATTACTTATAATTTATCAACAGAGCACAGGGGCATCTTTTTTTATTGAAAATTTTTTGAGAAGAGCGGAAAGCATTTTTCTTATACTCTTTTTCAACGATCAATCATTATTATTTATTTAACAAAGGTTAAAAAAACTCCTTTTTGAATATTTTTTTAAATTTATCCATGAATGAAGAAAAAAAAGAATACAGAAAAAATAGGAAAAAGATTGGTTTCAGACGTTGTTTTGGGGACGCTGGTAGTGTGGCTGGTTGTTTTGGCGGCGGCGATCGTGTCGTGTCTGGCGCCCTCCACGTAAGGCGCACTCTCTCGCCCCCAGCCGACGGTTCGCCGTCGCCGAAAAGACACCCGCGGCAGAGAGGCGGGCCGCCGGCAGTTGACCGCATGCCGTGTTCGCGGATCGCCAGGATCCTCGCCACCCTCACCGGCCTCGTCTTCCTGGTTCGTCTTTTTGTTTTGTCTTGAAATGGCTTGAAATCGAACTCATTTGTTTCGAAATCAAGGAAAAATGACCTTTTTTCAAGGTTTTTTCTGGTTTTGAGACGTTTTTTTTGAAAGTTTCTGGCAAGATGTTTATCCTTATTCATGTTTTGTCGTGAAATATCTTGAATTTGAACTGGTTTGCTTCGTAATTGAGGAAAAATGGATTTTTTCAAGGTTTTTTTGGTTTTAAAACGCTTTATTTTTTTGAAAATTCCTGGCAACTTTTTTTCATTCGTCCTTTCATTTTGTATTTGAATGACTCGAAATTCAATTAAATTGCTTCAAAACTGAACGGAAATGCTCTAGAAAATAGAAAACAAAACTAATTTCGAGGTTTTTTTGGTTCTGAAGTTTAAAAAAAATCAACTTTTTTGGTTTTAAAACGTTTCTGTCTTGATTTTTTTGTTTTATTTACTTTGAAAGTAACTTGAAAATGTTGGGAAATGCTTCGAAGTCGAAGAAAAAAACGCCTCGTAAATTGAAGAAAATATTATTTTCTTAAAGCAAATTCGGGTTTTGAGAGAAGTTCTTGACTTGCTGCTGCTTTAATATACGATTTTTGTTTTGGCAGCTGAAAAAAAAGCTTGAAAAACGATATTAACTGTTTTGATATTGAGAAAAATGTGCCTTTTTGAGCGTATCAGGGAGTTTTTCCTAGCTTTCACATTTTTTTCAAACTCAGATTTTTCATTTTTTTCGCATTTTAATTCAACCTAAATGTTTGAAAATTATGTTTTTTTAGGTGTTTTTTAGAATTTCTCATTGGCTCTTAGAAAATGATTGGAAATTGGAAAATAATGCCTCGAAATTAATAGAAAATGCACTTTTTTTATTGAGGTTTAAGCAGTCGAAAAATAGGCAAAAAGTTTCAAGGCAATTTTTTTCTTTTTTTCTGATGTTTAATATAATGTTGAAAAATTTTTTTACTTCGAATTGAAAAAAATAGATTTTTTCGAAAGAAATATTCTCACCGCATTACCATCTAATTGATCGTTGAGAATTTCAAATATGGAATTTAAAAAAATATCCAAAATTTTTCCTTCTCCTTGCCTTTAAATTCACAAAATGAGACCACCAAAGAAAGATAAAAAAAATCCTATCAAAACAGGGACAAAAAAGGGCGGAAATGAATCATTCATTTCGTAATTGCTCATGGCTAAATTTGGCCGGTTTCAGATTTCAAAAGACTCGCGAAAGATTCATTAGTCAGAAAAAAAAATATTTGTTTGTGGAATATTTCAACTTTCCGGGAGGTTATTCAGAAACAAAGAACGAAACTTTTAAATGACTCGTTTTCTGATAAGATTCCATGATTCGATTAAACTATGATTGGAAATTGCCAAAACATTAATCATCAGGTTGAAAGCCGGAAATTCAACTTATATATATTTTCAAGATCCTTGAAAAACGAATTTAATCAAATGAAAAAAAAATTTTTTCCATCAGTCATTTACTGTAGAAAAAAATCTGGAATTAGACACATTTTCTGGAATTTTTCATCATAAAAAAAGGATTTACACTGTTGAAACCGGAAAAAAATAATGCGATTTTTTTACCAATTGCTTTCCCTTGAAAAAAATCTGGAACTCGACATATTTTTTTAAATTTTTCATTATCGATTGAAATTTTTTTAAATTTTTGAAGTTATAATGTATTATAAACTGAATTTATAGTTTTTAAAACGGATCGACGGAAAAAGTGAAATTTGGACCATTTTTCTCCAGAAAAAAATCTGAAATCGACATATTTTTTTAAAAAAATTTCATTATGAAACAAAGTATCAAATTTTTAAAAAAAGAAGAAAAAAAAGTTTGTTTTAATTTTTTTCGTAGAATAATCTGGCCTAACTTTTTAGGGGTTTTTTTAGGAATCTGAATTCATAATTTTTAAAAAAAGGGAAGTAATTCAAGTAACGCATTTTTTTCTTTTTAGAAGGATCTGAAGTTGGTATCGTTTTTCAAAAAAAGTTCATTGTAAGAACGAATTTGAAGCAATTTTTTTAAAAAAATTTTAAACTGAAAGGTTGAAAAGAATTAAGGAGCAAAGTTTGTGATTTTTGAAAAATCATGACATAATTTATTTAAGAAAAAGTTTATTAAAAAGTGAATTAAAAAGGAAAAATTTGTACTTTTTTTCGTGCCACAAAAAGATCCTGAAGTTGATACATTTTTCTGAAAGGTTCATTATAAACTGCTTGATATTCAGACATGCTCAGCGGGTCTTCTGGCGATGACGCTTCTCTCAGCTTTCAACGCGCCGCGGCCGGTCGTCGCTCCTGAGAGGGTCTCTCACTATCCTCAGGTCGGTTCCTAGAACAGGGTGATTCAAGGTGAAGGTAGTTGGTAATTTGGTGAGATTACTTTTAAAAAAAACCAAAAACTGCCTGAAAAATTTAGATTTTTGACGGTTTTTATGATCTTACTTCAAAGAGATTGTATTAGAACCATTGTAGGGGATTTTCTGAACTTTTTATTGGAACTTTGGATTAAAATTTTGAGTTCTCTAGATATAGTTTTTCATTCTGAATTCGAATCTGTGCTCGAAAAATGCCCAGGAGGTCGTTTTTTGAGTATAATTGAGGTTATAAGCTTCGAATTCATTGAAAGAAAGTTTAGTAATCGAATAGCTTCCAGGTGGAATGAAAATCTTTTATTTTTTTTTTCTTCATGAAAATTTTACCTGTACCAGGTGCCTTATGACTGTTGAAAGGGAGCCGTGAAGTGCTTAAAGGAACCGATATGCTTCCCGATCTGTACTTGAAAATTTCCAAGGAGGTCTGAAAAATATTCCCTCTCAAAGATGAGAAAAAGACAATTTTTTTGGTTCAGCTCATTATTTTAGAAGATGGAAAGAGCTGGCTGGGTTGATCATGAAAAATTGATCATCTTGTTTTTTTTTGGATAAATTATTAAGCCGAAGTTCTTTTTCAAAATTTTTTTTGTCAAGGCTATCCAGCATTAGATCATGTACTATTTGGAAAACCTTTTTTTTTCAATTTCGAGCGAATATGTTTTTTTTTTTGATTTACGAGCCCTTTTACGGAGGTCAGATTTGGAAATTATGTGAAAAAAAAACGGCACCTGATGATTTTAGTTTCATTAAGAAGTTTTGAGATCATCGCTTAGAAAATGGGCAAAAAGTCACCGGAATGGGAAACTTTTCAGTTTTTTTTCCGAAATTCAATTCACCATCTATTTTCTCCCATCTATTTCTTTCATATCGATGTCACGGATGAAAAATTATGCTTTTATAGAAACTGACGGAGCGGAAAATTGGATAAATTGTCCCGCAATTTAATTGCCGAGAGCTTCATAGAACGTCCAAACCAGGAATTTCGTGAATTTTCTCCCGAAAAATATTCATTTTTCTCTCAAAAACCCAATGAAAAAGACCTCTTTTCCCCTGAGAAATTGCTGTTTTTTTTCCCTACCCCAACAACTATTCGAATTGAGCCATTTTTCTTCTTCCTTTCGCCCACAATAGCTATTTTTCTCTCCTAATATTTTTCAATTTCTGAAGAGTGGCTGAAGAATAAAGAAGGAGGGAAGAAAAACGGCTACAAATTCCGTTTTTTTTTAGTTGCAAAATTATAGCCCTGATGAACTTTTTTTTACCAAAGATCGAGAAAATATGAGTAATTCGAATTTCCGGTTCATGATGAAAATTTTGACGAGGAATAATCTTGATTTATCAAATAAATGCATTTTTGGACCGTTATGAGGAAGTTATGTGAGGAAACTCTTGAATTTACTTTTTTTCATTCTTGAAATTCCTTTTGAATGATTCTGAACTGTCTGCGCTCTCTTTTCCCTCACCAGCGAGGTCAGAGAAACATGAAAAGAGCACGCAAACAAGAGAGCGTCGCCGAGAGAAAAGAGGAGCAGAGATATCCACTTTTTCAATTTTTGGCGATGGGAGACTATATGAAAAAAAAATTTTTTTCAGAAAGTTAGAATTTATTCCAATTTTGGGACCACGGATTTTCTGATCGATTTTTTCTGATAATGGTTGTATAAGACAAGCTGATAATGATTACACTATGGACCGACTTTTTAAAAATCTAATTTTTGGAAAACATCGAAAAAGTTTGAGTTTTAGCTTTTTTTCTAGAAATAATGGTCCCTAACATGATTTTAATCGTTTTTTATCATTGATAAACATATTTAAATAAATCAATCAGACTAAAAATTGTTTTGATACCGCTTAAATGATAACTTTCTGACCGAAAATGTACCGTAAAATTCGAAAAATTCGTTATTTTTTCAAAACTACCCCAATTAGGTAGGTGATCGAACTCTGAAACACTATAAACAGGCCAAAGTTTTGCCTGAATCGACGACGAGAAACGGGTTTTTCCTTCCCCCCTAGAGGGGTCGAATCAATCAACTCGCCTGCCAATCTGTCCCTTCCGTCTATTTTTTTTTCCTCTTTCTTTTTTTCCTCCAACGACAATTATCAGATAAACGTGTGAGGGATAGGAATGGGCTGGAGACGGGGGAAAAAAAATAGGAAAAAAACTTTTTTTGAGTTTTTTTGGTGGGGTGGAAAAGGTTAGAAAAATTTTTTTAATAATTTTTTTATTGGGAGAAGTGACAAAATTTGTCTTGTCTTAAAAAAAGGCTAAGAAAGCATTTTTTTGAACTTTTTTTGCTCATAGTCTATTCACCTTTAGGTCTACGAATTGAGCTCCGAAAAATTAAAAAATGGTCAGCCAATTAGAAATTTGTTTTTCGAAAGCCTTTTTTAAGGAAAATAAAAATTATTTATGAATGAATTACTTTGAAATTCCTATGAGGAATGTCAGTTTTTGATTTAAAAAGCGCTATTTTTTTCGAAAAAAATTTGGAACTTTTTCAAGAGTTTTGGCTTCTCTTGAACGTAGTCTATTCATTGTGATTTCAACTTTTTTTAAAATTGTTTTTAGTTTTCGAATAATTTACAATGACCCTGGCCACCAAGTTACAGATTTTTTCGATATTTAGCGATTTTCTTCAAAAAACGATATCTTAAAGGTACTTTTTTAAAAAAGAAGAGTTAGAAATTTCAAGTCAGCTCCAGCAACCTCCAAACATCCTCTGGATCGGTTTCACCCTTTGAAAACCCAATGAGAGAAAAATGACGAGGAGGAGAAGAAAGAATGGACCCCAAATTGAGTTAAACTTGAGCGACACGAAAAAGAGAGATCCGACAAGGAAAAAAAAAGGGGAAATGGACGGATAGTTGAATGTTTTAATGCATTCAAATGAACCTGCAGGGAGATGATTTCACTGGAAAAGTTTTTTTAAATTAAAGTCATTTTTAAGATCATATAAAGAGCTGAAAATGAGCAGTTTTTTTGAATAAAATCTATTAAAATGATAATTTTGAAAAAGATTTGATTGGATCGGGCATGATAGTCTTATTCATTGAAAAAAATTTACAAATTTTTTTGGACTTATCAAAAATCAAAAACTCCGAGGTTTTATCGGTTCATGAACGTAAAAAGAGCTGAAAAAAAAGGATTGAGTGGAGATTTTTTTAATTTTAAAGAAATAAAAAAATTTTTGTTTAACTTATCAACCATTGTATTTTTAGTCATCCTGCTGTTTTTGGCAATTTTTTGAAGACCAATTAGTTTTTGAAGGAAATAACATAGGAAAAATAGGAGGGTTTATACAGATGTTTGCTCCTTTCTAGGAATTTTTTTCGCTTTTTTTGATGTAAAATTTATAGCTCCTTTTACGTTCAAAAAAATTTAATTAAACTCAAGAATTTTTGTCAAAAAAACACTGAATAGAAACACAATTTGAAATTTTTCTGATTTTTTTAAGGACTTTTGTTTTTCTAATGAAAAATGCGATTTTTCTAGCTTCAAATCATTATTTATTGAATTTTTCAGCCATATAAAGACCATTCCTTGATATTTTTTTTTGTTCAAAAACTTTCGTCGAATCCAAAAATTTTGCAGTTCGTGGTGACGTTACTACTGGTTGGCGGATATGCGACGGCGTTATTCGCCATTTCTCTATTCGGCCTCGTCTCCTTGATTATTCTGAACTCCTTCTTGTTATCGGTGGTCAGTTTCCATCTCAAAAAACAGAAAAATGTTTCAATTTTCTGTTTCAGTTCATTTTGGGACAAGTCGCCATGATTATGTGCCTCTGCATAGCCTTCGCTTTCACACTGACTGTTAGAAAAAGGGTGAGTTACAATAACTTAAACTTAAAAAAATAGTCAAATTTCAAAGAAGGATCCTTGAAAAAACTGTATACTCTATTCGCCACTGTTTTGAACCTTCTGACCGTCTGCGCTCTCTTTTTCTCTCAGCTATAAAAAGTTGGGCCCGACTTATTACGGCTTGCGCCAAGACATATAAGCAAATTTTAGAAAAAACTAAGAAAGTCAGGGTTCAGCCCTTCTAGAAACGGTTACACTTGAAATTTTAAAGGGGCTTCTTGAAAATCTGCGCCCGACTCCAAAACAACTTACGCGGTTCAATTGGAAGAAAAATAGCTTTAAATTCCGTTTTTCGAGCTTGAAAGGACGGTAGTTCCGATTCACGGCTAGCTTGGGACGCTAAGAAAGCGTGGCCTGTCTGTTCTCTCCAAGAACCAGGCACTGTCTCTTTTCCTATCGCGTCAGGACCCTTTTTTCGATGGCTCAAGCCAGCCGTGAATCAGCTATATAAACGCGTTGAGCCATTCCGCTTGCGACCATTTGAGAGTATAAATATGTAGAAACCTGGATTATTTCAGTTACACCTAAAACTGGAAGAAACGTGGCGAGAGAAGTCAATGTGTCTGGTGGGGCAGCCTTGCCGGCCCGTCGAGCAGTTTCTCTACTCGGAAACCCTACTCATCGTTGTTCTCGCCGTTTTTCTCGTACTTCAGGTACTTTGGAGATATTTTCCCCAGTTTCCCACTACTTGAAGGGCGATTTTTTATAAATTTTTACACATATCCGATCAATCTCATTCCTTTTCAGGTGATCCAACTCGTCGCGACGAGTTACCTCTGCGAACGGAGGTCCTACCACGAACGCGTAAAACTTCAAGCTCAGAAAGACCTCGAAGAAGACGACTGAAACTTTCTTTTTTTTCTATTTTTGTTCATTTCCCACTGTTGATATAATCCTGTGCCCTAAGAACCATGTGTCAATAACTTTCTATGCCTTGTCTACTTGTAATTTTTCTTTTTTGACCGGGTTTCTATCAGAAAAATGAGGTTTTTCAAGGCAACTGCTACCTCTTTTCGAGAAAAAAAAAGATATTTAGGCAGCTTCTCACTTTGTGCATAATTTACTTCTATTTTCTAGATCTTATTGGCTTTCACTTACCAAGAGTACATAACTTTATGCATTTCCCATCCCAAATCAGCCAAAGCCCAGTGCCTTCGATCCCTTGCTTATTTCCCAGTGATTTTTTTCACACTTTTTCAAAAACGTGTCCTATTTTCAAGTGATGTTGTTGCAAGTTTTGTGCAATTAAAATATTTTGTTCATATGACGGAAAATGTTGGAAACGTGAAATTTTCGAATGAGATTACTGTGGGACGTGAGTCCGCCGTGCATCGGTGTATGCAGACGAGAATTCGCGCGAAATGTAGATTTACGATGTTCGAAAAAATTTCCCCTTTTTAGTTTTTTTGTTTTTTTTTATTGTTGCGTCTTGTATTTTTTGTGTACTTGTTTTTTACAATTTAAACAAGCTTTTCCGAGAAGTTCGAAATAGGGAACGCTCGGATAAACCATAAATCAAAGAAAAAAATCTTTTCAAAAAAGAAAATGCTCTTTTTCTCGCCTTTTTAAATCGTTCTTATTTGCTTCCACTGTTGAGTGTCCGTTATTTGTACTGCCGTGTTCAAAGTAATTTTGCGAAATGCAAAATAGCCGTCAGAGAAAGAAAAACATAACTAAATTTTTTGGAGAGTCAGAGATCATTTTGCATTTCGCGAAATTACTTTGAACACGGCATACAGCTTGCTTCACGTGAATCGACAAGAGTTTTATCATTGGGGCGCTCTTTTTTACCTTTTTGATTTATTTTTTTTATCCTATCGGACGTTGCTAACGCCAAACGGACGTGCTTCAGACGTTTATGAGAAATTCTAGAGGACACCTAAGGATGCTAATGCTACTAAAGTGGTCACTAGAAATCCTCGGACACGTCCGTTTGCTTTACCAGTGTCCGAGAAGAGCGCCCCAATGATAAATCTCTTGTCAATACACGTGAAGCAAGCTGTACAAATACCGGAGACTCTCAACAGTGGAAGCAATCTAGGAATAACCTAAGAATGCTGACGCTACTAAAATGGTCACTAGAAATGCCTCGAAACGTCCGTTTCGCGTTACCAGTGGCCGAGTTTTTTCTTTTTTTTTTTGGGAGTTTTTCATGCCCATTTCGAAGTGATTCCGCGAAATCCAAAATAGCGCTCAGACAGTGAGGAACGATTCCAGTCATTGAAAATTTACTGTTTTTTCTTTTCTCCTTTGCAATGCAACACAGAACAAAAAACCCTCAGCTGCTTTTAAGAGCGTTGGGCTGGTACCTGGTATTGTTCAGCCGGCATCAGAGTTGATCAAACTCCGTCCGCCATGGGTTTGAAGACGTTGTTGCGACGCGGATTTCTTGACCTCGCGGTTAACTGAATTTTCAAAGCTAAAATACTTCTGAATGCGGAAAAAAGAATATAAATACAAAAGTTGAATCAAAAAACAGCTGCTTTTGAAGTTAAATTATTTTTTCTGAAGCCAGAATGTCTGCGGCCTCGGATCAATTCATTATTTATTGCGATTGTGGTTAAAGTTCATGACAACTAAATAAAACCATCGAGTCTGGCGCGAGACTTTCTAACAACCACATTTTTTTAAATTTTTCATATTTCTTTATAGGCAAAGTCGGAAGGACCCTTTACGGGCCCTTTGAGCGTCCGTTATGGGTGGTGCATAAGAGCCGATGAAATGGAGCAAAAAGACAGCAAAAAATGAGCCTCTGTCCCCCTAAAAGGAACATTTCTATGGAGCCTCTTTCCACCCTTTCCGACTTTGCCTATGATATCGGATCAAGATTTTTCCGGCTTTCATTCAGTGTTAATAGGTCTTGCATTTTTTCCGCATTATAAAATGTTTCGCAAATAAAACCATCCAAACCTCAATTTCATTAATCCAGTAGTCAGTAGATTGTTTTTCCAATCTTCTTATTGTTTCCAATTTTTATGCGTATGGTTCAGACGTTCTCTGAAAGAAAAGTGAATGAAAAATGTTTTTTTAGAATCAAACTGCACTGTTTGAAGTTGTCGTTGAATCTCCAAGGACTGCTCAGAAAAAGATCGTTGAAAGCTTCCTGCAATATTTTCAACATTGAAAAAATCAAGCCGATTGCATCATTCGAATCAAAATTTTTTCTGATTAGCTATGAAAATTCTTAAGTCAGTTAGAAAAGCTTTATGCAGTCAGAAGAACTAACTAGGCGGTGCACTAGAGCTCCGCTCGGCCGTGTCAGACTAAAAATCCTAGACGCCGAAGGCCGTGACGGCATTTTCCGCGGGGGTCCCATCATCGCTTTGTCAGTATCGCGCTGCCAACAGTTTCTGCTTCGGCCACAGGAATGGGCTTCAGCTTGACTTTGCGTATCCAATTCGCAAGCGAAAAGGATCGGCACTCCGGGAGTCCCGCGGGCCTAACCTACTAGCGCTTATAGCTCAGAAAACTATTTTGGCTGTTAGAACTTTTATGAAGGCTCAAAACTTATCTTGATGTTGAAGAAGCGAGACGGAGTCGTGAGGAAAGGAGAAATGATGATTGAACCCTGGTCTTAAAATAAGAAATGACACGTTGCCACGTGGTTTTTTGTACGTGTTAATTTTTTCGATATCAGAGAAATGACACTTTGCCGCGGGGTTCACGTTTTATTTTTTGCAGAGAATGAAATCTTTTCGTGAATAAAATTCTGGGTCATATGACGTGAAAGGAAGAGCTTGTGGAGACACTAAAAAACTTTTTAAAGCTTAAAGGTTTTAATTTTTGAGCTCTCTAGTTTTTTTGTCCGCGGTTTTTATCGTTTAGTGTAATTGAATTTTTTTTTACATCTATTCTTAAAACTGACAAGATTTCAAAAATTGCATTAACTATTATCTTAAAAATGCAATGAAATATGGGAAATAAGGTAACGCCCTGTTCAAAGTAATTTGAACGAGATTCAATTTTATTTATTCATTAATCTCCAAGATTGAGTTCTTTTTCACTGTCTGTCCGCTGTTTTGAATTTCGCGGAATATTCCGATTCGAATCGCTTCGAAATGGGCATAAAAACTCCCAAAAAAAAAGAAAAAAAATTCGGACACAGGTAACGCGAAACGGACGTTTCGGGGCATTTCTAGTGACTGCAACAAGGAAATTATAACAGACTGAAAGATTTTCGACTTTTCTCAATATAATGATTTTTCCATTATCTTCGTTTTTTTTTCAGATCCCTTTTTTCAGCTTCAAATGGCTCCGAATCCACTAGCGCCATGGGTTGAAAAATACCGTCCAATAATTTTGGAAGACGTCGTTGGAAACGAGGGAATCGTTGAACGGTTGAAAATCCTGGCCAAGGATGGCAATGTCCCGAATATTATTCTTTCTGTATGATTTTTTTAATGTTTTAAAATTTTTTTGAAGTTTTCAAAGGCGCAAGAACAAAAAAAAAGGTTCTCTTCTCAAAACTATTATTGAAATAACCATATGTGCCTTTAAACATTTTTACTTTAACTGAAGATTTTTAAACAGAATATATGATAATTAATTTCGAAAAATCACTTAAGGGACCACCGGGATGTGGAAAAACGACGTCGATTTGGTGTTTGGCCAACGAACTTTTGGGCGACAAAGTTAAAGTCGGTGTCATGGAACTGAATGCGTCAGACGAAAGGTTTCAGAAAATATCAAAAAAATGAAAATAAAAAGTTTTTTAGAGGTATCGACGTGGTGAGGAACAAGATCAAGACGTTCGCACAGCAGAAAGTTGAATTTTTACCTGAATTTCTGAGGAAAATGAGAGTTTCAGGTAACTTTGCCGGCTGGAAAGCACAAAATCATCATTTTGGATGAGGCCGATTCGATGACAGATGGGGCGCAGCAAGTAAATCATTAAAATATTTAGAAATATTGCTTGGAAGATATGAAATTCAGTGAAAAAATTGAAGAACTTGTGTGAAAAGGGTCAAAAATTTTGATTTCACTCTCTGATTCAAAGCTAATAGTTGACGTAGGGCTATGAAAATTGCTTCAAAATTAAGAATTTATTGAAAAAAATTGAAGAATTTGTGTGAAAATGTTCGAATTTTTCTCAAAAAAATTTTTCGAGTTTTTCAATGGAGATTCTCAAAATTTCTATTATCAGTTATTATTTCAAAAGTTACGGTTAATGTAGGGCTATGAAAAATTTCTTCAAAATTAAGAAATCAGTGAAAAATTGAAAAATTTCTGCAAAAATGATCATTTTTCATCAAGTTTTTGGACTTTTCCCGTTCTTCCGTGCAATTTTTTTCATCATTTCTGGTTCATTATTTGAATCATAAATATTTTTTTCGATGTGAGATCTCAGTTTCAAATTTTTTTCCAGGCCCTGAGAAGAACGATGGAACTTCACAGCAACACAACAAGATTCGCCCTGGCTTGTAATCAATCCGAGAAAAATTATTGGTAAATTAAAAAAACTCTTGAATTAAATATTTTTCCCCGTTTTTTTCCAGAAAATAAAAAAATGAAAAAAATATAAATTTTTTTAATCTTTTTGTTCCTTGTGTAACCTCTCACGTTTCCCAATTTGCACCCTATTTTTTAGATTTTTTTTTTCGCCTATGTATCGTGAATAGACAACGGCCGGAATTAAATTGAAAATTCATCTTTTTTTTTAGAATATCCTTCTGATTTTCACTTTTAGGAACACTAACTTCATCTCATTTTCAGTTTAATTCTTACCCTTATCGATCAAAAAAACTTCCAGAACCAATCCAATCGCGATGCGCCGTCCTGCGGTACTCAAAACTCAGTGATGCTCAGTTATTGGCTCGACTCCAACAAGTTTGCCAACTTGAAAATGTGAGCAAATTAAGGAAAATTCGAATAAAAATGATGATTTTTGAGATTAACGCTGACGAAAAAGGCTTGCAAATGATTCTGTTCACGGCCCAGGGCGATATGAGGCAGGTTTGTAGTCAAAAATAATTTATTTCACTTACCAGTTTTGTTGAAAAGTGGTCAAAAATCGTGTTTTTCGAAATCTTCTCACATATGTTTGAATTTCTTTTCAAACGATTATAATGAAGTTGCTGATAATAATAAATGTTTTTTGGAGATGTCCTTAAAATTTTGACGAAAAAGTGTACAAAAATCAGAGAATTTATTCAATTCAACAATCTCGTTTCACTATATAATATTGAATTCCAATTTTTTCTGTTGTTCGCATAATTCCGGAGTATTGAGGTTTATGATTTGTTTTTCTGATCAAAAGGGTTTCTGGTAACAAAAATGGTTTTTCTTCCTTTGATCGAAAAATTCGGTATTTGAAAAATATTTTTTCGATAATTATTCGGAAGTGTATTCGATCAAGAAGGTCATAAACTTCGGAAAATTTCAGAATTTCTTAACCAAAAGTCAATTTTCAGGCTCTGAACAACTTGCAAGCGACGGTCAACGCCTATGGCTACGTGAACTTGGAAAACGTGTTAAAGGTTTTTTCCTCTTTAAATGGAATTTTAAAAGGCGTGTGGAAATTTTTCATGAAGGTCTCGAGGCGAAGAATCGTCGCGAGTATTTTTAAATTCATTCAAGCCTTTCGCGTCTTTGAAAATGCCAACACGAATTTAAAAAAAAACCGATTTTTCGACAATAATTGAGGAATTGTTGAGGTTTGCGACGAGCCCCACCCTCAATTGATGATCAAAATGTTGACGTTGTGTGCCGAAAAGAAATTTTTCGAATCTGTCTCGATTATGCACGAGTTTTGCAGGTAATGATTAGTATCTATAGGATTTTGTAGATGGTATTGTAAAAAAAAAGCTTGAGAATGAAAAATTTGTGAAAATTACACCAAAAAATCAAGATTTCTATAGTTTTTTTGTTAAAATATTTTGGTTTTTCCCAGCTGATTCTGAACAGTTTTTCATGAAATCTTTCGAAAAAAACTTTCCAGGTTTAAATATTTTTATAACTGAAGACATGGTTTTGGAAAAAAAAATTTTTTTAAAGGAGTTTTTTTATGAAAATAAATCGAAAATCAAGATTTTTATGAGTTTTGTTGAGATCAGCTCATTCTTGACGTTTTTTATGGTTTCGAATTTTTGAAAAACGGCTTAAAAAAGTTTTTCAGTGAAAATGATGCCCAAAATCAAGGATTCTATGAGTTTTGATTAAATATTCTGTGCGCTCTTTTTCATTTCGTTAAAATTAGCTTTTTTTCGATAAAATAAGTGTTTTTCTCCAGATTGGGATATTCACCGGAAGACATCGTTTCAACGCTCTTTCGTGTCGCGAAAACTCTCGAGTTGCCGCCGAATATTCAGGAGAAAATGCGATTGGAGTTTATCAAGGTGACTTTTACGTTTAACGACTTTTTCATTGGAAAATATCTCGTTCGGCTCTTTGACTTTATTTCATTTTCTTCTGGAAATATTGTAAAAGTCGGAAATTCGTTTTATTAAAAAAAAGATTAATGATAATCCAAAAAAATCAATCGAAAAAATGAGAACAAAGGATTTTTGGGTCGTTTTGCTTTGAATTTTCTTTATTTATCATTCTTTTCCAGCACATGACGCATCAGCTCTGTTTTTTCTTATTTATAATTTGAATTGATCATCATAATAATTAACAAAATTTTTTTGATTGGAAGGTGGAAGTTCAAGATTTCTCGCGCGAAATTCGAAGCTCAAGTATTATAGGCCGTTCCGCGCTAGCTTGTCACGTTTTTTTTCCGCCAAAAAGTCAGGTCAAATTTAACCAACTTTCGCTTCAAGACCGTTGTTTCGAGCCGTTATAAAAGCAGAAATTTGATCTAATTTGGTATACGGTCTTTTTGGCGGAAAGAAAAACGTGACAAGCTGGCGCGGAATAGACTTTATGAATGACTCAAAAACATGAGTAATAGAATCTCATTTAGACGTTCGAAGAATTTTCGAGATATTAGAAAATAATTCTAATGTCAATGCTTTTCGATTGCTTTTCTTTTCAATTTTCATGGAAGTTTTTTGGTCCCTGGTTAAATTTTGAATGACTCTTGGCTAAGGTTGACTCTAAAAACTCCTAATTTCAGACTAAGGAAATCATTTTTTTTTGTATTTTCCGAACAGTGTTCTTCAAAATGAGCTTTTTTAAATTAAGGCGAGACTGAAATTTTGTGAAAAAAGCTTTAAAATTTTGCGATTTTGACCTGAAAATTGGAACTTTTGTCTCGGAAACAAAATGATTTGGTCTAGCGAAATGAAACATTTCGAGACGTAGGAGATCCTTATCAAGACGAGGTAATGGTTACGAACGACGCTGTTTCCAATTTTTCAAAGAAATCCACTATTTTTTTTATCAAAATTTCAACCTCTGTCCTCTTTTCTTCAAATTTCTGTACTTTTTCAAATGAAAAATAGAATTCTCGTATCGGATTATATTTTGAAGCTGAAAAATCCAGAGTTTTTCCAGAAAATCGCCGAGTGCCACGTGAAGCTGATCCAAGGCCTCACGACGAAGCTCCAGTTGTCCCGACTGATCGCCGACCTCTGCCAGGCCGACCCCAACGACTGACCTTTCCCGCAATTTTCCTCCGCAATTTGTCTCATCTTCTTCAATCTCCAGCTCGACCTCATCTCCTTACGGTTTTGTGAAATAAAACGGGCGAGGCCCCTCGAGAGCAAACCCAACAATAATGAATTGGCGCCGCTTGCTCATCAAATCGTCCATGCATTTTGTTTCAATCTCGTTAATGTCGCGTTTCACGAAGGAGAAGCCATACGGCCGCCTAACCATTTCGCCGCGCGATTTATTATGCCGCACCCGTTTTTGATTGGTTCCGGCGGCCTTTGAGAGCCTGGATTTCGTTTTTGAAATTCGTAAGAATCGGATTGGAAATTTAGCAAATGGTCTTTGGTCGCAGTGGGATTTTTGAGTGAGACTAGGTATGCTAGGTGTAGTTTTTCACGCTGGATGCAAAGGTGTATTTGAAAACTGTCGCGAAGATTCATGAAAAAAGTTATAGACACTCATAAGTTAAAAATTTAATTTCGCTGATTGAGCTCGTTTTTGGAGAGTGTGTAGATCTTGTTCCTCTGATCAGAGCTGCTGAAGGAGCGCCACGGGTTTTTTGAAAGCAAATTGAAGCAATTGTCTCGGGGCAACACGACCCGAAAAATTGAAAATGAGTAAAAATGTAGAAAATAAGTGGAAAAAAATTTTTTGAACAAAATTTAGAAAAAATGGCTCTTTTGACAATGTGACCTCTTCCCGTGTCGGGGCTCCCCGGGGTGCGCTGCGGTACCCGCTTTCCATTAGCAGCTCTGCCTCTGATCTGATAGCAACAAACCAATCATTTTTTTCTGAAAAATAAAAACTCTGTACATTGTATTCCGTGTGATGATGTTCCAAAGCACAGCAAAAAAAAAGTTACCGTAGAACAGTTTTTTTTTTTTCGACTTTCGATCTACAAAAATGCAAAAAACCAAGGTCTCGAAACGAAATTTGGTCAAATTTGATGAGTGGTACGTTTTGAAAGAAAAAAAGGAACAAGCTAATCCGAAATAGCTATTTTATAAAAAATTTTGTGCTATTTTTTCAACGGTTTCAGAGTTGTTTTGCGTTTTTATTTTTTTTCAGTTTTCATTTATTTTTTTTCAAGTTTTTTCTTATTAGGTCATTTTTTCTTTCAGTAATTTAAGTTTTCATCAAGGTTCTTTTTAAATGTTAGAGTTTGTTTCAGTCCCTTTTGTTCCAAAAGTCATGCGCCTTTCCAATTTCCCAAAGAGTTCAGTTTCAAAAGGAAGGAAAAGGATGGCGGATTAATGGCACCGAACGGACTGTACACTGCAAACGTGCCGTGTCCGCGATTAACAAAGGCTTTGTTCCGGTCGGCCGAATTTCGGTTTCCCATGCCCCGGCCGAGCATTGTTTCGAAGAGTTGTAGTTTAAAGAACAAAAAAGGTTGAATGAGAAGAAGAGAAGTGACGATTTTAGGGCTGGGAATGGTTTTTGGATTTGAAAAGACAAGGTTCTTCAGTTTTTAAACTATTACTGAAGGTTATTAAGTTGCAAAAGTCGAATTTGTTTTTCTTATAGTTGGTAACTGTTTCAGAGGGACGTCATGTTTTATTTTACATTTCAACAAAAAAGATTTAATGGAAAAAATTTATAATTTGTTCAGTGGTATGATGATTTTTTTAGGGTATGAAAAGGGGAAAGGAATTCTCGAGTTTCATGACTTTTTTTGTGAGGTTACGAATTTTACAACGGTTTCCCACGTCTAGCCAAGCATTGTTTCAAATCGTCGTCTTTTTCCAAAAAGAAAAAAAGTAGAATAAGAATTAATTAGGATTTGTTGTTGAACGTTTTCCAGATTGGAGAAGGGACGAGAATTTTTGAGTTTTTCTGCTTTTTAAACGCTTCGGGATCAGAAAGGTTCTGAAAGTTCATTTTTTCGATTTTCATGACAATGAAATTCCATCTGTCCTCTTTATCAAAAATAACTTCGCTGGATTCTTTGTCAAAATGAAAATAGTTAGCTTAAACCTTTCGTCTTATCATTTTATCGATCCGTAGCCTAAAATCCCACGTCTTGACCATTCCATATGTTGTCCAGGCGCCGTCCTGGAAACAATTAGGTGTGACAGCCGGCTGACGTGCAGACGGATCGGCGACAAGTTACAGCCCATTCTGGCCACGCCTCCCTGGCTGTGGACAGTTTGAGCGATGGCGAACGTGCCGGCTGAGTGACAGTGTGTTTTGGCATTCGCCATCACACACCTGTCAGCTTCCCCCCAAAGATTCCTGATTCATTGGGATTCGGTGTAAAGGTTGCTCCATTGGGATAACATGAGCAATGGGTTGGTGTCGTCCCTAGCGTAGAAAAATAAGTGGTTTAGATTTCGGAGCATCCTTGCTTTTTCCAAATCGGCATTAAGACTATTTCAAAGGTTGCTCCATTGGGATATCATGAGGGAATAGGTTGCAGTTGCTCATTGCGTAGACAAACAGGCGTTTCTGATTTTGGAACTTCTTTGCTTCTTTTTGGAACTCGACCTTCTAGACATTATTAGGATTATTTAGAAGTTTGTTAGGTTGAGGTAACATGAGCCATGGACTAGATGAAAAATTTATTTTATTTTTTCAAAATTAGGACCAATATGCTTCCATTTGAAACTTGACCTGATCGGCGTCATTATTTTAAAGGTTGCTCCATTGGGATAACATGAGCAATAGTGCCAAATTATGGAATAGAAAAGTTTGAGATGATGCCAAAACCATTTTTTTAGGCTGAATTTCGAGATTTTCACGCATAATTTTCCGCTCAAGCCGTACAAAGGCGTAGGAAGAAAAATAATACTTTCTGACAGCCGGTTGACTTAAAATTAATAATTCCGTTTGAACTATTTTTTTCCTAATTTTTCAGGTTTTTGGGTCAAATTATTCAATTGGTGGTTTCTGAAAGTCAATTGAGTTTGAATTTTTTTATTTAATTTTTCAATTTTTTTTTAGTTGTTAATAGGGTTTTTTTAAACGGATCGAAGGTTTGACCTCCAATTCAGAAATATATTTTTTTGTGAAAAGGGATGAGAGATTGTTTTTTTAAAATTTTTTCGCTGCTCCTGCAAACAGTAGAGCGATGTTTTTTTAAATGTCACATCAATATTAAGAGGTTTTCTAACAGACTGTGACCCTAAAAAACCGCCAGAAGCTTCCAGAAATCTAAAACTTTTTGGGGGTTGGCTCTGCTCCTTTGGACAGTTAAAGGAGGTTTTTTAAACCGACTATGACTCATTGAAAGTACGGCCAGAAGCTTTGAGGGACCCAAGGATTTTCTGAACTTTCTCTGGCTCCTCTCAACAGTAGAGCGAGGTTTTTTGAACCGACTATGAACCCTAGGAGCACCGCCAAAAGCTTTCAGAAATCCAATCCACTTTCCAATAACGCAAATAAATGCCACGTGTGTTTGTGTCTGTGTACGCAGGCTGTCAATTTGTCATTATTATATATTATTGTGGCCAGGCGGCTGTGGGAAAGAGCAATGAGTAATTGCGCACCTGAGAAAGGCCACCGCAACATAATATTACCTGGTCGTTTCTTAAGTGGCCCCTTTGGGTTCGCCGATCGCGTTTCCTTCCTAATTCTTACGTCTAAAAATTGTTATGATTTTAATAATTTGTATGGAACATATAATTTGCAAAATTTCCTTTTCGTGCGGTTCGAGTGTAGAAAACGGCAGCAGTCCACAAAAAGGCCAATAAGAAACGGAAAAGTGACGTTGTGGCATTTGGAATGACTCAAGTCGTTTCTGGTCGGGCGCGTTTTGAAATAACAGTTTTGAAGCCATAAAAAGGTCATCCATTCCAAATGCGACATGAAATGTAAAAATGGATTTTTTTAGTGCTGAAAAAAATAAAATTTTCGTCACCTCAAAATCTGAAAATTTCAATATTTTTCCTGATTTTTGTTTTTTTGATGTATAGTCTGCCTCAATCGGAAGTTCTTCTTTTTTTCTAAAAAAATTTTCTGAATTTTTTTCCGAATTTCAGGTTTTTTTCTGTAAGATTTGAAATTCTGGATCATTTTGTGTCAGATCTGATTCGAATTTCAGAATTTCCTCCAGATTCGATAAAAATCGGTCGATATGGGCCAGGTGCAGTTATTCTTCCAATCCTGTACCTTTTTACAATTTTCAGAAAAAAAAATTACCCCCGGAAAGATTCTTCCGACTTGGCCCAACAGCCCAGCGTTGCGCTAAAAGATCATCATCGAAGGTGTAAACGGACATTACCTGCGCACAGGTAAATGGGGATTTATGTTATTGGATTACAGCGGGAGCTTTTGCTTCTGACTCTCAGGCTTTTAGTGGAAAGATTTGGAACAATAGGAAATATTCTTATACACATTTCTAAGAAAAGGATTTCGCTGCGCATCAACTCAAATAATCAGAAATACTCAATTTTTCAACTCATTGAGCTGAGTCGACGCGCAGTCAAATCTATCAGTTCTAAACTTTCTGCAAGTTTCTTGGCGAATCAAGGTTTAATGGAAAATTCTTAGCTTGGAACTTTGTACCCCATTGAGTATCAAAATTAGCTGCGCATCGACTGGAAAAAAAAAGACACTTCTCCTTTTTTTCGAGATGAATCGAAGATTAGTCGATGTACAGTGAAATTACATGACTGCTAGATTGTTTGTTGCTCTACCAGGAAATTATACGTTTCAAATGAATTTTAAGTGAAGAGAAATATGGTTTTGTAGTTCCAAAGGTTCATCGAAACAAATAATATATAACTTGATTGCGCATCAACTGGAAATGTTTCTCCCAGAGGTGGAAGAAATGAGGGGCCCTCCAGGGCGCAACATGCCCGCCTCAGCCATCAGGCCTCTGAGAAGAAATGAGCCGCGTCATTATGTGTCGATGGCGTGTAATACCACGTTGCAAAAGTAGGGCGGAAATGGTCATTTTTGTTCATTTTTCATTAAATCGTGGATTTCGCAATTTTTCAATAATTTTAGTAATAAGTTATATTTGTTCTTTTCTTTAGGCGAAATGTTTCAGATTTATGGTTATGAACCCGCTGACTAGTGAGAGAAAAAAAGGAAAGTCGCCACCAAATTGAAAATTCAAAAAACCTTGTTTTAAAGCTCCGAAAACAACGATTTTACAAGATTTTAAAAGGTTCCAATTTTTGCGCGTTCTTTTTCTTCCAATGGCGTTTTTTCGCCATCGCGGTTTTGGCCCCGGGCGCCCTGGGCAGCGACTTATCAAGAAATGACCATGGCGGCCTACGTCGGTTTAGAAATATAAACGTTTGAAAACGCTTAGGGGCGCCATTTCTCCACCTCTGGTTTCTCCTACTTTTATTGTGAGAAACAATTCGCAACCGAAATGAATACCTCAATCTCTGTCAATGTTACTTTTGGGGCAAACTAGAGACAAATTAAAGATACTCAGTTGATTTCAGACAATTAACGAATCGATATAAATTGGCTGCGCATGGACTGTGAACACTGAAGAATTGTAAATCTGAGAGCTCATATATTTAACCAGGAAATGATACGTTCCGAAGCCTTTCTAAAAAGTTATGAAGAAACATTCATGGCTCTTCCTTCTCTGGAAAAATATTTATTGGCTGCGCATCGACTGCAACTAGTGGAAGCATGACGCGACTGACGGAAATCAAAAGAAATGACAGGAGAAAACCGAGGAAAGTGTGCAAAAAAGCGTCGAGTGTGCGTCTTGGCTTTTGGGCCACAACAACGGGTTTTAAAGGCACAAAAAATGAAGAAAGTGCTTCTTTTCAGTCGATGCGCAGCCAAATTCATGCAAAATTATCGATAGGGGTCGTTGAAATTCGGGAAAAATTGTGAATTGACAAACATTTGAGTCATGTACTTATTCAAATTTGTTCGGGAAAAAGTCGCTACACAGTGGTTTAAATAAACAAAGGTGACGTCATCATGACATGAGCAATGGTGAGAAAAAAGGCCCATCAAACAACTCTTCGGAGCGATTGGATTCACTAGTCAGTGTGCAGTGGTATCCATCGATCTGTGGGTTGTTTTTGGGCGTGAAAATAAAAGAAAAATAAATGTTTAGAACAGTAATCAATACACAAAAATTACATGTAAAATAAGAAAAAATCTGTTTTCAAGCGTTAGGAAATCAGTGAAGGCTCTACTAAACTTCGAATAAAGTAAAAAAATTTTTTTAAAACTCTTTATGAGACTCCTTGTATTGGTAATAGTTTTTAAGGTTTAAGAAGAACACTAGTTTTAGTGGTGTTTTCTTCTTTTTTTTGGAAAGGATTGAAAATATACGGTTGAAGATTTATGAAGGAAAGAACACAGAAACTATAATAGAGATTTAAAAAAATATTGAGAGGTTTTGGAAAATTTTGAAGCCTACTTTGAAGTCAGAAAAATTCACTGATTAATTTTTTTGAGAAGTCTGATTTTTGGAGACGAAACAGAAGAATATACTAAATTATTAGCACTAAGAGGACTTATATGAGAAGTCTAGAGTTTAATCAAGTTTCTATCGATATGAAGCTGTCTATATTTTTCAAAGAGCATGAGCAAGTTTAGAAAAGTCTTTAGACGAAAAGCCGTTTTTTTGGATAATTGTCGTGTTAGGACCATTTTCTTGAAAATTAAACCCCGAACTTGGGATTAATTTTCTTCAAACTTCAAGAGAACACTTAGGTTAAACTTAATCTTTCAAGAATCGATTGATGTAAGGGGCGGTCTAGACCGATTTATCAACAACCAAGAAACATAAACTCACCAACCAGTGTTTTTTCTTTCAAAAAAAAATTAAAGCAACTAGGAATCGCAGAAGAAAATAAAAACAAGGAGCAGAATGGACTTTTAGGCTCAGAGCCAAAAGGGCGGTCGAGACGGCGGCTCGTCGCCGATTGGTCGGCGCCGACGCCGCTGGGCGTGGCCTATTCCGAAGCTCTCTTCTCCCTTTTCACGGCCCTCGGACTCGTGTCCTTTCGCGCAGAGAAAAAAACCGTTCTTTTTCATTACTATATTTCTGTTTCTATTCTCTAAAATCATGCTCTGCGGTTCGTTTTTTGGCGATTCTAGTTGTTTTTTTTTTGCGGAATGAAGGTGGACTGGTGGTGTAGCTTAAATTTGAGCGGTTCGGCTAATTTTTTAATTTTTCGAAACCTGAAGGAGGTCAAGTTCAGATAAGATGGAAATTTGTAATTTTTGTGATTTGATTTTTCACATTTGAGATAAACCTTATTTGGGAGTGAAAAATTGGAGATTTTTTTCCGGAGTTTGGTCATTTTTTTGGTAAATTTTTTTGCTTCGACATTTCAAAAATTAGGCTCAAAAAGTCAGTTAAAAAAATTTATTTTTAGGAAAAATTAAGGATTTTTTTCTAACTATTTTTGTGATAAGTTCTGTGCGAGAATATCGATTTTTTTGTGTTAGTCATCCTTTTGGGACAAGACAGCTGCGTGGTTTTTTTTTTTTGGTGAATCCATTCAGTCCAAGTTCTGCGCTCTTTTCTGCGGTATTATAGATTTTTTAGTTTATTGATTTTTTTTTTCACTCAAAAAAGGCATATAATATGGAAATTTAATATTCTTCAAATCAAAAAAAAAAACTATAATGTGTGAAAAATAATGACTACATCACTTGTTGTTTCGAAATTCAGTCCACTATCGACTTTTCCCGAACAAATTTGAATAAGTACATGACTCAAATGTTTGTCAATTCACAATTTTTCCCGAGTTTCAACGACTCCTATCGATAATTTTGCATAAATTTGGCTGCGCATCGACTGAAAAGAAGCACTTTCTTCATTTTTTGTGCCTTTGAAACCCGTTGTTGTAGCCCAAAAGCCAAGACGCACACTCGACGCTTTTTTGCACATTTTCCTCGGTTTTCTCCTGTCATTTCTTTTGATTTCCGTCAGTCGCGTCATGCTTCCACTAGTTGCAGTCGATGCGCAGCCAATAAATATTTTTCCAGAGAAGGAAGAGCCATGAATGTTTCTTCATAACTTTTTAGAAAGGCTTCGAAACGTATCATTCCGTGGTTAAATATATGAGCTCTCAGATTTACAATTCTTCAGTGTTCACAGTTCATGCGCAGTCAATTTATATCGATTCGTTAATTGTCTGAAATCAACTGAGTATCTCTAATTTTTCTTTTTAAAACATCATTGAAACGTACAATCGCACGGTGATTTTTCAAAGTTTGTTCTGAATTTAGCTGCGTGTCAATAAAAAAAGATGTTCTTCGCTTTGATTTTTTAAAAAAAATTTTTGGTGATTTTTTTATTCAAGTTGATGCGCAGCGAATGTTCAAATGGGATTTGAGTTTCGCTGTTCAAAAAAAATTTTTTTTGTTCATTTTTTTTTGTGGTTTTTCGGAAGTTTGATACTAAGCCGAAATTTCTTCAGTTGTACTTGATATTTTCTTATAAAGCCCTTCTTTGAGTTGGCTCAAAGCCCAAAACTTTCCCTCAATAATGAATATTTCACTGCGCATCAGCTCAAGTGTGTAGGTCTGGTTTCAAAGACAAAGTGAGTCAAAACGGGAAAACGGCCGTAGTAAAGTGCCTTCGGCGGTTACGGTAGCTGAAAGAAAGCACATGGCGCAACCGATCGATTTTCTCGGCTCCCACCGCGAGCCGCCGACGGCACTTTTTCTCCCTTTCTCGATTTTTCGAGGGCGCAAAAAAGGAATCTGTGACGAAATGTAATGAAATTATAATGTTTGTACAAGGGTTTTGATACGGTTTTTTAACATTTGATGTGTGAAAAGAATGAGATTTCCAAGGGAGCTTCTCGTTGATTTTTGTGGGATTATTTTTGGCGAGAAAAGAGATTCTTCAAAGTTTACCATGTGATTTTAGTTAGCCAACTTCAGAAGCTTATCATGAATGGTTCCAAGTTTTATAAAAAGGAAACCCTGATGTTTTTCTTATTGAAAAAAATTTTACTTCTAATTGTTGATGATTCAGTAGAAAATTCTTTATAAGTTTTATTTTTTTGAATATTTGAGTTTCGAAGAACGTTCATATTTTTTTCTCCCAATAGGAGTTTTTAAGCTTAATTGACCCGTTGAACTCAATAAATTCTTTTTCCAAATGATGTCTGATAGAGATTGAAAAAAATGAACTCAAAAAAATAAAAAATAAGCGGGACTCGGAATAGTCCGAAATTCTTGTGGAGAAAGAGGAAAGCTTAAAAAAATTGTAAATTGAAAAATGACTTTATCTTGAAAAATTGGTTCAAATGAAAGTTCCATTTCCGAATTCCAGGCTGCCTGTCCCCCCAAAAGACGCCGGCCTTCACTGCCGAACAGGAGAAGATGCTCAAGTCCAACAAGACGAACGAGCCCCAGGCCTACGTCAATTCCAAGTCTCATGTTGGTTTTTTTAGTTTTTTTATTTTTTTGCCCATTCACATGGGAAAATGTGAAAGTTTGCTGTATGAAATGGTTAGGAAATTTTTTTAAAAAAATAAAGTTTGAAAAAAATGGAAAATTTCACTCTCCAGGATGCGAAAGCCGGTCTCGTGGACCTCGAAGAAATCGTTCTCAACTGGGCCAAAGTCATTTTCGACACGACCAAGACGAACAAGGAGGCCAAAATCAAGAAGAAGTACTTGTCGGTCAGTTTTATTTTTTTGTTAAAAAAATTCGAGAGGAAGTTTTTTTCATGTAGTTATGGACAAAGAAAATGGTTTTTTCTGTATTTTTTTGATGAAGAAAAAGTTGGTCTTTAGCTTCTGAATTTCAGTTTTGAAGAGAATTTGAAGATTTTTTTGAGAACGTAAAACTGAAATCTGCTACAATTTCCGTTGGGAAACTAGCTTTGTCAATTTTTTTTTAAAAAAATATTTTTCGGTCTTTTTTTCAGTTTTTTTCCCACTGTCAAAATCCTTCTAAAATGAAAAAAAGATTGGCTCAGAAAGTCTTAAAATTGAATAAACTTTAAAATGTCTATTTTCCTTGTTTCCATCACCCGTTTCCAAAGGTTTCATTCCGAAAAAGGATTTTCAATTTAAAACAAAAAAACTGATTTTTGAACTTTCTGCCCCATTTTTTCCTTTCCAAAAGCTTTTGAAATCCAATTTGGAGCCAAAAAGATCTCAGAAATGGATTAAATTTTTATTTTTTCATTACCGATCGCATTTTCAAAGCTTCCAGCTCCAGAAGTTGTTCCAAAATGGTCTTCAATTTTTTTTGGATTTGTATTTTTAGCTGTTCGTCACATTTTTTTTCCTACCAAAGGCCTTCTGTCAATAAATTTGAACTCACAAAGTTCTCTGGAATATAGATTTTTCCACGATTTCATTTCCGATAGCAGTTTCCAAAGCTTCCAGTTAGAAATATTATCGCAGATTGGTTTTTGATTTTTCAATAATTATATTTGAGCTTTTTCAAATTCCCCCCCTTAAAAGCCTTCTCCGAAAAACAAGATTAACTTTATTAGAATTTTTACGTCCATCTTACCGATCGCATTTCCAAAGCTTCCAGTCCAATTCCTCCCTCCCGCCACTGCGATTAATAAAATCAGCCGCTTTGCGCACCAAGATTGAGCCAATTTCCGTTGGGTGAGTTGGCTCGAAATATAACGCGATAAAGCTCATAATGACCGGTTTGTGGAGCTCATCTCCGGCTGCGGCTCAACGAGACGCGCTCCCCTGGGGGGCTTCTCCTAAATTGGTAAATTACAGCCATTTATCAATTGTTTGCGCTTGATTAGAGCTCTGGGGAGAAGAGTTTGATGCTGAAGGGGTTGTAAAAATTAGGTCCAAATTTTCTTTATTTTTCAAATTTTAAAAGCTGAGTAATTGATACCTTGAGCCTATTGGAAAACGGGTCTTGGCACGATTAAAAAAATATAAATTTTAATTTTTTTCCACTCGTTTTTTTGTCCCAAGTTAGCCTTGAATAAGCTATTACCTTCTTGAGATCATATTTTTTTAGACAGTTTCATGCTTAATTTTTTTCACAAATCAAAAACTCCTAGTTTCAAAGAAGACATTGGACTATCTAGAAGTCAGATCACTTGGAGAATGATTTTTTAAAAAAATCTTCGACTTTTTTTCAGTAGACGTTCCTTCATATGGCAAGGTCGTGATGTAGATTATTGAATATATTTTTTTGGTGTAAAAATTGTTCAAAAATTCATCAAAAAGTTTTATCAACATCAATCAATCAATATCGATTATTTGTGTTAGTCATAGATTTTTCATAGAAATCACACGAAAAATCCAATCAACAGCCGTTGGAACATACGAGAGTTAGATAATATCTTGAATAAATTCTCCGGAGACAATGGTCGCCGCGTTTCTTTGAACCCGAATATTCATTAATCATTTGCGCCTGATTCGGAGGGCATATTCAAATTCAGTTTCTTGATTTATGTTGGGGCAATATTGGAAAGTTATGAAGCTCTGACGAGAGATCAACAGAACATTGAAGAGACGCCAGAGAAATGGAGGTTTTGGTGTTTTCTGGCGTCTCTTCAGATTGCTGTTGATCTCTCACTTTCGCTCAATTTCTTCGTTGTAGTTTTTTTCTGTCATAAAAGGGATGAGAAGAGAGAAACGGCGGTTTGAAGAGACGCCAGAGAAATAAAAATTCTCGTGTTCTCTAGCGTTTCTTCTGATATACTTGATCTCTCGCTTCCGCTCAGTTTGTATGTTGTAGTGTTTTCTGTCTTGGTAAGAAGAGAGAAAAGGCAGTTTGGAGAGATTCTAGAGACGTGAAGATTCTCACTTTCGCCTAATTCCTAAATGTTTTTTTTTGTCGAGAAGAGAGAAAAGGCGGTTTGAAGAGACGAAGAGAAAAAGGGAAAAATCTACTTTCCTGTCATCTCTCCATAGCGCTGTTGATCTCTCACTTTTACCTATTTTGATTTTTTGTTTTGGATTTTCATCATGAGAGGGCTTTAGACCGTTTCAAGACATTTTTTTATAATTTTTTTCAGTACAATATCAACTGGACCAAGCTGTTCCAAGAATCTTCCGAGCCGACTTACTCGATCCACGGCGCCAGGCCGAATGTCATCAGTAATGTGAGTTTTCTGCGCCCGACCAGAAACGAGTTGCGCGGCAAATCATTGTAAAGCTCTTCCAGCCAATTTTTAATTTTGGAAGTTTTTAAAGTAATTATTCTTTTTTTTTTCAATAACAATTCCATCCATCTGTTGCGTTTAGAGAAAATCTCCGTTTACCTATGATTCTCCAAAATTTAGTTATCTTTCTCATCCTCTAACGGCTGTTTTGAACTACTTCGAACACGCCGAGTAAATAATCCTGCCAAAGGCCCAAGAACAGTTCCTCCTCCTGGCCGCCGTAATTGACAGCCTCGGCTGGAAAGGGCAATTACGCGCCGCGGCGAAGAATGAGAATGATCCGGCCACCGCCCAATAATACCGTCATTTTGCAGCCGAAGGACGAAAAAGTCCTCTTCAAGACGACTTTCACGAATACGACCCAGAGGGAGCAGGAATACTCATTCAAGACGGAGAGAGCCACGAGGTTTGAGGGATTTTTCAGGGGAAAATGAAAAAAATTTTGAAAAAAGGATTTTTTTTAGAACAGCGGCTTAATAATATAATATTTATTAATGATTCTGAAAAAAAAAGTTGGCAATGAAGCCTGAAATAAATAAATAAAAAGCGATTGAGGCCCTCACGGGCCTGAGAAAGACGTATCTGTAGTTATTTGAGTCTAAAATCAGTTGTGAATGGATTATACTCAAGAAAAAAAAAGCGAAATTTTAAGAACCCAAAACAGTTAGGCTGAAAGTTGGAAAGTCCGGGACCATTAAATGTGTGTTCTATTTTTGAAGAAAAAAGAGCAAGAAGAAAAAAATGTGAGCAGTTAACGGGTCAAAATCTCCTTTTCGAAGCTTTCTAGTATAATGTGGAGTCAGAAAATTTATCATTGATTTTTTTGAGTTACAAGAAATTTCTAGCTTGCTTGAATAATTGTTATAAAAAGAATTGACTTCATGAAGACATAAAATAATTATTTTGAGGATAAGTTCCATCTTTTTGAATGTATTTTTTTATAGTTCATTTGCAACAGCTTGCTGAATCATTTGAGAGTCCAAAAAAAAATAATGACTCAATTTGAAACTATTAAGAAGCTCCCTCAAACTGTGTATAAAGTTTGTTGAACAGAGACTTTGCTCATTTTAGACAATTTTTTTTTCAGGAGCACCTCCACGGTGATCATCGAAAGAGGTGTCTGTCGAGGAACCGAAGTCTCCTTGAAGCTGAAAACGCCTTGCGAAGTCGTCGAGGCGAACGCCGGGTTCCACCAAGAAGTCATGCTCAATCACATTGGTGAGGAACTTTTAGCTTGGTTTCGAATCGCCTTTTTCTGACTCCGAATCTACTGTGAGTTCAGTTTAGAAACTGAATTCTGAAGCGTGATGCGCAGTTATGAACTGATAAGCATATAATCAACTTTAAAAATGGTTTTCTGAAAAATTTAATAAGACACTGAGACTCTTATACGTCAATTCTAAGAAAAATGAGAAGGATGGATATAAAACAGTGTTTACAAGTAGCTCAGACCTAATAACCCTCAGAGATCCATGAAAAAAGTGGAGAATATTTGACGGCCTTCTTTGCATGCCACTGAATGAACTATGCAGTAAAGCATTTTTCTAGGCGAAAACACGAATGAAGAAGAACTTGGCTGGGGCGTCGACAGCACTGTCCGCGTACCGCCGAACAGCGAAACCGTCGCTGAGCTGGTCATCATCGAGGACATCGTCTCCCGCGATTTCCACATCGAGAATCGCCTCAGTGGAAAAGTTCTTGTCACCAGTGAGTTATCTGGATTTTTTTAAACAAAAAAATACGTTCCAATATATGTAGTATCTCTGTAAAGAGTTCAAAACACTTGAGGGGCCACTTGATGCCTTTTTCATACATGACAAGTACTTTTCTCAAAAGGTTGGATTGACTTACAAGATTTATCAAAATGACAAGGAAAATGATTTTTTTAGACCCAGGTACTTTTAGGAAGAGTAAAAACGATTTCACACTTCAGGGAGGAATTAATGACTTTTAAAAGTTAAAAATGACTGGGGAGGAAGGGTAAGCGACCCCTTCAGTGAACACTCTTTAGGAAAGAAGTCCCCACCATAATAGTCCATGCAAATTCGGTCACCTCCTCGTGCTACCGTAGAGTCCTTGACTCGAGTGTCCCCCGCTAATCGCACTCATTTGAATGAAAATGACTTATAAGCGTTATGAATGAACTGAATTCGCGATTGCAGTCACGAACATGAAGGAGAACAACAGTCTGGTGACGGTTGTCGAGGGAAATGTCGCCGATATCATCCGGGGAATGACTGACTACGCCGCCAAGGGATTCACTTTTGAAGGAAACCAGGTAATAGTTTGAGAAAGGGTTGAAAAAAATACTATCCAAAAAAGCGCGGAAAATGCTCACAGTCATGGTGAATAGAAAATTCAGGAGTTTGAAAAGATCTTTGGTCGAAAATTTGAATTCAACAAGGGCTATTTTGAAGTTTGAAAAACTGCAACCTTTACTTTTTTGTTGTTAGTTAAATAATTAGGAAACTCTGAAAGTTGAAGTTAGGATTGAAAAAAGGCTTAGAATTTCAAAAATAGCAATAAAATCGCCTCCAAATCATATTTAATGGAAAGATTCGGTAGTTAAAAAAATCGTTGAAAGCTTGCATGGAGCAAGGAATGTTTGAAGTTTGAAAATTGTGAAAATAGAAATTTCACTACGAGTTTTGATAAAGATCTGAGTTGAAAATAGTCTCGATTTGAAAATATTCAACTACCCTTTTATGAAAATACTTTCTGTGAGTTTTAAAGGAGCACAGGCGGAATGCTGAAAGGTTTTGTAGCGAAGAACTATCGTTTCCTAGGTCCAATTCATCTTAAAAAGTTCTTCAAAATGTTTCCATTGGAAAGCAGATTCCCGAGTATGGGAACACTTCTACTATGGAACAAACTCTTTTTAATTTTTTTTTGACGTTTAAGGTTTCCAGCTCAAACGAAAAATTCAAAATATAAGCTTGAATTTTCAAATTTACTTATTTGCTTCTCTAAATCTCAAGAAAAGCTCAGAAGAAGGCTTCCAAACGTGTGAACACTTTGAAATTTTGTCAAAGAAACAAGGCGCCTTTTGAGTTTTGCGACGCCGCCATTCAATGGCGGAGACACGTAGTTTGCATTGAAAACGGTGTGCCTTTTGTGAATGAAGGAAGGAATCGCCTCGTTGACATTTGCATTTCGCAAAAATTCAAACAACATGATCGCGTTCGCACCTTTTCAAGAGGGGTTCCAGGGAGGAAATGAAATGGGTTCTTTTGAGGGATCTTCACCTAGACCTTCAGAGAATTAGCTGATAGCATTTTTTTTTTCTGAAAGAAAGAATTTTTTTTTTGAGTGAAATAAATAAATAAATAAACAAAAATGGTCCAATATTCCACTCACAATAGAACTATACCAGTGAATTTTTAAGAAATTTGTCCTGAAAGATTAGCGAAATAGTATGAGAAACTTGGAGGGTTTTGAATTGAAAAATTAAATCTCTAAAGTTTATTTTCAATCAATCATGGAGTTCAATTTAACAGATATAAGTTGTAATATAGTACTTATCTTGAACAGAATTTCATGGTGATTCCAAAAATGTTCTTGATTTTCTCAGAAGTTGAGTTTGAAGCCTATTGTGACTGAAATATTTTTGAAATATAACGTCACGGGGTAAATTTACCGAATTTGGACATATTCTATCTCAAGTACCTGTGACGTCAAATGTTAAGCACCTTTTTTTTAATTTCAATTTTTTTTGCCTCATATCAAAATTTTCAATAGCTAAATGCTCTTTTAAAGCTCTTGATGAGTTCACGGAGTACATTTTACGAGTGAGTCAATTTTCATCATCGGCAAAATTTGACGCGTCGCGGCTGCAAAGCGGTTTCTTTTGAGCCATTCCAAGTGCGACCAACTTGTCCTCTATCATTTTCAAGTTTCCAGCTCAAATTTTGAACTTTCAGATCACGAAATACGAGACTCGAGGCACGTGTATCTTCCGCTATGGCATCGAACAGAAGGTCAGAATCACCGAAACTCCTCTCCGTGGCTATTAAGATATTGATTTTCTATTGAAATTATAAGCTTTATTCGAAATATTGTGATAATTTGTCCGTTGGATCATCCTTTGTTATTTTTGACTCCACAGGCTGGAGTTTTTTTCCGGTATGTCACTGCCTCAGCAGATTCTTCTTCTATCATATGTTGCTTCGAATTTGGCATAATATTGGATTTATAAAGATTTTTCTTAAGAAGTTTGATAACTGAAGTTGAAGTCGGAAAATGCAAGAAATATTTCAAGTTTTGTATTTTTTTTTAGGTTTCGGATTGATAGGGCTCTCTATTTTTTTAAGGATTTCAAGTTGAAAATGAAAAAAATTTTTATGGAATTTGGTCTAAAATAATTTATTTTAATGAAAATTTTTTTGTTTTTTTCATTCCAAAAAAATATTTTTTTCGATTTAGAAAGTTCAGATAAAAGCTTTAAGACAGAGTAAATATAATTTATTCATTTTTTTCTGAGATTTTTTTGAACCAAGATTTTTGAACTCCTTAAAAGGTCCTTTTTAAAAAAAATATCTAGAAAAAAATGAAATTTTTTTCCAAAAGTCCTTTTTGAGAACTTTTTAGACTTTGCCTGTGATACTCTCATCAATTTACAAAAAAAGCAAAAAGATTCGAAAAAAACGGTTTTATTGAGTTTAGAAAACTCTGAAGTCGACCAAGTTTCGAAAAAGATCATTTATATATATACTGCCCTTGTTATACCTAACCAATCCGCAAACAAAAAAAGTCGTTTCCTGTTTCAAAAGACCGATGACAAATTCCTATTCCATAATGACGCGACAAGAAGAAACATGGAAAATTCCCCCCGCTAATAATGGTTTTGATGATGATAAGCGTTCTTTTTGGACGAAAAGCCGCTGATAACACGGTGTTTCTTGCCGGTCTTTCGAGACATGTTGCACATTTTTCTGTGTTTATCGATTTTTTTCGGAAGTCGCTTCTGTAATGCCACCAAACCGGGAGATCCCAATGGGAATGTGACTTCGCCAACGAAAGTGGTTGGTTTTTTTTTTTTTGATATTGACAAGGATTCCACTGAAAATTGGCCACAGTACATCTTGAAGTACTCGATTAAGATCCTGTAAGTTGGATATTAGGGCATGCTGGAAGAGTCGGTCGGGCGGTCGATTTGGAAAACCAGACCACGCCGCAATTTTGCTCCATGGAGAATCGAATTTCAGACTTTTTTTTCCTTTTTCTATATTTTTCCTTCCTTTTTATCAGTTTTCTAGGATATGGGACACATGTTCCTCATTTCAAAATAAGCTGTTCCTTATTTATCATTGTTTCCCTTCGTAATGTTTTTCCTTTTGTTGGGGGTAATTTTGTTTCTTGCCTTTTTTGTGTGTCTTTTACACATCATTTCATTTTCTGATCACTTATGATTTTTGATTTCGTTCATTTGGTTATATGAAGTATTTTGGATCCAAAAAAATGAATAAGAATTTTCAAAAATTGAATCAGTTCATAATTTTCAATGTAGTATCCATCGTATTTTGCTCGCGAGAACGATACAATTGAATGAAAATAAGCGAAAACATTCTTGGTAAAATTAAAAGAAAGGAAGAAAAATTCAGAAAAGAAAAAAACAGTTGGAAATTCTAAGTGTTCCATGGAGCAAAATTGCGGCGTGGCCTAGTTTTTTCCAAACTGACCGACCGATCGAACCGACCGACTTTTTCCAGCATGCCAGAAAGGCCCGTTTCGCTTTACCAAAGTCCGAGGGCATGCTGGAAAGTGCGCGCTGTGCGCACTC